TTGACATCGACGAGGTACAGCATTGGTCGATTGCTGGTATCATACACCCGTTCGTATGCCGTGAAGAAGGCTGTGGAAAGGTCTTCGGTCATCTAAGCTCGTTGGTGTTGCATTGTGAGAGCCAGGCATGTGGCTGGGGTGTTGACCGCTTGAACATGCCTGGGCTAGAGAAGGAATTCAAGCTGGTGTGTCTTCGGAGAGACAGCGCTATTGCATAGGCACTGTTCAAAGCTGTGGTATGATCATAAGGATACCCAGGAATATGAATGTAACGCAGTACACACCGAACTCCTTCTTTCGCCTAAGTCATTATTTCATCTATGTCGGGACATCCACAGCTGAATTTCGAGAATCGATCACCTAGCTGGTCATTCATTCTTGCAGCGACGTCACTTCATTGCCATGAGCAACAGTGTGTAAGCAGGGAGATCGAGCCCGGGAGCCCTCAAGGGCGAAGCGGTCGCCTCATAATTCTATGGAAGCTCAGAACCACAGTACGATGGCGAGCATATCATATTTTCATCAATTGTAAGATCTTTGCGGAGGGTGCAAAAACGAGAAGATCATCTTATCGGCTGAAGTGACGTTCTTGAGAACTTTCAGAGTCCTGACCAGCGGCCCGACAGTGTGTCAGATGGCTGCGCGGGCTTGAGATAGCTTACGTACCTTTTTTCACATTGGATCAGAGAGCCATTGTGTGCTGTTACAAAGGGCGGGTCTTCTTGCGCGTCGAAAGCAGGGGATCGTTGAAATGACGGGAAGTGGAAGGGATCATTGCCAATAGCAAAATCAAGGCGTGAGCTTGAGAAGAAGAAACACCATGAATAGATGAAAGTTTTCACACATTATCTTACCTGCAGCATTCACGCTCACCCTTCATGCCGTAAAAGCTTTCCAATTGAGTTTTACATGCAAGTAGTGCTCTCGCGCAGACGCACACAAAGCAGACGTAGAATCGGAGAAGTATACACACGACCACTACTGGAGAAAGACGTTTAGGATATGATGGGATTCTCTTTACCTCAAGACCCTTCAAAGACACGCCCCTTACCTGAAACATGAGCAGAGGTTGGCATGAATAGGATCAGTGTAACTTGAAAAAGTCGAGAAAATGCCGGCAAGCACTTTACGAACGACCAGTGACGAGAGCACCCATATTGCCATCGCTGTAACATAACAGTCGCATTCTACCGTCACGGCCTTGCGGTCCTACCTCCGCTTACTCTTCCCGTAATTCTCGCCTTCGAGACGTCCCGTAATCTTCTTCTCGAATTCATCAGGATGCAGTGTCCTACCAGTCTTGTCTCTGAAGCGCCAGCTAACCCTATTCCAAACCATAGAGCAATCCTGTTGTAGGATTCGAGCCACGAGACGTAAGTCATCGGCAGAGAAGGTATCGTCGGGTTTGACCTCGAGTTCGAGGGGACGGGTGGTGATGGGCTGGACGTTGTTGTTGTTGTCTTTGTGTTGAGAGCCAGGTTGTGAAGGAGTTTGCTTCGAAGGAGAGTTCTGTGTTGGAGCGGTCAGATTCCATGGATCTGCTATGCTAGCACCGTCTTTTTTCTTGTCCTGATCGTTGTTCGAGGCTGTATTCCAGTTTCCTCCACAGTCGAAATCCCATTTCACAGCAGTATCATTAGCACCGTCTACACCACCTGTAGCGTTACCAAAGTCCCACGCACTAGTATCGGTCACTGTAATACCTCCTACAAGACCATCCCACGAAGTGTCCTTGTTGCCAGAGTCGTCTTTGCTGTTGTCCGTGTCTCCACCAGATAGACCAGGAAAGACATCACCGTTTCCCCCCGACATATCCCAAGCGTCAACAACCCCTGATGTCTCATTTTTCTTCTCTTCCTCTTTGTTGTCATTGTTCTTCGCATCCTTCTTGTTACCTCCTTTGCTCTGGTTCTGATTATGATTTTGCTTTTTCTCCTTCTCCTTCTTATCTTCGCCCCCTTGGTTGGCTGCATTAGCCTTCCAATCATTCGGCTTGATTGTCTTGAAGCGCTTTTTGCAATCCTCTTCAGTCTTCCCGACTTCCTGACTGATCTTATTCCAGGTCACCTTCCCGTCTTCAGTTTTCATATGTATCAGCTTCTCATCTTGTTCCTTTGTCCAAGCGTTTTTGTTTTCGTCTTTCTTGTCTCCCTCGCTGCCCTGAGCGGGATTGTCGCACGCTTCCGGACCGGTTGGAGCATTGGTCGGAGTGTCCCAAGCTGGTGTAGTCTCATCCTTCTTCTCGCCTGTCTTGTCATCGCCACCCGCAGCATTTCCGACGTTTCCCCAAGCATTCGCGAGCGGATCATTGCTACCGTTGCCTGTGTTATCCAAGAATCCTTCATTTCCTTTCTTTGAGCCCGAATCCTTGTTTTCGTCTTTCACAGAAGCGTTGGCCCAATTGGTGTTGGTACCCCACAAGTCACCTCCATCGACAGCGAGTTTGGTCGAAGTTGCTTTCTTCGATGTATTCTTTACACTCAGCACTTCCTTTGTCGACCGCTTGTCGGATGGCACCTTCGCAAGACTGGCTGCAGTGAGTCGCGGCTTCCCAGCGCCAGTAAGTTTGCCCTTACGTCCGTCACTAGCGGTCCACTCCATGATACGACCAGGAGTAGGAATCTAGCGATAGTTAGTTTGAGCAAATCCTCCACAGTGTCCAGTGAGAGTGCCCACTATGCTGACTGGCTGACTGGGCTTTCTAGCTTGCGGCGGAGGTGGAGGCACAGGCAACCTTACTTCCTTGTACGGCTTGTTGCTGAAGCCTAAAATATAGGCCATGGAGACCCTGCGGGGAACGCCGTTCGTATCGGCCATCGTGACGGCTTGGATGTGCAGGCGTTGTGTCTGAATCGCGACTGTTGGCGTGTAGTATGACGGACGCTGTAATCTGCGGTTGACGAAGATCGGAAAGTGAAGTTCGAAGACAAGCAATAGATCGCGATCACACTGCGACGAGCTTCGTTTGCTTGTGCGGGACAGAAGCGCTGGTGTTGCGGGAAACATATGTGAGCGTGCGGCCTGGCGGTTGGCTTGGCGAGCAGACCTATTCAGGGTCTACAGACTCTGTTCTAAAACTTGCAACAAACGACGACAGACGAAGAGTATTTTTTCCAGAGGCATTGACGTAAAATCCAACGATGGGTTGCATAAAATGAAAACAGTGACAACGGCAGAATGGGAGACATGAAAGCTGCATTGGCGTTACCTTCCACCACGTCTGGCGGACGAGAAGACCCTTTGAACTAAACTTTTGGTTGACCGGCTTATGAGAGAACCTTCAAAATCCTCAGATACCACTGTTACATCCTACATAGTACACAGTCGTGACGGTGGAAGGCCTTTGATGGCAGCGGATGTCAGTGCGTGCAGAGGCAGTGTATTGCACGGCGAGTCCGAAGACTACAGCCTCTGCGGTCGGTGTCATAGAAATGAGCCTAACATCTTATCTAGTTGTTACTAGATGGAATATATGCTGCATTGGTCGACGACATTATCGTGGGTGTATGAACGAGAAAGACTCCGTTCGGAGGAAGTTGAGATGGAGCGCTGGCTGACTAAGCTACACTATAGCGTTCTGGCCCTTGCATTGCGGGCAAACTGGCATCTCCGTGTATGCAGCTTGGCGCTCCACGAAACATACGAACCGAACACACAACCAGAGCAGCATCATCACACCTCCACCATGCTGTTCCCGTCCTTCGCCATTATTGCTGCGGCAAGCAGCCTGCTATCATTTGCGACAGCGCACAACATCCAAATGAAGGCTCACCAGCGCGAATGCTTCCACGAATCTCTCCACAAAGATGACAAGATGACGGTCACCTTCCAAGTCGGCGACCGGGAGTTTGGAGGCAGTGGAAACCTTGAAATCGACTTCTGGGTGCGTCAATTGTGTCTCAATCATCACCTCTAAGCCGCATAGCTGACTTGTCATGCACAGATCGAGACGCCCTCTCGAAGTTACCAGGTCCACGAACGCGGCGTATCCTCTGGCGACCACTCCTTCGATGCGAAAGAGGATGGCAAATACACGTACTGCTTCAACAACGAGCACTGGGGCGCGAACACGAAGGAAGTCTCATTCAACGTGCACGGCATCGTCTACGTTCCCGAATCCGAGGCGCCACAAGATCCTTTGGAGAAGGAGGGTGAGGACACACCTTAGGTCGGCTTGAGAGGACCATGCTGACAGAACATAGTGCGAACCATGTCGGAACTCGTCGCGCAAGTCAAGGACGAGCAGGGCTACATCATCGTGCGCGAGCGCGTACACAGGAACACTGCCGAGAGCACCAATGCGCGCATCAAGTGGTGGAGCATCTTCCAGCTCATGGTACTGGTTGGCCAGGGTTTCTTCCAAGTGTGGTGGCTGAAACGTTTCTTTGAGGTAACCAGCACCTGCGCATTCCAGTCTACCACCTCCAAGTGCTCAACTAACATGATAAACAGGTCAAGCGTGTTGTTTAGTCTTGCAATCCCTCTCATGGACCGCGCGCGACACAGCATGTCTCGCTTCGGTCTCTGTTTCAAGCTTTTATGTCTGACCTTCCGGCGTTGAAGTGCAAGCTTGAGTAAACAAGCATAGGAAAGAGATGGAAGTATTGGGGATCCTTCATACGACTCATCAGCGAGATACTGGGTAAGACTGTCTTCGTGTATGCATTTTTCATTCAGTTTGCCCAGAGTTCCACAACAAACCATGGATCTTGCTTTTGCCTGCAGGCTTGGCACAGATCGAGCCGTCTAGTGATTCGCCCAGATCAGCTGCTTCGGGCCAGTCTGGCGCTCTTGTAGAGATATGTATGTAAGTGGCTGTCAAAAGACAAGTGTTGTGAATGTCTGCATTTTCAGCTTGCATTAGGCGTTTCCGATTTGTTCACCTAAACCCATTCTCATCTGCAACGTCTATATATAAGCTTTCTACCTTACACTACCTCTCTTCAAAAGTCTTGATTCTATCCTTCGCGATCATAGCTGCGTTTGCCATTGCAATCTCCCAATTCGTCTCATTACGTCAACATCAGGACAGCCAGGCAGCGACATCACAGTCTCAACGTGGCGATTGGCTGGTTCCTACACGCAATCATTGGGTGGAGGCAGGAGACACGTTGTGACTTCTTCTGTCGGTGTGCTATAGTCTGTTGTTGGGTAGCGCACCTTCTGTCACTCATCGTTGGCGCCTTCCACGCGTCCGTCACCACGAGCAACGGCAGTATAAATAGTCAGCAACCCCCGCTCGCCTCTTTCATCATCAAATATGAGCCACTCGACTCGACCTGCTGCAAGTACTTCAGATGGACCCTTCTCAATACGGCGCGCCTGCTGGCTGGCCTCGGGATATGGCTTTGGATGACCTGTATGACACTACTACCATGCGCAAGAACTTCATTGGCGCTGCCTTTGGCGACCACTTGCAACACAAGAATTCCGCCAGTGGTTCCATCCCAACTCCCCTTTCTCCTGATTCGGAAACCATCCACCGGCCGCAGCATAGGTACAACGTGCCTATGCTGCGTTGGACGGACGGGGAGCGACCGCCTACTCCGCCTTTTCACCACCAAAACGATTTCTCCCAATATCATGGCCAATGGAAGACCTCACTGTCTATGCGAAGTCCTCCAGATTATTCTCCGCTACCGGAGACCCAGGCAAACTACACGTCCCCGTATGGCACATACACACCAGCACATGATCGACTCACAGGACGACCTGATTTCCAAAGTGCCTCATCACGCCAGTATACTATCCAACCTCCCCGCCTACACCCATCCGCGAACTTGTTACACTCGTCACCCCAACAGCAGATCACTTACCCGGAGCCGACTCTTAAAGCGCCCTCCACCCAGCAGTGGCCAACTCACAACCTGGCATCCCACGATTCAAAGGTCGATGCAGCAACAAGGAAGAAGCAGGACGAATACAGGCGAAAGGGCGAAGCAGCGAGGAGGAAGACGATATCATCCCAAAATTCAGCGCCGCAGTATGCTCCAATTCCTGAACCTGCATCAACCCCCCGTCGTAAACGCAAAGTCGGGATCCTCGATGATCTAGTCACACCTACCCCAGCTCCGCATCATCGCTCTCTGCATCCGTCGTACGGTCAACAGCAGCAGAGTGACACTTCCGGCGATGCAATAAATTATCACTCGACCCCCCAAGAGCCGCTGTCCTACAACATGGACTGGATCGGTCAGGAGCAGTATCACACATCAATCCCACCATCCCATCACCCGCATTCTGCGGGCGTATTTGATGCACAACTCCCTCTGTATCCGTCTCAGCATCCACCACATACACCCACGCCACTTCCACCGTCATCCCTCAACATTATCGACCTTGAGACTATACCTCAACACATCACTCGTAACTACGATGAGTACAGATGGCCAGTCAAGCTCTACCAACTACAAGCCGAAAAAGACTTTGATTTTGCTGAGTGCTTCTTGGAAAACCACTTCCAGCAAAACATCTACGATTCGAATGAGCATAAGTGGCACGCTCATACGACTAAGGGTTTCATCAAGGATGGTAATAGACTGTCTATTCTGGTCCTACATAATGCAGCAAATCCGTTCGAGTGGGGCATATCACCTGTATCGACTACCAGTATTGGTGTATATGGATTGTATGCCCATGAGCATAACGAGATCCATTGGACGACTATCGCCCCCAGTATTCCGGAGTGGTTCGACTCATGCTCAGATCGTGGCTACCTCACTGTCAAGCAAAAATGGCATCCCGACATGAAGGCTTCGGAGAAACGCTTCCATCGCGCATATTGGCTCGCAGCTAACATGTTGCCGCTTAACCGCATATTGAACAACAGCCTGGCGCCCGAAAAGCCACAAGGCTTACTCGAAGACGACGAAAGCGACAGCTTCGTAGTTACGGAGGAGGACCTACAATACAAGTGGACTGAAGGAACAGTAACAGTAGAGAATTCGGAGAAGATCTGGCAGAAGCTTGTCGATGAAGTGGATGCGCTGAGTTTGGAATCGCTCGATTTTGAGCATCTTGCTACTGGTGGATCTGAAAGGGCCTTTGTAGTTGATTGAGATTTCGAGGAGGCACGTCGTCAATACAAGACGGCTACGGAGTCACATAATGAAAAGAAGGGTATTCGAGAAAGGAAGTGGCCAAAGCTGAAGACACCATAGCCTCATTGCAGACAAGAAACAAACTAAAATATGAAAACACTTCTGACATTCTGTTACAATCTGCGAGCATTACGAGGCAGGACGTTTTCCAGGCTATACACGAAGCACTAAATCCCCTGTAAAGGGTCTTTGCTGTAGTTGCCTAGGTGGGATTACAATACATTACACTAACAGTGAAGAAAAGAACGAACTTGTTCGTACTGCTCTGTTTCTTAAATGTATCAAGCCGAAGCCCTGAATGGCACTAAGAATAATCTAGCTTATCTGCCAGTCGTCACGATACAGATATCTCTCTCTATCAACCATACCTGGCACTACTCATCAATGTCTTCCTCCTGCACACTCAACGCATCGACACTATCCGCAAGGCTCAAACCCGCTCCACCTGCCCTCAGCGATAGTTTCTTCCCTTTTCCCTTTGTCCTCTTTTTGTTCTTCGCTCCACTGCTTTCACCCACCGGCGGCGCGTCCCTAACCCAGCGCGAGATAGCTTCCGCCCTCTCCGTACTGATGGGATACTCGCGACCGTTGTCCTGCGCCCAGCGCTTGGGTGGTGTGGGTTGCGGCGACACTGGATTCCCATCTGCATCACTAGGAGGAGATTGCTGTCTCTTCTTCTCGGCTTCCTCATCTTCTCTGTTCCGGCGTTCTCGTGCGCGGACTGCACGTTGGAAACTTTCTTCGTCAACAACACGTTCGTCGGCTAGAGCTTCGAGTATGGCTTCGTGCTTTTGACGTTCGCGACGTTGAGCATCAGTTTCAACGCCGCTGGAACCGTTCATGCCGTTCTTTCCTGCTAGGTCTGTAGAGCCGTTCTTGCCACCACCGCCGTGGCCAGGTAGAGGTGCCGGGCGGCAGAGATTCTCCCAGGACGTGGATAAGCCGATCCAGTTTCCAGCTCGTCGAAGGACTTCGATCCAGTCTGCGCGTGCAGGGGATCGCGCAGCGAGGAAGATAGGGTAGCCGTCGCAGACACGGGCCAGGCGAGCGGCATTGTGGGCATGTCGGAGGTGTTCTTTGGGGGGTGTTTGAATGAGTGCATGGCAGAGGAGAAGACTGTGCAGGGCGTCTGTAATGAGCGGATGGTAAGTTATGCTCTCGTGACTATCAGCAAAAGCGGTGGCTGCTGCTGAGGCCGGGGTCTCGGAGGAGTTGCGGGGTGGTGGGTAAGGGGGTAAGGAGCTTGGAGGGGCAGCGTCGAAGAGCTGGGAGACTTTGAAGATCTCAGGTGGGGGGAGTTTAGGCCATGATGCGCGGTCTGAAGAGGACTTGGTAGGACCACGATGGGGAACGAGGGCTTCGGATATGGGTGACGAGGCGCCATTTGTCTGCTCTATTAGGCGATTCATATTTGGTTTGATCTTGTCATTCGAATAACCGTTCGCATTGCCGTTGGCCGAATTACCTAACCTACGCAGGAACTCTTCAGCAAGCTCGGCAGAGATGCCAGGGGTATAGTCGAAGTGAGAGAGGAAGGCGACGTAGTCTCGAAGAGCGCGTTTGGCGTTCTGGCGGACTTGCTTGCGGGCTTCTAGACGCAGGTGATTGCCGTGCGCTTCTTCTGGTGTCACCGGATCTGGTTCTTTGCCTTCAGCAATCTGAGCATCACGCCGCGCCTTTGCCTCTTCGGCTGCCTGTAGACCATCTAATGCAGCATTGACGTGGCCGCATGCTATGGTAAAGTATACGCCAGCGCGATGGAACAGTAACTGTGTCTCAAGCGAACTAGGGTGGTCTTCGTCAGGGATCTTAACCTCCTGTCTCCAATCTCTCCCGTACTGTTCCTGGAGTGTCTTTGCTAGCACCAGCTGGTCTTTGCCCGCTCGATGCTGCGCCATGATATAGCGTGCGGTACTCAAAGCCTCACTCAGGTCCTTGGCCGAGTTCACATAGTCCTCCTTGAATATCCTTGTCAATGCGCGTGTACGCAGGGGGCTCCCGTCGTTGGGTCGCTCGCTGATGATTTCATTCAAAGTATCCAAAGGTGTACATTGCGCCATCATGCGGCTGGGAATCTTCTCGTGGAAGAAGTGGACGTACTTGGCGTCGATATTGTTGGGCTCGCGCTGCAGCACCAGGTGCGCGACGTCTTCCAGCGTGCTTGCGCTCTGCATGGTAGCTACACTGGCGGCAATCTCGTCGAGATGGTATGCCTGGCTCAGCTTGTTCGTCGCCAGCTCGCGCATGCGGTGTTTCCGCTCTCTACTCAGCTTCGAGGTCCCACCTCCCCCGTAGCCTATCCCCAGCGCCGCCGCGTTCCCAAGCATACTATTCCCATTATTGAGGCTGTTGCTGAGGGCGGCCGACGTCAAGCCCGACGTGGCGCGCACAGCGAGGTTGGTGGCCTCGTCAACCGCCTTGCGGATCTTGACAAGGTCGTAGAAGACGGCGGGGTCAATGGGGTGCGGGCGCGGGGAGAGGTAGTTGCTATGGGCGAGCGACTCGAGGACCTCAGGGGGAAGCTGGAGCCAGGGGCCGTGGAACGAAGAGATGTAGCGCCAATGCCTATAGTGCCGCTATTAGGGTATTGTCTCTCTGCATCAAGACGGCAGTACCCGCCCAAACTCACTTGTTGCGACAGATGATGAGGGCAGACGTCGAGGGCTCGCTGGCCGCCTTCTTCGCTGCGGCTGCCCCGTTGCTGGCGGGCGGCGGCGTCGACGAGGCGCTGCCGCTGGGCGCCGCATCGGCCTGCGCGCTCTTCTTCTTGCGCGCCATGTTCCAATCTTCTGGATATGCAACTCTGACCGGGGACGTCTGCTCTGCACTGGCCTCAGAGATGCCCTATCGATAATAAATTTCGTCTTGGCGTTAGCGCGGAGACGGAGCTTGCGTCGCTGTCTCCGACACGGCACTCTTCACCACCATCTCTCACCTCCGCCGCCCTCGTCGCCATCCTCCATCACCTTGCGCCTTCATTCCATCGATGTGCGGCGTGCCATCTTTCACGGAGCGACCCACCTTCGCTCCTCCTACCACCGTTACCGTGGTTACAGACCGCGGCTGCCACGGCCGCCCTTCGCCTTGATGCTTGACAAGGGGGAAGTAACGGCTTCCTGCAGCGCTTCTTCTCTAGCGCCTACCCCACTGGTTCTTTGCAGGAGCGTTTGCGACAACGACGACGCTCTCATGCTGTCATGCTCTCACCCTTCCTATACCCAAATATCTTTCCTTAGCCGAGACATCTGATTACCCATTACAACCACCAGCGTCGCCGCCACATGCCAGGCCACCATGCACAACCCCTCTGTCGTTACACATCCTACTCCGCCAGCCAATCATTCACTTCTTCACCCATCATAGTGCTGTCGACACATGGTCCAGCCTTCGACTTTCTCACGGCTTTCCGACATATCGCCGTCATTGGCGGGACTAAGTCGCCGGACGGGCTTCTGTCCGGAATATATGCGAGAGTCGCTGCATGGTGGCTTTGCCATCTCCCACCCCAACTAATACGCCGGCGACATGTGCCGTTCCTGACTGCATCTATGGATCGACGCACGACCTTGACCTGGTTTGCTTACTGTTTAGGCGATGCGATTGGCAGAGGCAGTCCCGCCTTGGCCATGGCTAGACTACTCAGTATACCGTCTCTTGGCTTCGACGAGCACGCTGGTTCCGCCTTAACCATCAGCCAAGCCAACGAGTGCGGGGAACGCTGTAGAGGCAACGATACTGATGTTGAACTCATACTGACAACCTCAATCTTCAAGCTCTTTTTCTTATCAGCGGACGACCTTCTGCATATGGAAAGACATGATATCGCAAACAAATTTTGTAACGGACATGGCCCATGCAAGCAAATTATCGCATCCACATCCTACACCATCATGCAAGTCGTTGGGAGGTTGTTTCGACCTCTACCTTCCGGAACGGCTTAGCGAGAGCCGTCTTGCAGCAACATGGAGACCGTCCTCATTGGCCCAAATCCTGTTGGTCACACTGCATGCATCTATCGTTTGCGCCAACTCATCCCGCTCGGCACGTGCATGTGCTGATGCACTTTCACTCAGATCAAGTTTGCTGTTCATCGTTGACATGTAAGAGATGGTCGCTACACTAACTCATGTGCAGTGTGCATCAGCGCGACATAGCGGTCCGATTATGAGCTTCATAGCGTGCCCTTACAGATTGGAATTGGAACATTCAGTTCGGTCGCGGATGGAACTGAACCGCGATGTAACTACAATTGCGTATGTTGCTGACGAATGCCTTGCCGTTGAAAATTGCCAAGTTGCTGTCGCGTGGCGCTGGTCGTCTCGGTCTCGGTCTCACGAGTACAGCAACTCCATGCACGCCACTGAGGCTGATTGGCGCTCCATAACAGGTGTGATGCTTCAGTAAGGGCACCACAGTCCAGTATGTCTAGGTCGTGCCGCTACCAGTTGAGGGGTAACAACAATCGGTCTTCATGCCGAACTTGAAACATCTGCGTGTCATGATTTCGGCGAGTTGCACAACGTTTCTACATCCTGGCGGTCATCGAAACAACTGCCGACTTGTGCAGGTTGAGGCTGAGGGATCACCGCTGTTGCGGACGTTTCGTCCCAACTTTCGATCACCCGCTGCACTGACACGGCACACGCTCCGTCCGGGAGATACTCGACAAGGATTCTTGGCCATCTATTCGTGGAGCTTGACACAAAGCTTAATTCAATGCGCTAGCGTCCGACTTCAACCAGGCCTGCGCGGGGTGGCTGACGGAAGCTAGTTCAGCGTTGATGAAGTGTATTGCGGGGTAATTCGACTCCCAAAGATCTCGTCTCTTGCAGACAGTCACCTCAGAACGCAATGAGGGTTGGCTGGTATCGTCTTATCAAGTTGAATCAAGCAGTTTGCGCTGTTTCATGGTATTTCAGATGGGCTCGGGGAAAATGTCAAATGTGACCGAACCCTGGGTTTCCTATGCTTAGACATATCGGCAGCATGACAAGCGCTTGTCTAATCTCTTAGTGCCCCCTGCTGCTATCGGCAGCGTGACTATGTCTTTGCGCCTCAGTGGTGTATTACGACAATAATATCGAATCGCTACTACGTCAATTCTCCACTCGTCCTACAGCTTGCGCCTCGGTCCCTCAAGACGGAAGGTCGAGATTTGAACAGGGTATCACGTATGCCAGTTGCAGTTCCCTTCCTTATTGGATATCACTAGACCGGCACGCCGATGTCCATTTGCCATGATTGGTAGTACCCCGATGCGAGAGCACCTGGACGTTCTCAGCATGTTTCCATGCGAGTAAGCGGGTAGAAGTGGGTGTGTTGGCAGGCCATCTAGTAGGTTCAGCTCCTGCGCTATGGCTTCAGGACCCGGTTGCACCGACATGAGGCTACCTTGCCGTTGATAACGCCGTTTTCCAGGATGCGTGGAGTATATCTTTGCCGCAAAGTACACTGTGTTGCCCCTCAGTTAGCCTCCTCGACTGCTCAACCTTTTTTGATTCCCTATATCTTGGTTGTTCATTGTTCGCTTGCTATTTGTTTGCTTCACGTCAGTTCATCATGGAGTTCTTCAGAAAGCAGGCCCAACGGAGTCGAGAAGCGATAGCCACCGACACCACCCTTCAGCGTACAGTACGGTATGGTAACAAGGCTGTTCGTGCCGCTCCTTCGGTTGCGGGCCAATACCTGCTTCAAAAGGCGCCCATCATCCAATGGTTGCCAAAGTACAATCCACGATGGCTCCTCAACGACACGCTGGCCGGTATCACTGTCGGCGTGCTCCTCATCCCTCAGTCTCTGGCATATGCCAAGATTGCGACAATACCTGGACAATATGGACTCATGTCAAGCTGGCTACCAAACTTTCTCTACCTTGTCATGGGAACATCTAAAGGTAAGCCATCCAACTGGGGCCGAGATTGACCGCTAACACCGTTCCCAGACTTGTCCACTGGTCCGACTTCGCTCATGGGTCTGTTGACGGCAGAAATCATTGCAGATGTTACTCAAGACGGATACTCACCACAAGCAATCGCTTCCGCCGTTGCCATGTCCGTCGGTATCTACTCTATGGCGCTAGGCTTGCTCAAGCTTGGTTTCCTACTAGAGTTTATTTCCGTGCCCGTTTTGAGCGGCTTCATCTCCGCCGCCGCCATCGTCATCATGCTCGGCCAGATCCCTTCGCTGTTCGGCATTTCTGTCGGGTCTGGTACGGCCAACATCATCCATGACCTCTTCGCCAAGATACCCCAGTACGACGGTCCGACATGCGGAGTCGGTCTTGGTGGTTTGCTGATGCTATATCTCATGCAGAAGATGGGACAGCGCTGGGGCAAGAAGAACAAGGCTATATGGCTGTTGGCCCTTGGTCGCAGTGCTGTGGTACTCGTCCTCTTCGCTGGTATATCGTACGCAGTCAACAAGGACATCGACCTCGAGAACGATGACCCTGTCTGGGCACTCAGCAAAGTCAAATCTGATGGCATTGCAACACCTCGGATGCCCGACTCAGCTCTTATCGGAAAGGTGTTTGCTAGAAGTATTGCGCCCTTCATTGCTGCAGCACTTGAGCACTTGGCTATTGCCAAAGCCTTTGGCCGCAAGAATGGATATGTCACTGATGCCGCACAAGAGCTGGTCTACCTTGGGTTTACCAACTTCTTCAACTCCTTCTTCTCATCCATGGCAGTAGGTGGCGCCATGTCACGTACCGCTGTTAACTCAGAGTCTGGCGTCAAGTCTCCGGCATACGGTCTGATTGCTGGTGGTGTCGTCATCCTTAGTATCTTCAAGCTCTCACCAGCACTATACTGGATCCCCAAAGCCACACTTGCCGCTATTATCGTTACAGCAGTCTGGCACATCGTAGTTCCTCTCAAAGTCTTTTACGGATACTGGCGAACCTCGCTCGTCGACTTCACTACCTCAATGCTAGCCTTCTGGCTTACCCTCTTTGTCTCATCAGAAGTGGGCATTGGCACGGCCGTTGGGTTCAACATTGTCTACCACCTTCTCTTCATGGCATTCCACCGCGTCCACCGCCTCACTTCTATCGAGGTAACCTCTCACGGCCGCCAGTCTGGCATGCATGCCACCCCTCTTGATACCCAAGTTTTCCGCATTCACCAATCCATGCTTTTCTATAATGCTTACCACATTAAAACACAATGCCTTGACGCGGTCCAGACTTTCAATTCTGGTGACGTGGCTACCCTCGAGGCTGCCCACGCAAACCGCAACTGGAGCGTCGCAGGCAAAGATCGTGCCTTGCGTCTACGCACCAAGGCCGAGATTTTGGAAGAACCTGTTCAGATCCGTAGTGTGGTGCTGGACATGTACGCGATGCACAACATAGATACGACTGGTCTCACACATCTCAAGGATCTCAAGGCAGATATTGAAGCGTATGGCGGAAAGAACACACAGTTCAGACTTGTGGGCTTGAACGATCGCGTCCGCGAGCGCTTTGCGAGATTCGGATGGCAACTCCGAGACGCGACTGAGATGAACAAGAAAGGCACGGTAGTGTATGACACTGTTGAAGAAGCTGTCTTCCGTCGCTCTAGGACGTTTTCGTCGGATGAGATTGAGGTGGAACCTACTGAGGTGTTTGTCGTTGGGAACGAGAAGAGCAAAGTGTAGATGAACTGTTTATGATACGCATGCTGGATGTGCAATGTTTCTTCTTCATTATTCTCCTACTATACAAATGTAGTTACACAATTCTATGGCAATCTCTCCGTTATTCTTCTTACTGAGTTGTGGCATTGAACTTTTATACACAAGTCATGATTCGCAATCGAGCGATGAAACATCTTGTCTTCGCCTAGGCATACCAAACTCCCATCACTCTCCGCCTTTCGTTTTCTCGTCCCTATGCATTCGCTACTCTGCCCTTACTACTCATTCAACCCTTGAGGTGTTATCAGTTATTTCAGCAAGACTACCAAACATCTCTCTACAGTACTTCCTGTTACCTATCTTCTACTCCGCCTCGCCTCGTAATGAGTTCATGGTGCTGGATGTTTGATTCTGATCCAACTGAGATAGCACCACGCGAACCGTACGCGTAAGTCTAAAGATGGTCTCTTTGTTGAGTTGGTCAAGATTTAGAAATATTTCTAGCCGCGAAGTCGCAGCAGGGTGACGCTGGGGATACATATGGCTTTGTACCCTCAAAAGAGTTGTGTCAGGACATGATGACAGGACATAAAGCTGACGGTAGCACCTTGGGGAGGCGTACTGGCTTGCCCTCATTTTGGTAGTGGGTCTTGAAGCTATTTTTTTTCTTGGCTGTACAAGAGTAGATTTCCCAGTAGTTCGCTTCGGAGCGGAAGACGAAAGCGAAGCAAGCGGATCTTCTAGCTCTTCTTGTGAACAGGTAAATGTGATATCTAGAGTTTTGCGCACTGATCGTGGGAGTGTACAATTCTTCTTGCGGCGAAGTGAGTATGCTGGCTGAAGAACTAGGCACCCATTGTGGGAGCGACATCACTTTCGCTGTTAACTCAGACTTTAAGGGCCTAGGTATCCTCAAGAGCGATCGCTTGGTGTCTTCTCTCGGATTTTGGGAAGAAGTTAGTAATGTCTGCGGATTGTTGTCAAGCTCAAAACAGCTGTTCGGACGAGAAGGTGCCCATGTGGTGTTAGTGCTCTAGGAAGCATATCAAGGCCCCTTTGGACTTCGTTGGGTTACTCATCTTCTAGAAACGTCGTAGCAAGCGAGATCGAGAACGTTGTTTGAGTTTGTGGCTCATGGCTGGAAACCCCACTGTGATCGTATCGTCAACTAGCGAGTTAGCCTTCGTCCTGTAGGCAGTGAGTGCAGAGCCAACAGATACAGGCTTAGTTGGCAACTTGTTTTTTCCATGCTGGAGGAGTATACTACGAACAGCTTCAACATCACTTTCTCCGCTACTTCGATCCGGTGAGCATAACGTGAGATAAGTCTGTTTTGTCTCTCCTGCGCCACCTCAGACAGACGACAGTCGTTCTGGAAGGCATGTGGGTGCCAGATCATATCGTAAACATCCGTAACACGTCCCAGCACTGATTGAATTTCACGACGGCTCTGGTTCCAGACATGAGATTCAGCCATCGGTAACATATTGTGCAATCGGATTGATCGGCACGTATGAATCCCTCAAATAGCTGGCGGTAGGCGAGTCAGAGATTGAGTGTTGCCATCTTTCTACACGTTGTGAGCAGATTCAAGAAGATGTACACGAAACAGGGCCCGCCTCGTCCTCATCTCTATCTTAGTCAATATCACTTTGCATATCACTGCATTTGATACTTCTGAGAATCGGGTGCCGAATTTGGCCTCATAGTAATTTCCCATCTCCCGAAAGGCGCTACCTCCCTCTTATCCGGTCATGCACTCCTCATGCGACGAGTGACCGGCTGTGTATATTGGCTTGAACACCTTTTGATGTTGACAAGTGGAACTAATAGTTGCCTTTACGATGCCGAGTAACTTGCAAGGCTTGCTGCCTGACGCTGGTATCATTTTAGCTTTCGATGATTGACATTTGGTCAGCATACTGAAAGCTTCTTTTGTGCTTTGAAGTAAGTGCGCCCAATTGAGGAGGCATTTCATGCTGAAATCAGTGCATAAGTGTCGCTATCTTGAGCGCCCTGTAGTGATTCAGAGAATACAATTGTTGCGAAGGGGGAATTTGCCTTGTTCCACAAGTATCGGCGTTCCTTCCGCGGAACTCAGAAACCATTGGACAAAGGCGAGCTCAAAGGGCGTCCCCCCTCCGGAGAGGCGTCGGAAGAGGACCTGAAGTGATAAACACAAAGAAAAAGAAACCAACCGCATGATGCAGAACCAGCGCGTGACAAGCGTGACAAGAAACGAAATGGTGTTGCGGTTGGACAGAGCCGACGACAACGGCAAGCCTCTGGAGAATGTTGGGAAAAGAGTCTACGTCATCGGCTGCGGACTAGTGGAAACAGGAATAGCGCAGGAGCGATCGGTGTGAGCTTTTCTGGGCAGGATTGTGAACATAATCTTCAGTTTGCATGAATGTATTGCTTTCTATAGCATGGGGTATCGATGAATCTCTTTAACGGCATAGATCAAAGCCAACTTTTAGTGAATCGTAACCTTCCGCTTACTTAGAACATTTGTCTGTTCTTCATCTCCACAGGCAAGAAGCACATCAACAGTGCAGATAGCCAGATACCACCAGCACCTAGCCAAAGGATACCAGAACTATTGTCAGCAAGAAGCTGAGCACCCGCATAGGGTGCGACAATTCCTGCAATGCGACCTAGGCACGAAAGCATGCCACTCACACTGCCGCGGTAGACGGTGTCGAAGAGTTCCGGAGCGGACGCATACAAGACGGCATTGAAATACTAAACTTCTATTAGTATCAAAAACAATAACGTTTGGATACCACACTTACAGTTTGCATAATATATTCCAAAGCGTTCAAACCCACATAAGCCGCAGTGTTAGACACCTGGGTGTACATGGCCATGGAAACACCCTGGCAGAGAGCGGAGAAGACCAGAGACCATTTTCGGCCAACAAGAGGCAACTGGATAGACGCAAGTGCGAGTATAGCACCGATAATTCCTGGGAAGTAGATGATGAGGTACTGCTGATATGTGTCGCTCACGGTTCCCCGACCCTCGTCGACATTGTTGCGTAACAGAATAAGTGGAAGGAAGCTACCCGCAAGATTGAAGGACCAGTAGTCGCCCTATCCGTTGTTAGCAAATACCAGAATTTCTGCGAGTGATGATGCTCACCATGTATGTGATCGCAAGTAAGACGAAAATAAAGGCGGATAGTTTGTTAGTAAAGATACCCTTGAGGCGAGTCAATTCCTTTCCAAATCCGCTAACGACCTTCTTGGTAGTGGTCTTGGTGTCTTGAGGGCCTTCGTCTGACACTCGTACGCTTGATGTAGCATTGGAAGAAGCATCATCTATGGCGGCGAACATCTCCATGGTCAACGTCGGGGCCGGTTGTTTGTTGAACTTTGCAATCCTGTGCAAAACATCGAGAGCCTCTTGCTCTTTTCCTCTCGCAAGCAAGAACTTGGGCGACTCATGGAAAGTGAAGACGAAGTAGCGGAGGAAGAACACTGCCAACGTCATGCATCCAAGAACGATGACAGTGTAGCGCCATCCCATGTTGCTGTCAACTGTACAGCAGGCTTCTCCAGAATTGACGCTGGGGCAAGCTGGCAAATCGGGATCACAGCGCCATTTGGCTTGACCGGTGGTGCCGTAGGCGATGCAAGATGCAATAGCAACACCGATTGGTTGCCACATGGAAAGAAGGGCGACAAGGAAACGTCGATTATGAGGTAGAAACTCAAGTGCTATGGTTGCATCAATCGGGATGTTGCCTCCGAGACCAAGGGACGCAAGGAAGTAGATAGCGCATATCGCACCATAATTGTACTTAGGGGCAGCCTGGTTACTGGTCAGTTTTTGATTGCAAAAAAGGTGGTTTTTGTTCGCGTACCAGCAACAGCCCAAATACTGAAGTGATAAGGCAAGTGAGGTTAAAAGCCCATTTACGACCAATAATATCGACGGCAAGGCCAAAGCCAAGCGCACCAACAGCCAGTCCTGCGTTGGCAATTGCAAAGATGTCTCCAGTGTGTGCATCAGAGACTCCCATCTGTGGATACTTTAGCACGCGTTACCTGCTTGATGTTGCACAACTCACCTCCTGGTAGATGGCTGAAGCAATCAGACCGACACCTTGTGACCATGCGAGATCAAGAAAGTATCCAAAGCCACAGAGGAACCAGATGCATATTTGGTACCTTCCCATTCCGAACTTGTCAAGTTCAACATTGATCAAAGCGGCCTTCTTCTCGAAGGTATTGAGCGGGTTTGCGGCAGTGCCTTTGAGAATTGCAGCAAAGGACAAGTCGGTTTGGTCGACACGTTCTACGTCGTTGTAGATTGGAATCTCGACTTGAGGGCGCGCTTTCTCTGGGTGCTCGGCAGGTATCTTCTCGGTCTCGGGAACCTCGACTGGTATCTTCTCATCATCGCTGAGGTGCGCTTTGCTGCGCTCCGACAGATTGGCGTCCATCTCGGTGGCGAGTGAGCGAGCAGTAACGTGCAGGGTATTGTCAGGTGACCTCACGTAGATTGAGTAAAGAGTGGTCGCCTCGTGGTAATGGCAGGTTACAGGACCGGTACAGTGGGACGAGGTATTATACATATGCGCGGGGAACACCCAGCCCTCTCACGCTACCACCGACTACTCGCGAAAACGGATCTAAGCGATAGAGGCGCTACCATCTAATCGCTGATCTGAGCCTTGTCCGTTCAACGGCCCCCGTCTCCAAGACGGCTGAGGTGCAGCTGATAGGATCTAATTGGTTGCCACCAACTGATGACGACATCGCAAGCGGCCCCGTCGCGCGACCTTGTCTGGCCTTGTCTCTTGCATGGAGCTGTAACTTCGGCATGGCCGTGTAGCTACAAACTCTGAACAGAGCTAACGAGATGCACTAACAGCGTAGGTACGCCAAACACCTGATAGGTTTACGTCTCCGTGGTAATGCGGTTGTAAGACCCAGGCGGCGACACCAAACCATATGCACTATGCAGTGCCCAGACCAACGTATCCGCTCAAGGCTGAAGGTTACGCAGTCAGCTCAGCTGCCGCGTCAATTCCCAGCACGCTTGTTGCTAAATCTTCTCCACTCTCCTTCACTCCACTTTCACTTATTGCCGTGGAGCTCCAATACTAGTTTTAACATCCACAAAACCGGCGCTGAAACCGAGATCTCGCTTTTCGCCATAGTCTAGCCTCTCCATTTTTCCAAGATCTTGAGTTCATGATCAGAGGTCTATACCGGACATGGTCTAGCGTCAAGCCAGACAACGCCACCAAAGCAGTACTTGCGTGGCCCGCTTCGGCTATCTGGCAACCGTCTTCACGTCACGATCAATGTGTTTTTTCATCGTATCCACTACTAGGGAAGCGCACTTGACACAGCTGTCTCAAAGTAGAACGTACGCCTGCTTAGACGTTGTTGCATTGATACAAGCTACTACAAAGATAGGGACCATGAAGGTTGGAGAATCTGGTTAAAGAACATTATCTCACATGCTATCTACTCAGATTCCATCTCCCATGTATGTGCCTGTTTACCTTCCTAGTCCTATTATTCGACAACCTCAACGAGGTTGTCCCTCTTTGGGAGAGAAATGCAAGCGTCCCTTTGCACGACAAGTCCTGATCTGCCGGTCGAAGCGCCTGTCAACGCCTTCCGCAACTGGTTCAAAATCGTAAACTCGGTACGGAGCTTTACAGCATACACAGCAACCTTGTAGAAGCCTTGAAGGTTGAAGTACCCGCTGAAACACAACCCCATAACGCTGCAATCGAGTATGATTATAAGAACATTGACAGCGATGAGATTCCGAAGATTGGTACGCGTGGTATGGCGGTAGTTGCCAAGAAGTTCCATATTCTTGAGGTATTTGGCAGTTTCGCAGATGTAGAGAATGTTGATAAGGGTCTGCAAATGTGAAAATACCAAGTCAGTGCGTGTCTTACATGCATTTTGGTACAGGCAGAACTTACCTCTTGGACGAAGAACGCGGAGACTTGCACTTTGTCCCAGGTAACATTGGCGTGGTGAAGTCGTGCTGTGAATTTTGGGTGACGCTATGATCGATTAGTATGGCACAGTTGCTTGCGACGAACGACGTGCAGCAATCATTCCGAGCAAAACTGTGGTGAGGCCAAACATGACCGAGTCAATTAGGATCATGTAGAGGACATAGCGTCCGACTTGCGTGTTCCTCAGTACGAGGTTGAGGCGAGAGTAAAGGACAAGTGACTGAGCGACCACATATATCAACCACGCCAGCTCAACAACGACGATAGATGAGTACGCTTCCCATATGTGGAAGTTGAGTAAGAGGATCGCGATGCCATGAACGATGAGACCCCAGCTGCACAGTAGGCAGCTCCAGAAGTACAAGCTGCGGCTTGTGGTCCTGGCGAGCAGGCGAACGTTGAGCTCGATGCAAAGGTACAACGCGACTCCCAAAAACGCTGCTGCGGTCACGGAAGACGGAAGGCCGCCAAATTCGGTTACTGCCGCGTGGATAACGTCTTCTGAGATTGTGGACATGATGGCGAGCTTGAAGAAGATGTGTGTGGATTAGGTCTGCAATATGCACCAGAGAGTCGAGTTTGCTGATCTGAGCGAGGTAAACGAGAGCTGATGGAAGGGTGGACTGGTGTGAAGAAAAGATTGAGTCGAAGAACAAGGTTTCGCGGACCGTGCCTTCCTCAATCACCTTCATCTTCACCGTGACTACCACTTTGGACTTGACACCAACGAGGCGATGGTGCATGCGAGCATGTCGTATCTACCGAACAGTCTGTTCTACCTAAGTTCTCTCTTATAGCACGGCAGAATGTTATGGATGTGTCCTGCTATCCGGCAAGCAGGATGGTGAAGTAATCATAGTCGAAAAGCAGAAATATTGAATAGGATGATAACTTTCAAGATCTACCTATTTTCTAGGTGCAACGGGTGACGGAGCATCGTAACAGCTATCATTATGCTGTGAAGATCATGTGTTTTCGTGTTTCATGCCTGAACGGCTCACTTCCCTGCATGTATGTTGATCCCAGCGACGTTCTCCTGTTTGCTCAAGATCTTCTTAGGTCCCCAAGTACCAGCTCTACCACCAGGGTCAACACGATCCTTCTTGGGACTCATCCTCTCACCACCTCCAACGCCTCCACCGATCTCGTTGATGTTCTTGGGAGCAGTAGCCATCTTGAGGGTGGACAGGGAATTCAATGGTATCGCGGGAGTGCTTGTAGACCCACTACCACCGCCGCTTCTCTTGCTCTTGGGCTTCTTTCCAACTGAGGTCTCAATCCAAGCACCTCCCTCCTTCTTGGCCCTGCGCTCAGCCTCTTCTTTTTCGCGCTTCATACGCTGCTCTGCCTCTCGCTCTCTTGCCGCCCTGTCACGAGCCTCACGTCGAACACGTTCCTCCTTGGCCCGCAGTTCTGCTGCCTGCTTCTCTCTCATGGCACGCTCACGAGTTTCGTAGGCTTTGGCAAACTCGTGTTGCTCGAATCGGATCTGAGCTTCGGCCTCGATGCGGGCCTCAAGCTTGATGCAAGGGTAGCAAGGGAAGTGCGACGGACGGGGCTTGTCATCTTCGCTGATGTCGGGACACACTGTGTTGGAAAGAAAGCCTGTGCGGCACATCTCGATGTAGGGGCGGTCAGAGAGGTGGCTGCATGTGTGCAACTTCTTCCAGTAGAGACACATGTTAGACAGACCTAGGTACAGTCAGCGACTTGTGGGAGATACGAGTTTTGCATGCACTAACGTCGTCCAGGCGTAACTCCAGATCAAGGCGAGCGGGTGCTGGTACTTTGAGGGATACTGGAAGAAAGGAATGCAGGTAAGGGCGTGATAGTTGTCACTGTAGACCCCAAGATGGTTGGCAAGTCACACCAGTGAGGCGAGAGAAGGTTGGTGAGTAGCCCATGCTTCGTGGAGGTGGCTTGTCGCATGTGACTGGCAAGAGCGCCCAAGATAGGTGAGAGAAGACGGTAACATGCGAGGGAGGAGCGGTCCTGCCTCAACTGGGAAGGCAATGACAGAGCTCAGGCACTAAACGGCAACTAGACAAGGACGAGTTCTGGTGCATGGCTAAGGCCAGCGGTACGAGATACTGAAACTATAGAGGGTATATCCATCGCATTATGCGGACCGCCAGCATTTGGTGTGCATCTGTACACACGTCTAGCGTATCCTACCTACCCTGAAACATGCGCAAGACAGCATGTCGCACCCAAGCGATGCCGCCAAAAATGGGCCTAGAAGTACACGGAGAGTGGCGGAGAAGGACGCAAAGACATCTACGCCTTCATCTTTCGTCGCATCTCAGGGCGGGCGCCACGGTGCTCGACCTCGGTGATGCGGCTACCGCCTATCTCCTTGATCTTGGCCACAAGGGTATCGGTCTGATCAAGCTCTTCAATATCGTCGCCACCTCCGATGCTCTTGCCCATCAGTAGAATGTTGGGCACTGTCCGCCGACCTGTAGACTTGTGTAGGAATGTTTGTAGTTGTTGGCCTATTGGGCTTTGATCGAGCTCAACGACGTAGGGTTCGGGTTTGATGTTGTATTTTTCGAGGAGAATGTGTTTCGCTTTCTTCGAGTAAGGGCAGTAGGATTTAGAGAAGATGATCACTGTGGTTGGTTAGTGACTACGCGTGGGACAGGGGTAATGCAGGAGTAGCGTACTTGGGCTCTTCTTCAGGATGGCATTGAGCTCCATCTCAACTTCATGGTCTTCGAGTGTCTCATTCTCCTTCATCGCTGCTTGGTCGTGCGGTCTACCGCCCTGTTGCGCGACGCCAGGAACCTTGTCGCCATCCATCTTGACTCTGCCCGCGACGCTCTTCTGGTCTTGACCCTCAACTTGGACCTTGTGGTCCGCGTATTTGTTCTCGGCGTTCTTCTTAGCCTGATCCTCGGCAGCTTTGAGTCGCGATCCGACGCTCTCCGCGTCGCGTTGCTTGGCCGCTTCTGCGTATTCTTTCTCTTGTAAGGCTTGTTGCGTCTTTGTATAGAAATCCGATGATTGTGTTTGGTGTGCTGCTCTTGACATGTAGAAGAGGACAACAATTGTGGTGACGATGAGGATGCCAAAGAACTTCATGCGACGTTGTGACGGCATGATGGCGATGTGTGTACGGGTTGGATATATGTCGTTTGGTGAGCGGGCTCGTTCGTGCTCAGAACTTGCTAGGCTGATGTATGGCTCGAATGCTGTCAAGTACCAATGGCCCCGATAGTGTGTAGTCTCAGGTATATGGGTTGATGAGGTGGTGTTGGTAGAATCCGAGGCTCGAAACAGTTTCCCAGGCTGCAAGTGTCGCACGAGCAGCGGATTAGCGAGCGCGGGCGTACAGACGAGTGTTATCGATTGGACGTTTATGATACGTGTGGCATAATCCTGCGAGAAGACGTGTACAGAAAAGAGGTACACAGTAACTGCTATTGTCGTTGAGGCAGTGCGATGGTTTAGAGTATGTTGGAGGGTTGGTGGGCCCTTTGGAAACAATGTGGAGAGATGGTGGCCCTGGCTCCTGCTTTGGTTCGCGTCATGCCGCTTTCCGCACGTCTACTCAACACCATCCTTGTCACCTGCCCGCCTGCCAACGCTGTGATTCGCGATTCTACGCCACGGTGCCTGCCTAAATCCTTCCTTAGTCACGACGAGCCCCGGTTGCGACATAGTCGCGTTGGCCTCTTCTTTGTTCGCGCACTACCATATGGGCCTCATGTCCGCCTGGAACGCATTACATAAGGTTGCGTCGAGATGTTCAAGTTGTCCTGACGCAATGCGATACTTTGACAAGCCCCCTGTTGAAGGCCCCCATATTAACTTCACAGGCGCACCACTACTGAAGGCTCAGATGTTATGCTGTGCCCCCTCTGACCATCCATCCCTGACCGGCTGCGCTATCGAAATGCGCCCGATGCCCCGTCGGAGTGTGACAGCGCGTTGAGCTCAGAGGCCTCAGGGTTCGAGACCACGAAAGTCGGATCTTCTACTCTATGAAAGCACACATCTGTTGCTTGCCGACCTGGTCTAAGAGCTATCTTATGCTCTACCAGATTTTACTCAGAGTATAGAGTAAGCTCCCCGCATCGTGGGTCTCACGAGGACATGCAGGCTGCGGCCAGGTTCTCCACAACGGCTGCAGTGCTGTACTGAGTTTAGCGCCCACCCATACCGCTTTTGTACATTCCGCTATTCACTCCAGAGTGTGATGCTTATAACATATAAATTCGACAAGTAGTTGCGTTGCCTACTCGAGCATCGAGTACATCAGCAGATCACGCTTTCCCTTACAGCTCCACGCCTTTGATCATTGCGTCATCTGCCAGTCCATTATGTCTCCGCCGACTCCGCACCTCTCATCAACGCCCATATCCATTGTACCCTCTGCGTCCGAAGTAAAGGGCGGGAGGCTCGACCAACGCAATCTTGAGATCGCAATCAGAGCGCTCTCTCGAGATGGGCTTGTGGTGCTGGAAGACATGGTTGATCATGCAGTCTTAGACCGACTCAACAAGAAAATGGTCCAAGATGCACTCGAACTGCAGGCAAGGAAGGACAGTCCCTTCAACTACAATAAAGGCAATATTCAGCAAGACCCTCCTATGACCAATGAGTGGTTCAGCGATGAAATCTACATCAGTAAGTGTTCAGTTCGGCTAGATTTCCGACCGTCCGAACGCATACCAATGACAGATCACAGACCCGATTGTCACACAAGTCACTTCAACCACACTCGGTCCCGGACCTTCATTGCGCTTCATGTCCGGAAATACTGCCCTGCCACCTACTGCTTCATCGCCGCCAGCTTCTCAACCGACCCACAATGACGCAGACTTCGATCACCCCTCAATTCCCTTCGCTCTCGTGGTAAATGTCCCTCTCGTAACAATGACACCAGAGAATGGGTCGACGGAAATCTGGCTCGGCACACATCAAGGAACCACTATTGCCGACCAAGAGGGTGAACACGGCGATCGTGCTAGCGGAAGGATCAAGCAGCATCTCCTTGACGCTCGCCGCGAAGTCCGACCACCATCTCAGCCAGTTGTTAAGAAAGGCAGTATTGTCGTTCGCGACCTTCGGCTTTGGCATGGAGGAAAGCCCAACCTTGGTCAAAACCCGAGAGTTATGCTTGCAATGAGTAAGTCAACGCTGCCGTTGTGTCTTCTACATACCTAAACTTTTGCAGTACACTTCGCGCCATGGTACAGGAACTCGATGCAAGTCGAGTTTGCTGAAGAGCTTGCCGACCGGTTGTCCTATGAAAAGACTGGTTTGCAGATCGCTGCCACTTACGTGTCTAGTGAGCATCTGCTTAAGAGTTACCTAAACAGGCCTTACGGCAACGCGTACGATTTCGATCAGACCGAGAAAATTAAGGGCATATTCTGAGGTGAGCTTGGCCGCTGCTGATCACTATCTCTACGTCTGTCCAGTCACCAGAATTGCAACGTACTATTGTCATTACCTAAATATAGCAATATTCACACTCCGCTCCGCTCACTTGGCATTTCAAATTCACATATATGATACCCCATATTTTTGCAGGATACCACTCGTGCAGCTAGAGGTGTGTCAGCACCACCGCCAAGAAACTATATGCGCGCATAGCTGGAGTCAAGTTCCCATTGGCAGGGCAGCTTACGCGAAGTGCTCAGTAAGCTTCCATGGCACGTCAATCAAAGCACATGCTGAAGCTTGGCGGCCACTGAGCGAACATCAACATCAGCATCAGATCATTTCACCCTGTGTTCTCTTTCTCTAGTCTTGATTTTTTGTTCATTCTCCTGGTGATACTCCACCTTGTTTCCGCGGTTGTAGACCAATCTGGTCGAATTTATCCTTAGTTACTGCAAAGCCCCGTCAATCACACTCGACCATGTACGTCTTACCGGATATTCAGGATGTTCATGTCACAATGACACAACCGATCGTCGAAGTAAATGCTGGGGATGCCACCAGAGGTTTCAAAACAGCATTGGCAGTGGAGGTACCGTTGATGGTCTTGGCTTTGAGCACCGTCATCCCGAGAGTGTACTCAAGACTAGCGATTAAGAGGAAGATCGCACCTGATGATGTTCTAATTATGTTGGGCACGGTATGTGAGGGACTAAACTAGCCCGTCGCTTTGTACAGCCCATGCCTGACCGAAGCTGACCACGACCAGGCAGCGGCTGTCGCACGTACCGTGATATCTTGTATGAGTGCGGACGACAATTGGGGCTACGACCGAAAAGGGTGCGCATGGGGTGCGTCGAATGATAGGATCTGTGCTAATCATTATGCTAGTCCCGATAAAACGTCGGAAATCCCATTCTATCAAGTGCGTCATTCCCCTGGTGCATCGTAACATACTAACATGTGTTAGCACGTCTTCGAGCGCCGTGTTGCGTACATCTTCGCTGTCACATTCACGCGGTTCTCGGTTTTGGCTTACTACCTTCGAATCTTTCCACCGGGAATGGCATCGCTTCGAAGATGCTGTTACATTCTTCTCTTCCTGGCGCTGGCGCATTTCATCGAAGTACTCACCGTCCTCATAGTCTTATGCGAAGACATTAGCAAGCTATGGACCAGGAACTGGCTCGACTTCACTGGATCACAGTGCTTCAGCTCCGCGATATATAGCTACTCTGCAGCCATTGGTGATAGTATAGTTGATAGCTTGATCTTCGCACTCCCGATTCCGTACGTGTGGCAGCTCTCCAAACTAAAGATCCGACAACGACTCGGCCTCGTACTCATCTTTGGTCTGGGATTTATTGTTTGTATTGTCGCCCTTCTCCAGATTCCGTTCATTAAGCGTCGCGAAGGCAACATGCGGTATTTTGGCAGCGCTGTCAACATTTTGGTTGCCATTCAAATCTCATTTGCCATAATCGCAGCGTCGCTGCCAGATCTACGCGCATTGATTGCACGCAGCTTCTCGAAATTCTCGCCATTTCACCACCGCAGTCTCGCCACAGTTTCTAGCAGTGATGAAGAAAGACACCGAGGTGGTCGGAGTGACGTCGAGCAAGGATTTCCAAATCCGGACGCAGTTGAAGGCCTTCGTGCAGCGTCCGAGAGCAAGAGGCTGTTCAGAAAACCAGATTGGCTGAGGAATAGCATACCGGGGAGTTTGATGTCGACGGTGATTACACACAACGAAGTTACCAGGCTCTCAACCGAGGACGTTTCGAGTATCCCTCAGAGGCCAGAGAAAGCAGCAAGCTGAAAGAAATTTGTGAACTATGAGCGGCCGTGCAGTTTGTGAAGGGAGGCTAGATAAAGATTGATGTTGCGTGACAGCAGTTTCGTCTTCTCTCAGATCTACATTTTGAACTAGAGGGGTGCGTTAGTGGTACGTTTATGTCTGAAACCCCCTTTCGTCAGATGGAGGTGGTGCTAACGGCATGCAGCCGAGACTTACAGAACGCGCACGGCAACCCAAGATACCGAGTCGTCAGCTAACGATAAGCCGTAGCTAAGTACCCTCAGCTGCGGCATGATAGATAGATGTGATTCCAGCACGCTCGCTTGTCTGCGTCTTTCACCAGATGACTAAAGTCGTCAAGCTTTGCTCGGTAGACCAGATGTACTGTGTCTTGGACCTGTGTTAAGACAACGCTGCGAGATTTCCGATGTCAAGATAAGCCGTGTCTGAGAATTTGGAATACCGGATGTAGCTACCTCGTCAGCTGAGATGATTGCTACCACGTCTTGCAACATACCTAGGTACTCATGATGACGATTGGGTTTTCCGGCGGAAAGCGCTTCATTACCAGATTCAACTGAACCAGTTAGTAAATACTCTTCATCGTTGTATGTAATATCGCTTTCTTTCCGGACTGTCTATCACCCCATTGCGTCCAGTATATAAGTTGTACTTTGTGACACAGCATTGTTAAAGACGGAGTTGGAGACTTCCAACGTTGCTAAGATGATACAATCCTTGGCTTGATCCACAATATGAGCTATACAATTTAGGCAGGCGTTTCCAGCTTTAATGTGGTAAGTCTCCTAAACGGCTGCTTACACATCCCTCCATCACTCAGCTGGAAGCCGCTAAGTTAGCTTACATGCACGCGTCAAGGACCGGATGCGGTTAGACTGTCCGCATGCTGCTACCTCGTACGTTCTTCCAACTTCTCGGGACCAACCAAGCCACTAAGCATGTGAGAAGGCTTCCCGACGGCAGCGCTCTCCATGTCCTGTGCCTCGATATTGTCGGTGCATGAAGTTGGAATCCAGGGTGCATGCTATTTGCATTCAGCAATGGGAGATATAAGATAGTGCAACCGCGCAGATTGAGGTCTGCATTCTGTTTACAAACTACCTAATTGTATCGCGCACCTGAACCCTGAGAATGGCACCCAAGTACGATTTCGTGATCATTGGCGGTTCGTTCCCACTGTCCTCCTATGCATCCTTGAACACTAATAGTCCCGTCCTCAGGTGGAACATCAGGCTGTCTCCTCGCCCACCGGCTCTCCCATTCGCTACGCAAACCCTCTGTTCTTCTCCTTGAAGCAGGTACCACCCCCTCTGGTGACTACCTCCGTGCGCCCTACCACCGTTACTACGCCCAAGCTCTCCGTCCAGATCTTGACCACGGCTACGTCTCCGAACCTGAGCCCGCTTTGAACAGCAGAAACATACCGTATACGAGAGGCAAGGGTTTGGGCGGGAGTTCCATCTTGAACTTCGCCGTTTATCTGTATGGCAGTGGCGAAGATTACAATCGCTGGAGCGATCTAGTAGGCGACGAGAGCTGGAAATGGGAGTCGGTCAAGAAATCTTTCCAAGCTATCGAGAACTACGACTTCTCGGGTTCAGAAGACTACAAACATCTTGCTGATCCTAGCACTAATTCCCATGGTACGAAGGGGCAGTTGAAGGTTGGTCTCCCGCCTGTGCTCGAACAAGGCGTGGTGCCGCAGATGGAGGCACTGGCTGCTATGGGAGAAAAGATCAACCTTGATCTCAATTCGGGCGACCCGATAGGAATTGCAGTCTTCCCGCATAGCTATAGTAAGGAGGGGAGGAGTACTAGTGCGATTGCGCATTTGGTGGACCCGCCGAGCAACCTTGAGGTGTGGACAGATGCGAAAGCGGAAAAGTTCGTATGGGAGGGGAAGAAGGTCGTTGGCGTTATCACGGAAGACGGACGAGAAGGTACAGCCTTGGATTGAGATTGATCAGAGAAATTACAAGCACTGACAAGATACCAGCAATGGCAAACAACGAAGTCATCGTTTGTGGCGGCTCGATCGACACGCCAAAGCTCCTCCTTCTAAACGGCATCGGACCGCAATCCGAGCTCGAAGCAGTCGGTATCGACGTCAAGGTCGACTTGCCTGGGGTCGGGAAGCACCTTAAAGATCATGTCCTTACCTTCATGACAGTCGAAGTCTCGGGCTCAATCAACTCCAAATACGCCTTTGACAATAACCCCGCCCTTGTCGCTGAAGCTCAAGAATCCTGGACCAAAGACCAAACTGGCGCTTTCGCCCTCCAGAATTCCTCACTTTGGGGCGGCTTCCTCAAACTAACGGATTTGGAATCGTACGAGGAGTATTCGGCGCTTCCACTTGATCTCCAGGAATTTCTGTCCAGAGATCAAGTTCCGACATACGAGTTCATCAACAACTCCATACTCTGGCCACCAGGCACACAGCTCGAGGAAGGGAACACATATATGACTTTCCTTGCTTTCCTCATGAACCCTCAGTCCAGCGGTTCCGTCACACTCCGGTCAGCAAAGGCGTCTGACAAACCAGTCATTGCGCTAAATTTCCTCACGCACCCCTTCGACGTCCGTGTTTTTCGCGAAGCTATCCGCAACACGTGGCAGAAAATAACAGGAAATCCTGTCGTTGCTCCGCATATTGTGCGTACCATTCTTGGGCCAAAGTCCATGGGCGATGCGGATTTGGATGGTTTTGCAAGGGAGAATGCCAGTACAGTTTGGCATGCTTGCGGTACTTGTAAGATGGGAAGGGACGACGATGCAGAAGCGGTTGTGAGTAAGGAGTTCAAGGTTAGGGGAGCGGAGGGGTTGAGGGTTGTGGATATGAGCGTTGCACCTCTTACAACGAATAATCACACGCAGGCTACGGCGTATCTCATTGCGCAAAAAGCGGCGGAGAAGATGGTTGTGGAGTATGGACTCGATAGGGTGAGCTGAAGAGTCACACGTTTGTGTGGTGGGTATGGTGGAAGCACGCTTTACTGTCCTAAGAGAGAGACGTGAGTCAATATGAAATGTGAAACTATGCGGAGAAAGCCTTGACAACAGAGACTTGACCTTCCTTTTCGGTAATGTTGACAGCTTGCTGCGTACCTGTCATCGACTTACGGTGTAGTGGTTGGCATGTGCAAAACGGAAGGGCCAGTTGCCAGCACAGCAGGCGGCCCACAACATCACACGAGCCCTGCAGGTACACGGCGGAAGATATTTATAGCCGGCCGGAAATCTGGAGTCTGGATCTTGACAACGAGTAGGACAAGTCAACGGTTTTTCGGAGGCAGCGGAAAGAAGTATAGCGATACCAAGAGGCTATGCGCGACTAAGGCAAACCACTGCACCAGCTTGCAGGCTGCATGCGCAGAACCACGGGACTCCGCGAGGCAGAGTGCTTGAGGAACTACTGCCCGAAGCCAAGACAGGAATCTGGCTTTGACCAACACGGGCCGGGCACATCCTTCTGGGGGAAATTGCTATGACGGATGGTGGTATTGAACGTGCGCTGAGACGAAGAGGGTGCCTAGGTGATGCCGCGACGGTCGTTGCTGGGTGAACCGAAGGCGGAGCGAGCGCTCAGCGTCACTGTAAACGACACCCCCTCTGATAGAGTCGTGAGGCAGCACACATCTTCTCATAGAACGCGAACTCACTTGATTGACATCACGAAAACGACACGACGTACTGTTCCCACTACTGGACTCTAGCCAAGTTTCAAAAATCCCGCAAGCGCATAACCCCGGTGTTGCTGGAGTTGGTGAGGAAAGGTCCCCCAACCACCCCCAACCTCTCCCGCGGTTTCCAACCACACGATTATTCCAAGTGTACCCTTTTCTTTGCGCACCTCCTCCTGCACGATTACACACATCCTACCACCCTTTCTTCTCTCTATAATTCAAGTTCAAAATAATAGCTGACTTTTTGTGGTTCCAAACTTGCACCACCAGCGGAACCAGTCACCCACGCCAGCAGACACACGAAAGACACGCTAGCCAACGGATCGACCCCGCAGCACCAATATCCACCCATTCACCGCTCCCACGCCGACTGCGCGATATCTACGAATTGCAGAGCGCTTCTTCTTTCGCTTCTCTCCCCGTTTCCTGCAAACGGTCCTATCTATTCCAATCGCAGTAACCTCGTTCTTACTGCGTTTGGTCCTTCAATCGCTCATCTCTAATCATGTGGCTTTTCAATGCTCCTCCAGCCGTACTCGGCCTGGTCGCATTGGCACATCTGCCCTCAGCTCTCGCAAAGCCATACCCCGTCCACATTGAAGAGTTCCAAGAACTGCACAACGCGTCGCAGATTGTCAAGAAGGCCGACTGCGACAACCCCTGTGGTTACGGAGGCTGGCTATGCTGTCCCTCGGGTTCAACTTGCTACACCGACGCAAGTAACCAGGCGCAATGCGGCTCTGGTGGAGCGACCACAGAAGCAGCAGGCGGCTACTGGCAATACCACACTACCACATACGTCGAGACAGTCGGTCTCCTCACAAAGACCGAAGTCTACAGCACATATGTCCCTGCCGTCGCAACGCAGACATGTAGCCAGTCGCAAAACCCCTGCGGTTCTACTTGCTGCGACTCAGGCTTCTACTGTCTGTCTTCCAGCGCCGGCACTTGCGCGCTGATCGCTGGTGGCAGCTCCGGAGGTATATCACCATCTGCTCCTCTGCGACCAACTAGCTCAGGCGTAGTAGTCATCACCTATACCGGAACCCCCACCGCGACCGTTCCCTTCCAGACACCCATCCCCACCGGCGCAGCAGGCGGCGGCCTCGTCCCAACCGAAGAGAGCAACAGCGGTCTCAGCGGCGGTGCCATCGCTGGTATCGTTATCGGTGTTATCTTGGGCATATTGCTACTCCTCCTTCTCTGCCTCTTCTGCTGCGCTCGCGCTCTCTTCGACACTCTCCTTGCCATCTTCGGCATCGGCAAGAAGCGCAAGCACACGCACGAAGAAACCTACATCGAAGAGCACCACCACAGCGGTGGCGCTGCTGCTGGAGGTCGCTGGTACGGAGCCGGTCGTCCTTCTCGCCCATCGCGCGCTGGTTCTGAGAAGCACAGCGGTGCGAAGAAGGGTTTGGGCCTTGCGGCTGGACTTGGTGGTCTCGCGCTCGCTTTGGGCCTGAAGAGGAGACATGATGCCAAGGTTGACGATAAGAGTACCACTGTCAGTGGAACATCATACATGTACAGTGATTACACAAGTTCGAGTAAGTAAATCCACGGCCTTGAGATTCCCAGCAGTTTACTAACAATCATACAGGCAGCGCAAGTTCATCTGATCGCCACACACGCCGAACACGCCACTCATCAAGAAGATAAACGTCCCACCCAACGGAATCTCTCTCGCAACTTTTCAAAACTGTATAAAGTCTTTATTTGCTTTCTCCTTGTGTCTAGCTCCGTGCTGATACCTTATGGCATGGGTGGGTTTTATCGTGGGTACACGGGGCTTCGACAATGTTGACCCTGTTGGCGTTATTTGGGCGTTTTCAGCGGAGTTCGCTCACGACTGCAAAGCGACGTCTATGTTGTGTCTTGGTTTTGGTTTTGGTTTACTTTTCTTACTCTCTCGACGTATGCGATTAATGAGGAAATGCGTATGCAAGGATATGAGACACGGGATGGAAGAAAGATGTATATGAAAGCAATGGTATGGGAATGAAATCAAAGACGATTGTGAACACGAGGTATGCTCTCTAACGTGATGTTAAATTTGGTGTTTGGGTGTTACTGCGTTCCGCTCACTAGAGTCAATCGTCAACATGAAGTACGCATTGTCTCTTTTTGACTTGCATCGTAACTAGCTCACTAAATGAGCCCACGAGAAAGGCTGTAACTCGTCCCATGGAACCTCAACTAACGGCCAACCCTTTATAGACTCTGGAAGGTGAGTAGGACTGAATGTACCAGACGTCCAAGCGGCCTTACAATGTGGGGTAGCCAGCAAGTCTTTAACCAAATCAAATCCCATAATCCAAGACTGTGGTGAGAGTCCCGCGTTGACATAGAGTCTGACATTGACAGTCTCTGTGGACGGGACCTGTTGGATATAGAAATGCAAGTTGACGTCTGTTTGCGCACCTAGCGAGATACGCATGCCAATCCAATCCCGAATCAGGATTTGCGCTATACTTCTGCCGATCACTATTACAGTTTGCTTGTCAGGAACGGATGAAAGTGATTCTGAGGTTGCTTCTAGAACCTGAGACACGTTTGGGCTGAGGTCTAGAGTAAAGTCTGGAATGTCCCGCTCGAACTCGTACTCGCGTATAGTATACTCATATTGCCATTTTGCATAAACGTATGCATGGTTGGTCTGATTCACAAAAGGTCCGAAACGTGGATCCGTGCTTGCTAGTCGTGGTGTAGTGGGAGGGCTTCCGATATTCTGGCGAGGCGTAGGAGGAGAGTTGTTGCTATCCATATCGACATCTTGAATGGCCCCCGGGGAAGGGATCAATCGTATTCCCGGTGATCCAATTTCGGAAATTGTTGCGTAGCTTACAGCGGAAGGGGTTGCTGCACTTCGTTAACACCTTTCAGTTGACACATACGTCCAAGCAACTGACATGCTGCAGGACTTGGAGCATATATCATGCTCTCACGAAGGTCGTGTCTCTTCATCCATCTCTCAATCTTTTGAGGTTCGACTTCTTGACCTCTCACACGGAACCTGAGACTACCCTTATTTGTATCGATAAGGCCCCTCTGTTGGCGATGTCTTACGATGGCCTTCATCTCTTCTGGTTTGATATTCTTATCCAGCTTCCATTGAGTCAGACGAGATCTATACTGACGAATCCTGTGCAGCTCATCAGCCTGGTTATGATGCAGCGATGGAGGGCTTGTCCCACTCAGCAGCGAATCCAGTTTCTTGTTCAATCATGTTTTTTACTTCAGGAAGCGGCCGTCTTTCCGTAAGGTGCAGCTGTATAATTCTGTCTCTGTATGGTTCCCAGTCACTCTCGCGGAGAGTCCGCGCTTTCTTCCTCCGCGGTCGAGTATCTGGGACAATGTCTTGTAGTTGAGGCAGGAGCGCAAATACCGAAGTGTCGTTAGTGGCTGACATCGTAGCCGGGCCAAGATTTACACTGCGTGGATTTCCGAGAAGCTGTAAGAATTATGCTTGTCGTCCAGATGTTGTGATGCTGTCGAGACAGGAGAGCCGGAGGGTTTCTGACTACCTCTGAGGGTACACAGCGAAACGAAGAAACAAACCTCTGTATGCTTGGAAGCTAGATGGTGGGTCTCTCGTGGTGGTTTATATGTGTGGTGGGCTGTGCCACGAGGCTGAACTATATCTAAACGCTATTGGCCAGCAGACAGAAGTACAATTCATACTAGACACCCCCTGGTCGGCTAGATGCGCAAAAAGGTCCCTTCCTGCACGTTGAAAACACAGCATGAGTGACCATTAGCCAATCAAGCAAGCGTCAGCAAAAGTACAATTTCGAAGGTTTGACACCTAAATAACGACACAGAAGTACAAAACAGCCTGCCGCTCAGGGATTGGCTTCTTGACTTACTATTGTTCCCGGAACGCTGTGGCTTTGCAGAAATCTCGACAACTCAGCATGCAAAAGTACAATGTCGAAAGATATAGAGAAGGGCAATGAGCCGTGCCGCCTTCTTATCGACAGACATCTCTAAATGCTATGATTTGAAGTAGACTGTGGGTTAGCCGTAGAATTCAATGCCTCTTGACAGCCAGTCCACCGATTCCATCGCAGCCATCGTGTTTGGCCTGCTTCAACTTGCTGTTGGCCTAGTTTCTCTTTGGCAACAGAGGCAACTACCCCTAGCATACCGTCAGTGTGTCGACGAGCCACGCAAAGACCGCCTGTGCTGACAAGCTTGTAGAGCAAGGAAGCGACCGGAGAAGATATACAATCTGAGATCCGACGGATGCAAAAGTGTAAGTACTGCTACACCTCGGTCAGGATAGTATGAAACAGAGCTGACTCAAACAAGCCTGAGAGCGCGAATCAAGAGTCAATTCGAACTGGGTCAAGGAAGAGCGAATCTTTGCAATCTTTCAGGTGATTTGACGAAGTATGAATTTCTTTACACGGAGCTGTGCGTGGTGGTCAGAGTCGTGGTTGCTTGACAGATGCGTAGATGCGGTACAGTGGCGACATCGGATGCATTTCACGGGCCAGTCGGGATTGACAAAAAAGTTTGCAGGATCTGTGAATGAGAGTACGCAGTCGTGTCGCGAAGCCCAGAGCAGGCACCAGTGGTGATGTTGTGGATTCGAGGGTTGGCTGGAAGCGCAAACTCCAGGCGGAAGTGACGACTGCGCCAAGATTAAAGTGGGATGGCGCTAGGGTGGAGCTCCAGCACCTTCGCTGTGACAAGTACTCACGTAATAACCTCCTGCCCTGCTGCGCCTTCAGCCTTTGCCTTCCTTACATTTACACCCTCCATACTCAACCAAACCAGCGACGAACTTGTTGACCTTGTTTGTCCATCTTCACAACTCTAAACAGCAGCACTACCCCGCGACTCGAATCCAGGCGCCCGCGACCGCCACACCTGACAGCGTCTAGGCTTCACGACAGTCGGCAAACTGGGGAAGCGGAAAGCCGTTGGCGAGGACATTCGTCCCAGCAAGAAAGAGAAAGCCATGACAGTAAGTTGGCCCGGCGATTAGTAGGGAGTGCTTTGTTAGGTTGCGCCTCCGCATCTGCAACTCATGTACTCGACATCTCCTACACTCTCTGCACTGCAGTACCTTTTGCACTATCTGGTCTCCATCTAACATATCCAAGGAAAACATGCAAGTCGACAGCCCTGCCACCGCCGTCGAACAACTCAAGGAAGCCTCTGGTAGTAACGGCGACATCGATGAATCCCTCTACAGCAGGCAGCTGTACGTGCTGGGCCATGAGGCCATGAAGCGCATGGGCTCTTCCAATGTCCTCGTTGCTGGTCTACGAGGTCTCGGTGTCGAGATTGCGAAGAACATCGCCCTAGCCGGTGTTAAGTCGCTGACACTCTACGACCCCAAGCCCGCCGCTCTCGCCGATCTATCGTCGCAGTTCTTCCTTACTCCCGCCGATGTGGGGAAGCCGCGCGCCTCCGTCACCGTGCCTCGCGTCTCCGAGCTCAACCCATACACACCTGTGCAGGAATTCAGTGGAAAGGATCTGACGTCAGACCTGTCGCAGTTGAAGCAGTTCCAGGTCATTGTCCTCACCGACACGCTGCTCGACGACCAAATCAAGATCGCAGACTACTGCCACGACAACGGTATCTACGTTGTCATTACTGACACATACGGTCTGTTCGGCACCATCTTCACTGACTTTGGCAAGAACTTCACCATCGGCGACCCCACCGGCGAGAACGTCAATAATGGCATCATCGCCGGCATCGATGAGGAGGGTATCGTGTCAGCACTAGACGAGACAAGGCACGGTCTCGAAGATGGCGACTGGGTCACATTCTCCGAAGTTGAGGGTATGGAGGGCCTGAACGGCTGTGCGCCTCGCAAGATTGAGGTCAAGGGACCATATACTTTCTCTATCGGCGATGTTTCTGGCCTAGGAGAGTACAAGAAGGGAGGACAGTTCATTCAGGTCAAGATGCCAAAGATCATCAACTTTGAGCCTTTCAGCAAGCAGCTCAAGAAGCCTGAGCTTCTCATCTCCGACTTCGCCAAGTTCGACCGACCGCAACAGCTACACGTCGGTATCCAGGCTATTCACAAGTTCGCGAACTTCCACAAGGGCGAGTTCCCACGTCCTCATCACGAAGCCGATGCGGATGAGCTTTTCAAGATCGCACAAGAGATTGCAGGTCAAGGGGAGGAGAAGGTTGAGCTGGACGAGAAGCTCATCAAGGAACTCAGTTACCAAGCGCGCGGTGACCTCAGCCCTGTCGCTGCGTTCTTCGGTGGCATGGCCGCTCAGGAAGTTCTGAAGTCCGTGTCTGGAAAATTCCACCCCATTGTTCAGTTCCTCTACTTCGATTCGTTGGAGTCAATTCCCACCTCCACAACCCGTTCGGAAGAGCAGTGCGCCCCGATTGGCTCGCGCTACGATGGCCAGATCGCCGTTCTGGGTCAGGAATACCAGAAGAAGCTCAGCAACGTCAAGCAGTTTCTCGTTGGTGCAGGTGCCATCGGCTGCGAGATGCTCAAGAACTGGGCTATGATGGGTCTTGGTACTGGCCCCGAGGGCAAGATTACCGTAACCGACAATGACCAGATCGAAAAGAGCAACTTGAACCGACAATTCTTGTTCCGACCAGCAGATGTTGGAAAGCTAAAGAGTGACGCTGCAGCAAAGGCTGTTCAGGTCATGAACCCTGATCTCAGTGGAAAGATTGTGACACTTCAAGACAAGGTCGGCCCAGAGACTGAGCATATCTTCAACGAGGAGTTCTGGAATTCTCTGGACGGTGTAACAAACGCGCTGGACAACGTAGAAGCGCGCACGTACGTTGACCGACGGTGTGTGTTCTTCCGCAAGCCTCTGCTTGACAGTGGTACTCTCGGCACAAAGGGCAACACCCAGGTTGTTCTGCCATTTATTACAGAGTCTTACTCTTCATCGCAAGATCCTCCCGAGAAGTCCTTCCCTATGTGCACACTCAGGAGTTTCCCCAACCGGATTGAGCACACTATCGCCTGGGCGCGAGAGTCATTTGATTCGCTATTCGTCAAGGGTCCGGAGATCGTTAACCTGTACTTGACGCAACCCGACTACCTTGGTGCATCGCTGAAGCAGTCTGGTAACGAGAAGCAAACTTTGGAGACTTTGCGGGATTTCCTGGTCACCGAGAAGCCGCTGTCTTTTGACGACTGCATTATTTGGGCTCGTCATCAATTCGAGAAGAACTACAACCACGCGATAGCGCAGTTGTTGTACAACTTCCCCAAGGACTCCAAGACCGGCTCCGGTCAGCCATTCTGGTCAGGACCCAAGCGTGCGCCAGACCCATCGAAGTTTGACTCTTCAAACCCAACACACTTTACCTATGTGGAAGCTGCTGCCACCTTACATGCGTTCAACTACGGCATCAAGCCGAATGCATCGAAGGAGCACTACGTTGAAGTTCTCAACGACATGATCGTCCCTGACTTCCAGCCCGATCCTACTGTGAAGATCCAGGCCGACGAGAAGGAGCCAGACCCGAACGCTAACCAGGCTGGTAGTGATGATAATGAGTCGCTTGATAGCATTATCAAGCAACTTCCAGCACCAAAATCTCTCGCCGGATTCAAGCTTGAGCCTGTCGAGTTCGAAAAGGATGATGACTCCAACCACCACATTGACTTCATCACTGCTGCCAGTAATCTCCGTGCTGAGAACTACAAGATTGAGCAAGCGGACCGTCATAAAACCAAGTTCATTGCTGGAAAGATTATTCCGGCCATTGCTACCACTACCGCCTTGGTGACTGGTCTCGTCAACCTTGAATTGTACAAGATCATTGACGGCAAGACGGACATCGAGCAATACAAGAACGGCTTCATCAACTTGGCGCTGCCATTCTTCGGTTTCAGTGAGCCGATTGCAAGCCCGAAGGGTACATACCAAGGGCACGATGGCGAAGTAACGATCGACAAGCTATGGGATCGTTTTGAGGTGGATGATATCCCCCTCAAGGACTTTGTGGACCACTTTGAGAAGAAGGGTCTATCGATCCAGATGATCAGCTCTGGTGTTAGTTTGCTCTACGCATCATTCTACCCTCCAGCCAAATTGAAGGATAGGATGCCTCTCACGTAAATCTCTCCAACTCCCCTCTTGTACGCAGACACTAACAAAAGATAGTATGAGCAAGCTTGTTGAGCACGTCAGCAAGAAGCCAGTACCCGAGCACCAGAAGAACGTCATCTTCGAGATTACGGCTGAGGATCAGAAGGAGGAGGATGTTGAGATCCCGTATGTGATGGTCAAGTTGAAGTAGATGTCTCATGACTTGGGCAGTGGATAGGTTCCCAGCAAATGGGGATGAATATGACGTGAATTAGACGAGCATAGCTTGCATGAATAGACACATGACTTCAAACCTCAAACGCGCCCAAGCATTCAGCTAGTGATGATGTCGTTTTGTTCTAAACAGTTGGCTCCCGAACAGAAACAATGAACAACTGAAAGCAGTGGGTCGAGTGTCATGGGAGATCTGCTCGTGCCAATGAAGATCAGGCTGGCCGGTGGACCCGCGCGGAATGCACGCTTTTGGTTGTAGGTGCCGAAAGTCGGACGAGACCCGTGGGGCAAAACGCCAAGCATTACAGCCCTATCACCAATGTTGATTATCAAGCCTCTAGGACTTTCCCTCAGTATGCAACAATGTAGTCTTCACACCCATCCCAATCACATTCACACACATCATGGCGCCCTCCCTAGAAGAGCCAGTACAGGTCGATTTCGAAGCGCCACTCAAGGCTGCGCCGAAACTCGTTGCGCCTGAGCCAGGTATGTTTGCCCCGCCTCTTTTCGCAACTCGGCGAAAGTACAATACTAACATAGTTGCGACAGAACACTGTCCTGGTCCCGAATCCCTCACAGCCGGTCAAGCAGATTCATGCGCAGGATGTCCCAACCAGTCAATATGCGCCTCCGCACCCAAGGGCCCCGATCCCGACATACCCATCATAACCGCACGCCTCTCCTCGGTGAAGCACAAGATCCTCGTCCTCTCCGGTAAAGGCGGCGTCGGAAAGTCGACCTTCAGCACAATGCTATCACATGGCTTCGCATCGAATCCGTCATCGACGGTCGGGCTCATGGACACAGACATCTGCGGACCCAGCATACCAAAGATGATGGGTGTGGAAGAAGAGACAATACACGTCAGCGGAGAAGGATGGGAACCGGTATGGGTCAGCGAGAACCTCGGAGTCATGAGCGTACAGTTCATGCTACCAAACCGCGACGATGCAGTAATATGGCGAGGCGCAAAGAAGAACGGTCTCATCAAGAAATTCCTCATGGACGTAACTTGGGGGGAACTGGACTTTCTGATCGTCGACACACCACCGGGCACATCCGACGAACATCTCTCTGTAAACTCGTTCCTCAAAGCCAGCGGCGTCGATGGCGCGGTCCTCGTTTCCACACCCCAAGAAGTCTCGCTTCTCGATGTTAGGAAAGAGATTGATTTTTGCCGGAAAGCCGGCATACCTATACTGGGCATCGTTGAGAATATGAGCGGTTTTGTGTGCCCGGGTTGCAAACATGAGTCTCAGATATTCAGAGCGAGTACGGGTGGTGCAGCAAGGCTGGCTAAGGATCAAAATATACCCTTCTTGGGCAAGGTACCACTGGACCCGAGGATAGGCATGGCATGCGATTTTGGGGAGAGTTTCTTAACAGCGTACCCGGACAGTCCGGCATGTGCTGCTATCAAAGAGGTTGTCAGGAGAGTTGGGGAGGAGATTGGGCTGAATAGGGAAGAGGTGCTGCCTGTGGATGAAGAGGAAGTCTGATATTGTCAAACACTAATGAGGTTTGTTTATGAATAGGGATTATTGATATTGTAAATTGAGCAGCATAAATAGTGTTACGCATCAGCATATACTCGTGGACGAACCCGCTTGTCGCCAATAGCACACACGATCACATGATACAGAGTCCCTCAGTCGGCCCGTGGCAGAAACGTAAAAACTTACGAAGACGGTTGACGCAAGCATCGCAGATCACCACAATGGACTCACTGGAACATGACATACAAAAGAACACAAGAGATAGAGTGATACGAATTAGGGGTATCTTCTCGTTTTGTGTTTTCATGAGGCGATGCCAATGCAGACTTGCGGTACTGTAATGCTACCTGATGGAAACCACACTCGTGAACAAGCATAGCCACTTGACCCCTCTTGTCACCGTCATCCACTGCCACAATGGCGCCGCCCCGTTGGATCTTCGTGTGGCAGATTATCGTGTGGAAATTAGAGTGGACTGGCAGCCACACCACAGCCATTGATCATCGTCATATACAATGCTTGGCAAGGATAGCGGGTGCTTGGCGCATGCATCGAAAGCTTGGTTGGGTAGCTTGTGGCGCGGGAGGAAGATAATGAGCTCATAGACTTTGCGAGGATGAATGCAAGAGACCGAAAATAGGTTTCTTGAGGAAACTGACATATGGGGTGGGTAGGATTGGAGACGGCGTGTCAGACCATGCAGAAGATCGCGATAGGCCCCGTGTGTGAGGGATGCACTGCAGCGCGGAAGCGTCGAGGATGTCATGGCCCACCCGGCTAGCGGCAACTATCCCTGCCGTCCCTTGTGCCATCAATCACAGGCACAACAACTTTCAAGACTTTGAGGCTAGAGGCGCTTTCATTTTGGCCCCAGCCTTTCCTGAAATTCTTACTCTCCCCCGCCTGATATCGTTTCCATACTACCCGCGCTCTCCATAGGCGTGCAATTGCTTCAATTGCGACAGGAACGCGACTTATACTAGCGGCGCGCATCGTATCTGCGCCTGAGCTCAACTCTTGGACCCTGAGCGCATCGCCATTGTAGGTTGCCGCGTGGTCTAGTTGACTCAATAGGCTGACCGGAGTGTAGACTGGTAAACATATTCGACGCGTCTGCTTATATACCTGCGCTTTTCTCTCGCTGTCCAACATCGCTCGCGATCGGCTACTACCATGGCCGCCGAATACCAACAACATGAGGACCCCAGTGGCGTGATAGGCATTGGGGCCGGGCCTCAGGTCATCAGCACCTCGGGCGTGGTGGATGTCATCATGGGACCGCTCCTCAACTACAGACGCACCAGCAACCAGCAGGCCGGGCAGCCCGTCTGGCATGGCAGTGTCCTGATTGTTACTACGCCTGGCCAACAGAACCCGAACGAGGCACAGCCGAACCCCCAGCTTGTGCTTTCACCAGCTGGTCCCGTCGACAGGAACATTGGCGACGTGAGGTTCAGCGTAGATGCGCGCACCTTTCACGGCGAGAAGCTGTATGAAGACAGCAAGAGGGCCTTCTGGCGCTTCCGTATCGATGCGCCCATGCAGCCATTCGAGTCGAGATGGCGTTACGATATCCAGAACCTCAAGTACACCGACACCCAGAAGGAGGAGAAGCCGCAGAACTTCGTCGTACCTTCGATTACACAGTCGATGCGTATCATGTTCCACTCCTGCAATGGCTTCAGTGTAGGCACTGATATGGACGTCTGGTGTGGACCTGTACTGTGGAACGACGTTCTACGCATGCACGACCAGCGACCCTTCCACGTCATGATCGGAGGAGGCGACCAGATCTACAACGATGGAGTGCGAGTAGACGGCCCTCTCAAGCCTTGGACCGATATCCACAGCCCCCATAAGCGACGAGAATTCCCCTTCGGTCAGCAAATGCGTGCCGACTGTGATGAATACTATTACAATAACTACGTTAGATGGTACAGCCACGCACCCTTTTCTACGGCCAACAGCCAAATCCCTCAGGTAAACATCTGGGATGACCACGACATCATCGATGGTTTTGGCTCATACACTGACCACTTCATGAACTGCGCCGTCTTCCGCGGTATTGGTGGTGTTGCACACAAGTACTACCTCCTCTTCCAGCATCATCTTGCTCCTCCAAAGAGCACTTTCACGACCGATGCGCCGCAGACGACCGATGTAAGCGGCCAGGGAGAAGGAACAACGCCCGCCGATCCTGCCCAAGTGCAAAACACTTTCGTCATGACCAACGACGAGGGCGACCCATCATACCTCATAGGCTCAAAGCCTGGCCCATATGTTGAGGAACGTAGCCGTAGTATCTTCTGTCAGCTAGGTGCGCGCATTGCCTTTGCTGGTATTGATGCTCGAACAGAGCGTACTAGGCATCAGGTCAACTACCCCGAGACTTACAAGATGCTCTTCGATCGTCTGGATGCTGAGTTCACTGCAAACCCAGAGCTCAAGCACATGATCTTGCTGCTTGGTGTCCCAATCGCTTACCCTCGTCTGATCTGGCTCGAGAACATCTTGCAGTCACCCCTGATCGCACCCATCAAATTCTTGAACAAGCGCTTCGGCTTCGCTGGAGGCTTCTTCAACCAGTTCGACGGCAAAGTCGATTTGCTCGACGACTTGGATGATCACTACACTGCGCGCCAACACAAGGAGGAGCGTCGTAACCTCATGCACAGTCTGCAGGCCTTCTCTAAGAAGTTCTCCGTGCGTGTCACCATTCTCGGTGGAGATGTACATCTAGGAGCCATTGGGCGTTTCTACACCAACCCCAAGACACATCAGATCCCTGCCGAAGCAGACCACCGCTATATGCCCAACATCATTAGCTCTGCCATTACCAACAAGCCTCCACCACAAGCCGTCGCAAACCTGCTCGCCCGCCGAAACAAGATCCACCACCTTGACAAGGAAACTGACGAGACGCTCCTTGAGATCTTCGACCGCGATCCGGCCCTGCCCGACGGCGTCAACGCGACAAACGGTACTTCTACCGCCCAGATCAATGGCGATGGCAAGGACGGAAAGATCGAACCCAAGACTTCCGCCGCCAACCACGCCACAATGCCCTCCCGCAACTACGCCATCATCTGCGAATCCAATATTCCCACTCCCTCGACCCTCGGTGTACCGCCCGGCTCCGCCCCTTCCATCCACACCAACAACACCGCCGCGTCCAAGGTCTCTGCTGCTCCCGGCAAGAAGGACAACATGCGTCTGGGCTTCCATATTGGTGAAGAGAAGGCTGGTACTCAGCATCCCGCTGCTAACGGTATCGTACCCTCCGGTCTGTGTGGACCGTATGGGTTGGACGTCACACTTAGGGTGGAGATTAGCAACCAAGATCGGGAGGGAAGGACGGATGGGTATGGGTTTAGCATTCCGGCGCTGGATTGCTCAGCTTATGCTGATCGGGATGCGAAGTGGTAGATGCGTGTATCCTGAGGGAGGGAGAGCTTGGATGGTGAACAGAAGGGGGTTGGAGGGGTAGATAAAGAGGCGCCACGGTGGAGGTTACTGGTTGATGATACTTTGCTTTCTTGTTTTGGTCTATACCCTCTCGAAAGTCGCTTGGCTTAACGCCATGATGTGTAGTAGTTAATAAGTGTTTAGTCTGTAATGTTACCCCTTAATTGGGTTGGTAAAGCAGAAGTCTCGTTCCTTACGTTCTTGCAGAGCACAATGATGTATATGTATGCAAAAACAGCTCGGTGCCAGCATGTATCATCTCAAAATACATTGGTTACCTACCCGTAAGATAATTGGTAGAATAACCTCCGTCTCCGCGGTTTTGCAGGTTGAAATCCATAAAGTTCGTTCTGTCTCGACAAGGTATTTACTGCCGGCATGCGCAGCCCCACATGGTGTCTTGGGTGTTTAGATGCGTGGGACTTTCGCCCAGAAATCAATTTCATGGCCTGTCAATTGTACTCAGCACTAAACCCTTCTGCAATTAGCGGGGTGCCTGATAGATACTACCTAGTGATAATACTATCTGGCCCCATTCTCTTCGAGGACACCATAGGCCAGATCGTATATCCATCCGCGGAGTGAAGAGAGGACCCTGCATACTGTACGAATGCGGGCTCGAGAATTTCCTTTTCCCGTAAGCATGGTGCGAGGCTGAAGAGAACACAATGTAGCCCGCACACGTGGTAAAGAAGGAAGGTCCGAAGAGCCGTTTACATCCTTCGTGTCTCAAGATGCGGAATCGAGGGTCCATCGGAATACTAGTCCCGGTACGTGTTTACCCGCCCGCCCGTTGGCGTTCTAGACGAACATTTCCCCTGCTATTCTCTTTCATCCGACTGGTGCAAGGCGTAAAAATGCTACAGCTCACCCTCTTGCCGTTGTACCCATGTCGAGCAGTCCTGTACCCAAGGATTTGGTAAACGGTTTTTCGCCTCAATGAGTCCATTGCCCGCTGCATGCTGCACGCTTGGGCTGAGATCCTATACAAACTGGATATGTATAAATGCGCTTATGAGCCACAAAGAGCATGGCAGTCAGGGACCGTCCTGTCACTCACTATCCTTTAGACTCCCCATCAGTCCAAAATGCTGGCCAGATCCTTCACTGTTTCTTTGGCCTGTGCTGCCCTCGCGTTTGCACAGAGCGCTTCGCTTACTGTCCCACCTGCTGCAGAGACGCTCGCTGCCAAGATCACGCCTGCAGAGCTTCCTCTTTTCGATGGCGAGACCATACAACTGACAGACGATGTCGTAGCTACGCTCCTACAGAACCCTGATCTTGCAGAGTATGCGTCACTGTACGAGTTCGAGGACAGCTCGAACTCTACGCTTTCGGTGCGGGCACGCCGCACTCGTAGAGCTCTTCGTTGCAAGACTATGCCTGGGGATGAATTATATCCGAGCAAAGCTGCGTGGAGTGTTTTCGACACCTTACTTGGCGGTGCTCTGGAGAAGATTGTTCCTATAGGCTCGTCCTGCTACAAGAAATCCGAGTATGACAACTGTAAGTGTACTTGTACAGACTGCATGTGAAATATACACTGACTTCGTACACCGACATCTAGACGATGCCGCAAAGTGCGCGAACCTGGTGAAGAACTTCGATCAAGAAGAGATTTAGTTAGTAGCGATACTTGACAGCGAACCGACACAGCCACTAACAGCAGCAGCTATGTTGATAACGGTGCACTGATGAACCCTCTGTGGTATGGAATGACCTGTCCCATTCCCACTTCAGGCGACTCCGCCAACGGAACTTGCACCCAAGGTGGCTACTCGGAGTATGCTGTAAAGATCAGCAACGTTGCGCAGATTCAGTTAGCAGTGAACCTCGCACGCAACCTCAACCTTCGCCTAGTCGTTCGCAACACTGGTCATGGTAAGTGTCTCTATACGAACTGCATGTAATAAATATACTAACTTCGTACGCTTTGATTTAGACTACAACGGTCGCTCGGTAGGGAAAGGTGCACTGAGTATCTGGACGCATGGCCTCAAGGAGATCAAGTATGTCAAAAACTACAAGAGTTCGATGTACAATGGACCGGTCTTCAAAGTCGGAGCGGGCGTCCAAGGTTTCGAGCTCTACCAAGCTGCCGACAAATATGGCGTCTCCGCTATCGCTGGTATCTGCCCTACCGTGGGTGTGTTTGGAGGCTACTCTACAGGCGGCGGGCACAGTCCTCTAATGCAGTTGTTCGGCGTGGGGTCTGATCAAATCGTCGCTCTCGAAGTCGTCCTTGCTAGTGGCCGTTTCATTACTGTTACCCCAGAGGTCAACAGTGATCTTTACTGGGCCATGTTAGGCGGTGGAGGCGGTACCTTCGGCGTGATCACATCTGCTGTAGTCAAGGTCCACCGCAAGGTCCCGGTCACTCAGTCTTCCTGGACCATCATGACGTCCGAGGCTGTTACAGTCGAAAAGTTCTGGGAGGCATTTAAGTTCTTTTTCGACAACATTCCCGTTTACAACCGAGCGAAAACCTACTCCTATTTCTCCCTCATGAAGCTCGCACCAGGAACTTACATGTGGTCGATGGGCCCATTCTTTGCCACGGACAAGACAGTCGAAGAGTATGACGCTCTTATCAAGCCTTTCTACGAGAAGTGTGCCTCGCTTGGTATTGAGCTCAGCCCCAATACAACCCACCACGACAGTTTCTACCCAGCCTACCAGGCGACATTTGGCACCTTCAACTATTACATTGGTGGCGCCACAGGTATTGCGGCCAACCGTTTGTTGACATCGGAAAACTGGGAGAACTCTGAGATTCGCAACCAAACAGTGGCCGCTATTCAGCAGATTGTGGAAAATGCTATGATGATAAATATGTACCACCAGCGCCCTATCGACCCGGAACAAAAGGGTATCAATTCTGTCAACCCTGCTTTCCGCAACGAAGAGAGCCAGATGGTCGTCATCAACAATGTCCCCGAAGAATCCGCTGCGGGGTGGCAAGCTACCGTCGAAAAGATCACCACTGAGGTCATGGCTCCTCTACGTGAGATATCACCCGCTGGCGGCGCGTACGGTAATGAGGCCGACATCGCCGAGCCGGATTGGCAACAATCTTTCTGGGGCTCCAACTACCCCAGGCTCCAGCAGATCAAGAAGAAGTATGATCCTGGTATGCTCTTCTATGTGCATCATGGTGTTGGCACCGAAGGCTGGGCCATTGATGACAACGGCATTATCGGCGCGGGTGTTCAGTCGACGGACGGTCCATTGTGTCGCGTGTAGTCGTGTTAAAGCGATGCGCTCGGTCGTGTAGATATTTCAATGCAAATGCGATATTCTCAATGGCATTTTTCTCGATGAACTCCCGGACAATGACACGCGTCACCGAGGCCGCACGGCGCTTACAGTGTTCATGGACGCGTATGGTAGTGGGCGTCCCGTCTGCCAAGACATTGATGCGACGATATAGAAACGTTGTTTTGAGTTATCGGCAGTTGTAATCTGCCTGGGCAGGCGTCGATGCGATAAAACGGGCGGACTGATGAGGTCGGGCTGTCCCATGATCGACTCTCTGTCACAAGCTCAGAAGCCATACGTGCTCTTCTATAATTTTCCGGTGGTGCTTCACAATGCGATGTGACTGAAGAGCGGAAAAATCGCCGTCGGTTCCGCTCTTTTACGCGTCGAAGGATTTGCCGGTGGGAGCTTTTTGGGGGGCTGTGCGACACTTATGCTGCAGACGCGGAGTGCGGCCGCCTCCCCGTCCCTTAGCCCTGTCATCTGCAAGACGTTGTTCTAGAAGATCTGAAAGCGGAGGGAAAGTCGATGCGACATGCATGACCATGTCTCGTCGCACGTCCGCGCCTATGAGGAGTCGAGACGTGCAAGGAGCCGGGTTGTTGCGTCGCAGGTCATGGTGAGGGCCAGATTGTCAGGAAAGTGTATCGAGCGCGAAGCACCAGGGCAGGTACACCCGATTAGTCAACCTTCAACAGTCTGTCACTACTACAGGCAACGGGATGTAAAACAAACAGAGATCTCGTCCTCCGCCATGGCTTCCTTTCTCACGCCTCCGTCTTGTGATCGTCAGCTGCTTATTCTACAAATCTGCACTCAAATCTTCGGAAGACTCAGTATCCGACGCGGAATCTTCAACATCGGTCTCCAGCATGTGCCCCTTCAGTAAGCTTGGCAACTATATCGCTCTTTGATATCGCTAATTAAAAAAAAAAGCTTCGTTGCCTTCTGGTGAGGGTCCAGCTCGCTTCTCCCCCAGCGCTGTCAAGGACTGGCAGCCCAGGCGAAAGTCTGTCTCGAACGCTTGTGAGCGATGTCGACGGAGGAAGATTCGATGCGACGGCGAGACGCCCTGCTCGACGTGTAAACGTTTTGCAATACAATGCGTGAGAACACAGAAACCAAAAGAAGTTGTGGCATCGTGAGTGCTAGCATCAAGACGCGTCAACGCGTAGTCACATGACCCATGTTCTAATGAATCTGAAGCGAACATCGTGAAGCATTAGAAGGACGAATACACCAGCTCGAAGCACAGTTGGCCAGACACGTTAATGCGCCCATGCATGGTATGGAATCCATCGACCAGAACCTCATGGCCGGCACGCCAACATCCTTCGACTGGCAAGCGACGCCTTCGCACCTCAACCTCGACACCACAATACCCGCCACATTCACCGCCGATGACTTGGATATGGGTTCTTTCTCAGCCAGAAGCGGGAGCATGCCTTCCATCGCCATAGATGAATGTGAGCCTTTCCCCAACTTCTCCACGCCGTCTTCACCAGTACCTTCATTATGGTTAGGTACCACGCGTGCCTCGTCACCCGATTCGATGCCACCTGGATCCGCACTACCGCAGTTCGGAACGGCATACCCACCCATGAGCAAACCCATGCCATCGTCGATCGAACCGCACACGGCGCCATCTTGGGAGTTCATGGCTCAAGCAAGCTCCAGTCAGTTACAACCAGGTACTAGCAGTCGAGGTCATTCTCGGAAGACTTCAACCTCTTCCCTGTCTCAGGCTAGCAATGAGCAGGCCATGTCGCCAATTCCTGAAGTCGAGGATGACATCCTCCCTCTGGCTCCAGCACCACGACTACCCCGTCAAGGCATATTCGCTGCTCGTCATACGGAGAGTCCTGGCCCAGGCTCTTCCCGATCAAGTTTCACCGACCGCAGTCGTGCTCTGGCAACCACTCCACTTCCCAGTCGCTTCGAAGCAGAGACCTTGACAACGGAGTTCGTCCAACATCTCGAGTCCCTGGACTATAGAGCTTACTCCATCACCCCCTCACTCTTCTCTCGGTTCTGCGAATCTGTTTACCCCAACTCTCAGCGACCTGCTGTCAAAATCTCTGCCTCCATGCCAATGGCACGCTTCCATGTCTTCCTAGCAATGGCCATTGCGATGAAGGTGAGGATCAAGGATGCGCCAGAAAATACAAACGCGCTCCTTGATACTTGCTACGAGCTTGCCATGCAGCAAGCTTGTTCTTCCACATTCTGGCAAGAGACAGGTGGGATGGAAGCAGCTCAACTGTTGGCACTTTTTGCCTCGCTTCGCAAACCTGCTAGCGAAGAGCCGCGCGGTCTTCAGCACTCCTTCTCTTGGTGAACAGTAGAGTCCCAAGATGATTTTTTTTTCGTACTCATGACTGTATGTCTTCTCTTTCCTTTCTGTTTATCCTTGATCTTTCCGAAAAGTCGCGATCATTCCCGTGTCATCTTGTACATATATAGCATACCTTTACGAACGGCAGCCTTCTTGCAAACGCAATAGATACCATCTTATCCATGCTGAGAACCTGTGTCCTCTTGAATCCCGTATCTTGCTCTTCTTTCGAGTCGCAACAGGAGAATGCTACGGATATCATCTATGCTACTGCAGTATACATGCAAGGTATCAGACGCGTATACGGTCTCACGAGCGGCTAACTGCCCTTGAGCTGATGAGCTATCAGAAGCCAGTCATGAGTCGCAAAGATAATGCAGTGCGAAATTTCGGGACTTGGGGCAATCGCACCAGATGCGAAGTTCCACATCTAGTAGTCTTACATGGCTCAGGTGCTTCTATGTGACTGGAGAAGAAAGAAGAGGCAACACTGGCGAGGTACTGCTTTGCCTCCGTGACAGCATTCGGTCGCAGCTTACCCGCTGGCAATGCCGGCTTTAATTCCGAAACATGGGGCGCGGTATACCCGATTTGGCGATTCCCCCTCAAATACCTTACCGGTGGTTCGCAGAGCCATAAGACGAGACCTCCACTGACACAAGGTGCCGCAGAGAGCTTGAATGATGTCGCAGATTGACGGAGCTGAAGTAGCGAAGCACCACAGCAAGAAGGACTGCTGGATAGTGCTAGATTCCAAGGCATACAATGTGACAAACTTCCTGTCCGAGCACCCAGGTGGCGCACCGATTATTCTCAAGAATGCCGGCTCGGTGAGTAGTATTGCAGTATTGGCGCAACTCAACACTGACGTTGATTAGGATGCGACGGAAGAGTTCAAGAAATATCACCCGTTGAGCTATCTGGACGATTATCTGCCCAAAGATGCGTTCCTCGGACCTGTCGACCCCAACACATTCGGCCAGCTACGCCAGATCAAGAGCGAAGAATCAACAAAGCCCTCCGAAACCGATCCGAATTCCAACGAAATTCCACACGTAAGCCTCTGTGTCTCGACCACCGACTTTGAAGCAGCGGCCAAAGCAGTCTTACCTCATAAGTCGTACGTTTACGCTTCTGGATCCGCCAACACAGGTGCATCGCTCAAAGGCAACCTCGATGACTGGGGTCGTATCAATTTCCGGCCGCGTGTAATGCGAAACGTAGGCGATGTAGACACGCATCGCAAGATCTTCGGGCATAGCTCACCGTACCCATTCTACATTTGCCCCATGGGAACGATGGGCGCCATCCACGAAGCTGCTGAGCCAGAAATGATCCGAGGAGCAGTACGGAAGGGGATCCACAAAGTCGTCAGTACTGCGAGCTCCAAGAGTAGCGAGCAGATCATGCAGAGCTATCAAGATGAGCGAAAACGACTTGGTAATGGCAGTCCGACGCAACTATTCTACCAATACTACATGCCCGTTGACCGCAACAAGGCTATCGAGCTCATGCGCATCGTCAAACGCTGCGGGTACAGGGGCCTGTGGATCACAGTCGATACGCCTGTTCTTGGTAAGCGAACGGCGGATCGATATCTTCAGGCCGAAGAGGCACTAGCAGTTGGTCTTGCAGAAGAGAGTACTGCAGAGTGGGAGACAGGCGGCGATAACGCTTTCGCACCTGCCATGGGTGGACGGCCGGTACAAGGCCAATTGAGTCCGCATACCACATGGGAAGATCTAGAGTGGATCCGCAAGGAATGGGATGGACCGATTGTGCTGAAGGGAGTGCAGTGCGCGGATGATGCGAAGCTAGCAATGGAGCATGGTTGTGATGGAATCTTGCTCAGTAACCATGGGGGCAGGCAGTTGCACACCGCACCGAGTGCGCTCATGACGTTGTTGGAGATTCGAACGTATTGTCCAGAAGTCCTGGAGAAGCTGGAAGTCTTCCTCGATGGTGGTCTGAGAGATGGGAACGACGTGCTGAAGGCGCTGTGCCTGGGTGCGACAGCTGTGGGCGTAGGAAGACCCTTCCTATATGCGCTTGGAGCTTATGGGTCGAAGGGTGTTGAGATATGTGTTGACAGTAAGGATCATCGCGGTTTGAGAGTCAAACAAATATGCTAACATGTGACAGTTCTTGCGGATGAGCTGCAGACGGGCATGCGCTTGTTAGGCATCACATCGCTGGACCAGTGCAGACCTGAGATGGTTAATGCAACGAGACTGCTGAATGAGATGTGGCGACCGGACCAGTTGAGCTTGAAGAGTAAGCTGTAACAATACGACTACCAGTCATTCGCGGATATATGCCCGAGAAAGTCCAAGTATTACATGTCAATGTGATGGAAGTCTGCTACAGGCACACTTTGCGGTACCCCTCCACTTACCCCGGAGATTTGCACTTCCAGAACCAATAGGTAAAGGCTCAGCCCGCACTAGACTGATGCTGCCGCTGTCGCCGATCCCGCCGAAAGCAACGGGCTCAAAATTCTTCTGCCCCTCAACCCCTCCTCACCCCACCATGCTTTTACCCGCAGAATCTTGACGGGAATATAATCGTCGCAATCAAGTCTTCTTTCATCAAATCTTCCTTAGGTGAGATGGCCGAGTTGGTTATGGCGCCAGGTTAAGGTTATCTTAACACATATTCCTGGTCACGAAAGTGGCGTGGGTTCGAGTCCCACTCTCATCAGCATTCGTCTGCTTCAGCAGATACCCCAGGACATTTTTTTGCGCCCCGATCATGCCTGGATGACTGTGCCTTCGCGCTTTTGCCATGTCTGCACCTAGTTTTTCATTTTGTTACTGGAATACCATTCAGCATCCTACCTCTAGCCTGCTTACATCTTAATCTGGAGAAGTTCCGTGTTGGGCTGTTTCAGAGATCGTCGTGTTATTACACATCCTCTTCAATAAGAGAGCAAGTTGGGCAACGAAGACATGTTTAAAGAAAGCGTGTCCCGATAATGTAGCGTTGTTAAAGAACCTGGAGTGTACTGCTTAGTTATGGTTTGTGCATTCTCTTAGTTACTTCCTAGCGACAGCAACATGCGCTACACATTTGAACCCCTCTACTTCGATTACATCCGCGTCATTTTTTCCATTCAAAGGCCTCTGAATTTCCACGGCAGCTTTTTTCCCGGCAATGTTCAATTGCTTTCTGAATTCTTCGTTCTCTTCGTCCGTCCACTTTGGACCCATATGCTTCCACATGCCGAACAAATAGCCGCAAGTCTCTTCTAAACTCCTTGAAGCATAGTAAACTGTCTTCTCGTGCAACTCAACATCTTTGAATCCTGCACCTTCCAGCGTCTTCTTGAGATGCGAAGCTTCGAACCAATCGTCCGAAACAGGCCAGCGAAACAAGGGCTCTTCTGGCTTGACCGCTTTCTGTGCTTCGTGTACAACAGCCATGTGGCCTACAGACTTCCAACTAGTAACAATCGCTGTTCCTCCTGGCTTGAGCGTACGATGGATTTGCGCTGCACCCTTTGCCGCGTCGGGGAAGAAAAAGATGCCCATGTTGGTTATGGAGTGCGTAAACGTCTCATCGGGGTATGTCAGGTCGACACCGTCCATGACATCAAAAGACAAAGTCGCCGAAGACTTTGTAGCTGGAAGGGTGTGCCGCGCTAGATCAACCATCGATTTCGCATTGTCGACACAGGTGATCTTGATCGGAGTATCTGGGTATTTGAAAAGAATTTCTTGCGCGACAATACCATTCCCGCATGCGTTGTCTAGAACGACGGAGTAGGAGTCGATTGGGGGCAGTATGTCGACCAGATGCACGGCAGTTTCGCGAGTGCAGCCACCAGTAGAGGCCTCATAGCTTGATGCGAGCGTGTCGAACATTTCGCTGGCGGTTACGCTGGGTTTACTCATGATGGCCGGCTGTTTGCTGTTTTGTTTCGAGCGGTACAATGTATATGCAGAGAGAAAACAAGGCGAGGTTAGTGAGGTACTTATAGGCGGCCTGAGGCTTACGAGAGACCAACACAGCTGACATGCGTGGTGGCTGACGTGAAGCAAACCAACGCGTGTGATACGCAGGAGGCATCAACAAAACTCATAATTCATCGGAAGAATTTCTTCCTTGTTTGTACGATCAAAGTGGATTGGTAAGTCTCCGGATTTCTTCCTAGCCGAGAGTTCGGATACTTTCGCCCTCTAAAGTACCCGAGCTTAGAAATCGATTGTGTATTCTTCATAACAATCGAGAGTCAATCGTACGTACTTTCAAAAATTCTATTAAAAGTGAACTGGTGTATCCTCCTCTATGCAATTCTCAAGTTACCTAAGCGGTACTTCATGCATTTGGTAGCGGAACTCTCTAGCATTTACATCCCTATCTTGCCGTTTAAAGCAACGCACACCTCTTCGAAGCTAGTTTGATCTAACTTTAGGGAAGAAATGGTTCGCCTGCGTGCACGCCTTAGTAGTCAATGGGATTCCAGAAGACGCACCAAGGCCTTTTTATTTAGAGCTTCGCATCCTTCTTGAACCTGATCAACCCATCTTGGAAGGTTGTCGCAATATGCACTCCACGTTTATAGTCCCACATACGACTGGTATGAAGTGCTCTCCCACCTGTAGCTCTAGTGAGCCAGGCCTCTTGCACAAACCATTTTCGCCCGTCTTTGTCACCATCCTTGTGCTCTTCTAGGTTGCAGAGTGGTAGCGAGCCGTCTTCCCACAAGGTCGGATCGGCGTTTGGGTGGTCAATCCGTGGCTCAGAGGTCATGAGGAGATCTTTGATACCGACATGAAAGACGACACTGTGAGATAGGGATGCCATGCGGGTGTAGTCTCGCGGCCGACCGAGATGGTTTGGGACGATGAAGAGAGAGTTGCGATCCGATGCATACAAATGTGCGCAGGCATGCATGTTGGCCTCTCGTGTCAAGGCAAACTTTTGATCTGAGTCTGAGGGAGGCGGATATGGTGCGGTAGGTAATGGCAGTGAACCACGGAGGGTGTAAAAGGTCAGTTGCTTTCGATCGAGCGGATGGCGGCTACGGTTGTAATCCGTCATATCAGCCTTACGTATGTGCAATCCAGCTACGGGGTTGAAGTGTTCTGGATGCGCTGGAAGGTCTAAGCGTGGATTCGCGCAGTCAATATATGTCTCACATATAGTTCGTATGGGGTCACTTACATGTTTCCCGGAAATATTCAGAATCATTGCTTGGAGCCGCTGAATGCTCCATCGGCTCATCGGCTTTATCTTCCAGTGTATCCTTGTATAGGTCCCTCAAATTCACGTCCTCTTGGACATCGAAGGGTGAGGTCTCTTCCCTTTTGAAAGAGCAGGTGCATACAAACATATACCCATGAGCGGCAACCTGGCTCACGGTCACGTCTCGGATGCAATAGTTGTAGCCATCTCGGATTTTTCGAACGCGGTACGTGTAGTGTTCATTTGGCTTGCCGCCTAAGATGAACCATCCGGTGATGTTCTATCATATTAGGTAGCTACCGTAATAGTACGACACTGGTAGCTTACATGTATTAAGAACCCTTCTGCGACAGTTTGCGCTGCAGCCCATGCAGCTTGGGCAAACACGTGCCCGCCGTATGTTCCATTCTCGCCGCCAGTTGGTGAGTACGCTTTTACGATCGAGCGGAATGTCCTATCATCGATACGTTCAAGTTCGATTACTTTTTCGAAAGGAAGTACGCGTTTATCGTCGGTGAAATATGGACGAACAACCATGACAACAATGGAAGCTTCCCAGATGGTACAGATTGATTAGTCCGTCTTCTCGAGGGATTTGCTTGAGCTGAGTCGATATTGGTATTTACAGCTGGTGCAGACGCGACGCTAAAAAGTTACCTCGGAACACGCGGGGTTCGGTTGGATGACGGGACAAGACAACCCCCCACTAGTGTCACTCAAGCCGTATAGATAGTCATGGCACGATATGATGACCCAGGCTGTGCGATGCCTCTGAGACCGAAGGAGTTGCAATTCTCTACATGCTCAATGTTTACTTCAGTCCGATCTTCCAGACCTCTTCTTCAGGAACCATAGCCTAACAAAGTAAAACACAAGACCACAAAGCCAGATCCCTACGAGAATCGCTGCCTGTATGGGCGCGAATACAGCGCCTCTAACAACGACAAAGCCGCTGATCAGGGCAAAAAGTATAGGGATAAGAATGAGAGGCTTCACGGGTCGGGGTAGATCGGGCTCTCGGAAGCGTAAGATGATGGCTCCAAGCACGGTGAGAAAGAAGAAAGCATATTCAGCCAGCCCGTTGAGAGTTAACAGGATGCGCATGTTTCCGAGCAGAATATATATGCCAGAAAGGATAGTGTTGAGAATCAAAGCATTGCTAGCAGTCGTCAGAGAGTGATTGTCAAAGAATGCTCGGGTATATACGTACATCGGAGACTCTCCATTGTCCATGGCCATATCCGCTGGCTCATCCGAATCGGCAATTTTGCTTACTCTAAGGGTACCAACATATCCGACTGTGCCAAAAACACGCGGGAACCAATTGTTGTTCGCCGCTGCCACAGTCATCCTTCCAGCGACGAAAGAGTTACCAAGGGCGGAGCCCGCAATTACAAGACAGATGAGCGCTGTAGCAAAGTAAGCTACACCCTTGCCAAGGAAATGGGTAACAGCCGTCTGGTGTATGTCAGTACGCAAGATCGTGGCACTTAAGTTTGCAAAACTTACTACAGCAGCAGCATCCGTTGTTGATACAACCCCCCAGGGAAGTAAAATATAGTAGACCGCGTTAGCTGCGACATAACAGAGTATGATTATAGGTATAGCGGTGTTGATTGACAGTGGAAGCTGACGGCTGGGATTCCGCAACTCAGCTGCAACATAGTTGGCTTTGTCCCAACCAGAGTATGCCCATAGAGCTCCATAAAGAGCAGTTGAATAGAACCCAAGTGACTCCCATGTAGTCACCTTTGTCCAGTCGAACCTTGATCCGTCGGGTAATGCCGTGTCTCTTGGCGAGAACCAATTGTTTTGATGCCAATCATGACCTCCGAGGTCCTTGCTCTTTCCGACAAAGACAAAGACCACGACTAACCCAGATATGATAAGCAAGGAAATGGTAAGCAGTTTTATGGCAACGAAGAAGCTAGATAACCGAGTGCTCGTCTTGGTGCTGATGGAGTTTAGAGTCGTGACACACACTAGGACAAGCAGAGACAGCAATTTATGCGTGATAGGCGGATCTGGTTCATTCACACCCAAGCTGGAGTAGATGGACTCCACAAATACGATGCTGAGAATCGCAAGTGTAGCTGGCATGGTCGCAACGACCCAAGACCAAGCCGCCATGTATCCAAAGACATCTCCATAAATGTAAGTGAGATATGGTTGGATGCCGCCTTCGCCAGGAAACGCCGTACCGAGCTCAGCCATGGTCAGAGCGCCACTCCATGCTAGAATACCGCCAACTAGCCATACAAGTAGCCCAGCGCCAGGTGATGGAACATTCGCATCGATGGGTCCTGGCGATGAAAATACTCCGGATCCGATGACGATGCTTATCAGGAGCGCGAAGCCATCAAGCGCACCCAGGTTGCGGGCAAAAGTACTTCTCGCGGCGGTAGTTTCATCGTATTCCTCATCTGGAGCGTATGACGTTGTCGATTCCTGGCGCAGTAGAGGTGCTGTCTCTGAGGATGCCATTTGTCGTGTTCTTGAAGTGTACAGAGGCTTGATAAGGTAATCGTCGTCAACGCGGTGTAACTTAGAGAGCTACGTGTCTTCTCTGAGCTTCAGAGATGTCGCAAGCATGTATCTTTTGATACTGCTAAGTTAAAGGAACCAATCCTCAATATGGTGGTAGGAGAGGACAGGAAGGCTGGATTGGCGTGTGTCGCGCGATGCTATCGCGTCAGGATGAGCCCGAGTTACGTCATCCCGATTACCCACCACATGCCGCGACATCAGAATATGAAACTTCATTCACTAATACCCTTGCAGACGTACACCCATATATTTTAGAGGGCCCGCTGAGCTGAACTACTTGCAGATTCATTTTTCGTTCAGTACGACGTCATCCTGCAGACCTTGACTTGACATCTTTCTCTGCCAACCACATAGAGCTTGGAACCCTATGGCCAAGTATCCGCTGTCGCCAAGACGCACATGCATCTATTGGAACACATACGGTAGAAGATTAGCACTATGTTGCCTCAGAACCTGGAGAGACCAGATTACAACAAATCGATTGTTGGGATGGACCCTTAATGTCCAATGAGATACATGTCGCCCAGTGACAGGCTAGTCGGGCTTAAATCAGGGAGTGACTGTAATCTAGAATTGAGGCGTTCCCAAGGCTTCCTACCCGACGAATTTTCCCAATGAGGAAGAACGATACAGAAAAGAAGAAACCATAAGTAGAGACGCGACATTAGACGTTGGAAGACCATGGATAAACTCCTTGAAGGTGTAAAGAAGGTCTTGCGCAAGCGGTGTGTATCCGTATGCAGCTTTGGTCCTAGGACTATAGGTAAATTCATCGTCTCTCATCTATGCAACCATGACAACCGAAGGCATGAATACCAACATCCTCTGTCTTGTGGACCACATATGATCTGTCTTTTGGTCGCAGTGCTGGGATGGCCAGAAACCTGTTCGCTAGCGTGCTTTCACATGGGAAACTGCGGGGAGGTTAAGCTTAAATCTTTAGTGCAATGACAGACCAATGACGCTGGGTGGGAATCATTGGCCCTGGCAGAGTTAGTGTGCTGTATAAGGCTTAGTGATGCCCATCATCATGGCGACGTCATTTCTTGTGAGCTCACGGTTTGCTCGCAGCTGCTTAAAGGTCTGGGTCCCTGGTCGAACTTCTATTCATCACACACTGCCTTTTTTCAAGATACCCAAATCTTTCTCAACTTTTCACCAATCTCTTCCTCCAATCAATTCACCGAGAAGAACACACATACCAACGCCACCATGTTCTCGAGACAAGCAACCCAGAATGCGCGGTTTGCAGCCCGTTGTGCCCGTCGTCCAGCTTCGCGGGTAGCCAACCCCCAGTTCCGCGCCCAACAACCCCGCTTCCAGTCTACCGAGTCAGCAACATCCGGCAACGCGGGTGCCGGCTCACATGCCGCAATCGGTGCCGCATCTGGTGCCCTTGCAGCCATCACAGTCGGCTACATCTTCTACAGACAATCGGGTGCTCGTGATGTTGTAATAGCTTCCAAGACTGCAAAGGGCTACGTCAACTCAGCTACACAGAAGATCAAGGAGCAAACACCAGAGCCCAACGAGGCGCTGCAATGGCTGCGAAATGCTGCGCAGAGCTACGCTACTTTCATCCCCGGTGCCAAAGGCTACGTTGACTCCGCCTTCGATGACCTCGATGCTATCCGTGCAAAGCACGGCAAGGAGGTTGACCAGATCGTCACCGAGGCATACGACGAGATGCGCCAGGTTCTCGGCAACGGTGATATGAGCCTCGTCACCGCACACAAGACTTGGGACGTTATTACCAAGCACATGAGCCGCATCGCAGATCTTGCTGGCGACGCATCACAACAGATCATGGACAACCACCCTCAGCTCAAGGAGAAGGTTGGCGGTAACATTGATAAACTCAAGGAGTACGGCGACAAGTATGGTCCCGAGGCCAAGAAGGAGGTCGACAGGACATGGAAGCAGATCAGTGACGTCGTCAAGACTGGCGTAAGTGCGTCGAACATTGAGAAAATCAGGAGCATCGTGCAAGAAAAGGTGGAGAAACTCAAGAAGATGGGCGATGAGGCTTGGGACAAGGGTATGGAGCAGGCAAAGCCCTACCTTGACAAGAACCCTCAGGTCAAGAAGATTGTCGAAGAGAACGCGGATGCACTCAAGGGCGGAAACGTCCAAGAGCTGTACGAGCGCGTCAAGTCTGCCGTCGAGAAGGGTGATACTGGCGACCTTGAGTCATACGTCAAGAGCGCCGCCAACAAGGCCAAGGAGTCTGGTTTCGGTGATATCGAGCAGTACTTCAAGCAGATCCCTGGCGGCGACCAGATCATGCCCAAGCTAAGCCAGCTTCAGGACGTTGCCCAGAAGCACGGCGACGAAGCACAGAAGCTTTTCAAGGACACCATCTCGGAGATCTCCAGCCTCCTCCAGAAGAAGGGTGAAGAGGCATCCAAGTTGGCCGACAAGGCAAAGGAGGACTCTAAGAAATAGGACACGACAGAAATGTTGTCCTAGCATGATGAGGAGTGTAACGACTACTTTACTTGTACGATTATATGCATCATCGGCGTTGACCATGTCCAGCGAAATTATCTTAGCATCTGTAAACAATCTTGAAAGCAACTTCAATCTGACTACTATCTGCTGTCGCCTTCTCTAGCCTCTCTGTGATGTCCCACATTGGTTCGTCGCACAGTCGGCTAGAGATGATTGCATCAAGGTATTGTGCGGGGGATGCATGTCCATGACTGCCTGCATGCAGGAACTGCTCACTGTGCACACCGCACACCGTGTTGACGTCTTCTGGAATCCTCTATGCGGGGTGAACTGTCGGTGTAATATGTACATGTACGTCTTATAGGCTGCACACAGGAGTTGCCGCCAAAGTAACCCCGCGATCGGCTAAGGAGGTGAGTGGGTCTGTGGTGAAAGAAAGTGGTGAGAGAAGGCGATGGCGGCGTTCGTGCGCCCAATGGACCGGACACGCTCCACTGAGGCAGCCAATGACGTAAATGCGCCTCCCCTCCCCCCGGCTGCGCCGCCCTTCTCTGACACCTGGCAAGCGCTGCTACTCTATTTACTTGTCCCTCAACAAATTCCCAGCCCTCTACATCTTCTCACTCCAATTCCCCACTTGTCTCTACCAAACTCTTCCTTTACACGTCGATCGACACTACTCCTACCGCCCACCTAACCCAGACACACTACACAACCGCAACCATGGGCAAGGTAAGCATCGGCGTGCTCACATGTACCCCGCTGGTACCCCGCTAACACGTGCATAGGCGAAGTACATCATGCTCGACTGCGACAACACGCTCGTCCAGTCTGAGCGTTTTGCGTTCGAGGCCTGCGCCGACCTCACCAACCAGGTCATGGAGAGGCACAACATCGATGCCCGCTACACAGCCGAGTCATTGCTCGAGGACTTCGTCGGCCACAACTTCCGCGGCATGCTCAAGGGCCTGCAGGAGAAGCACAAGTTCAAGATGCCCGACGACGAGATGGAGGACTTTGTCGCACAAGAACTCGGCGCCGTCACTCTCAAGCTCAGCCAGAAGGCTGTCGAGTGCCCTGGCGTGACTGAGCAGCTCACCAAGCTCAAGGAGGAGGGCTACCCTATGTCTGTTGTCTCTACTTCCGCCAAGAGCCGCGTCGTCGCTTCCATCGAGAAGGCCGGCATCGCCCACTTCTTCCCTCCTGAGCACGTCTACTCTGCTGCCACCTCACTCAACCCTCCCTCTTCCAAGCCCGACCCCAAGATCTACCTATACGCTGCCGAGCAACTAGGCGTCAAGCCTTCCGAGGCCATCACCGTTGAGGACAGCAAGAGCGGTGCCACTGCTGCCATGCGCGCCGGTATCCCCTGCATCGGCTACGTTGGCATCTACGGCATTGAGGAGGGCAAGGACAAGATGGACCAGATGGCTAAGCTTCTCACCGAGGAAACCAAGTGCGCTGCCATCATGTACGATTGGAAGGACTTCCCAGAGTGCTTGAAGAAGGTCGAGGCCAAGTTGTAAGTCCTTACTTCGACACTTGTGTAGGCGCTGAGGAAGATGAACATTTGATGAACTCGACCCGCCATTGCGGGGGAGCTTACGATTACATTCACGACATCAATGATTAAATAGATTCAGTAATGAACAATTTAGCGGACATGGTCCCATTCACATTTACATTCACATTCATATCCACGACAACCATCTTTACTGTTCCTTTGTTCTACCGTGTTTACTATTTTGTTTGGTGACGCAATGGTGGGACCCGCGCCGTTCGTGGGCAGGCACAGCGTTCCAGGCTCGGGTGACGGCCCAACGCTGCCCCGCTCCCCACTTGGTACCTGCAAACTTCAACGCGAAACATCCCGAACATCGAACTTTTGCCTTTGCCATCCCAGATCCCTAGTGCCAGCTTTTCGTCGCGTTAATTTCTGCTGCTCACGCGTCCTGCAATGAGCAGTCTGAGCCGCCGTGCCCATGTCGACGGTCCGATCCATTAATGTGTTGATCCTCACTCCGACCTCAGCGCTAGCTGGCTCCTGATTCTCGGGCTGAAGAGCCTATAGCTTCGGCTAGTGAAGGGACCTCTGCTTTGCCAAATCAACGCTCACGTGATTACAGAGAAATCAGCTGATCACTACCGTGCCAAGCGAATGTGCCTCGGTAAGAACAGGGCCTCAATATCACGCAAAGTCGTGCTCTACCACACTCTTTGCGCAAGACCCAACAACCCCTTGTCCGCCGGGTATCTCCACAACGCAGAATCAACACTAGCCACTGAACAGCTGGATATGACATGCGCAAATCCTAGCACAGAGTTTAACGACAGCACCTCATCCTGTCGTTATCTTCGCTCAACAGATCTGCACCTTGGCATTCTGGCGGCCAAGACATGACCAAGACATGCTTGATAAAGCCTCCTTCCTATCCTGTCGACAGCTCCTTGCTCGAAGCTTTTGCTTCATCTAACACCACCAATGTCATACCCTGTACGGCATTGGACTTCATATACACGTTGCTTATGATCTTTGCCGACTGCCAATCGTGGATCTACACCACCTCGTGTGATGGGTCACTACATGTATAGTAGCATCGAAAGGGGCAGGTATCGTGGCTACCTGCCGGGTTAGCCATAGGCAGTGCAGAATGGATACTGGCATTTGGAGTACCTCTGTGTCGGAGAGCACGCATTTAAGAGTTCGTGAGAAGCCTGCTGTGATAATCCATCGGCACCTGTCGCATCGTTCAAATCACAATCAACATGTATCTACGCACAGCCCTTCTATCTTTGTCCGCCCTTGCGGCAGCAAAGGAAATGCCAAAGGACGAGTTGAGAGCCGCACAGCTTTATGACTCTGGCATCAGGCACGAAAACAACGTTGCCCTCAAGAAGGTCACAAACACATTCCTTTCCTGCGAATTTACACTAAGCCTTAACAGGAGTCATGGGCACGTCAGGAAGCTGCAGGCATGTACAACTCTGCTCAGTATGCTGAGATCAAAGACAAAGTAGAGTGTCTGAACGGTACTGCGGTTACTGGAAATGACGTTTTCCAATGCAAGAATGTCAGTTCGCCCACCATGTATCGAGACTCTCAACCATTAACACATTCAACCAGATTGACTTGCTCCATTTCTTGTCCCATGCTGAGCTGGGTAGCACTCGTGGTGTCGGATCTTCGTCATGGGGCTGGACATCCGAGGACGGTCGCGAGTTCGTTGCTATCGGACAACAGGACGGTGCCGCATTCGCCGAAATCACTGCTGAAGGCAAGCTCTCATATCTGGGCCGTCTGCCAGCCTACTCTACGCCTAGTACATGGCGCGAGATCCGTGGCCAGAACAACCTCATGATCATCGGCAGCGAGGCAGTCGGCCATGGAATTCAGATCTTCGACATGAAGAAGCTAATCGACATTGACCCTGCGTCCCCCGTGACTTTCAGCAACAACGGCGATTTGACTGGTCACTTCAAGGGCCTCCCTAACGGCAGAACTCACAACGTCGTGACAAACCCTGAGACCAACTTCATCTATGCCGTTGGTGCGCAGCCAAGGACGGACAAGTGCAAATCTGGAATCATATTCATCGACATAACCGATCCTTCAAAGCCAACAAGCCCAGGCTGGTAAGTGCGACTTTATGTTGGAGATGAGATCACCGCTGACCAAGGATAGTGCATCGGAAGACGGATATGTACACGATGCTCAATGTCTTATCTACCGCGGACCAGATTCCGAGTTTGAGGGCCATGAGATTTGCTATGGCTACAATGAAGATTCTCTCACGATATACGACGTGACCGACAAGAAAGCCCCAGTCATTCTGTCCAATTCTTCCTACGAGGGTGCGGCATACACCCACCAGGGCAACGTTCTAGACCCCATGAACCAACAGTTCCTCCTGCTCGACGATGAGTACGATGAATACGACAAGGTCGGCCCTGCTATCCCTGGTCATCCCATCACGTACATTTGGGACATCTCATCTCTCCGCGCACCCAAACAGACTGGACTGTACAAGAGCGGAGCAAAGGGCATCGACCACAATCAGTATGTCGCGAACGGTTTCGCATATCAATCAAACTACGGCACCGGATTCCGTGTTCTTGATGTCCGCAGCATTCCTGATGACCCAACGGGTGCTAGTGTGAAGGAAGTTGGCTTTTTCGGTATGTAAAAACGAACGTCGAAGTCTTAGTGTACCTTTACTTACATCTACCTAGACGTATACCCTGAGGATGATAACATGCCTGGAGGTGGTACTGTCGACTTCGTCGGCACGTGGTCGAGCTATGCGCTGTTCAAGAGTGGCCACATCTTGATCAACACTATGGAACGTGGTGTCTTCATCGTCAAGATGCAGGAGGGATTCGACAAATAGACGGATAGAGCATATTCATTTTGGAATTACTCGTGGCAAAATCAAGTTTAGGGTTTATTATCAACGTCGATCCCGGCTGTATTCCGTCGGTATCAGTGCGGCTTTCTACCAGACGATTGGTCCATGATGAATCTTCGGCGCAATATTGCGCATGTTTGGAACTTGTAGATTGGAGCCATCAAAGTCGGAATTCAAGCAATCAAAGTCCTGCCATGGTCTAGCCTTAGCATCTAGCGGCGTCGGTGTCACCGTTGTTCATCGTGTTTTCTTTTTGTCTATGTCCGCTTGCCACGAAAACGCGTCTAGCCGCCAAGCTTGCATCCCTCCGCGCAGGATCTAGTGGCGGAGCAACACTATCGCCTCTTGCTGTTTCCTTCGTTATGATTGTGGCGTAGGCGCGCCAAGAAGAAGCTGCGGGGATTTGGGCTTGGCTCCATGTCTAGAGGTCCTTCCTTCCCAATCAAGTTGCGCCCGGCCGTGAGCTAGATGTCTCCGCCGAGAGAAGCGGCTATTCTCCTTCCTCATGCAACACAGCATTGCGCAGCCAAGCAGACCTTCATCAATCGTGTCGCCTTCGCCCCAGCTCCTCGCCCGGCTACCCGTTTTCATGGGCCCACTGCACGTCCTGACTTATCAAATTGCGGTGCCTGAATGACAATGGAGCGGCGATTGATACAGCAGCTGCCTGTATTGGTTAGTTCTGCAAGCACACAATGGCTCAAGTCCGCTTCCTGGACCAGGTATATGGATACGAGGTATAGTATATAGAGCCAGTCTATACCTGTGACAGGTCCCAAGGCAGCTTCCTCTTCTCCTGGCTCATCTGTCATTATCCTTTCTCAAGATGAGGTTCGTCCCCTTCGTTGCGCTTGCTGCGCCTGTCCTCGCACAGTACGATGCGAAGCCAAAGCCTACCGCAAAGCCCGGAAAGCCGCATCCATCTGGTCCTCCTAGGAAGCTCGTCTCCCCCAAAGAGCTGATCAAGGAGATCAAGCTCGAGGACTTACTTGAGGGTTCTCAGCAACTACAAACTTTTGCCGATGAGGCTGGTGGCAACCGTGCCTTTGGTAGCACTGGACATAACGCTACGACCGAGTGGCTCTACCAAACGCTCAAGGCTACCGGGTACTACGATGTGTACAAGCAGCCTTTCGTCGAGCTCTTCACTGCCGCTACGACCAAGTTCACGGTTGCTGGCGAAGAGATCCCCGTGTCTTACATGACTTTCGGTCCCTCTGGTGATGTCACCGCAAACCTTGTCAAGGTTAACAACCTCGGATGCGCTGTTGATGACTTCCCTGCGGAAGTTTCTGGCCAGATCGCACTCATCTCGCGAGGCACTTGTCCTTTCGCTGATAAGGCTGCTAACGCCTTGACCGCCGGTGCAGTCGGTGCAGCGATCTACAACAACGAACCCAACACACCTCTGTCTGGTACTCTCGGTGGCGAAGGCGACTACGCCCCCGTCGTCGGTATGACCAAGGAAGCCGGCGACAGCCTTCTAGCCAAGCTCGGCAATGGCACAGTTGAAGCTACTCTTTTCATCGATGCCATCCGCGAGAACCGCACCAACTACAACGTCATTGCCGAGACGAAGCAGGGCGACCACGACAACGTACTCATGCTTGGTGGCCACACCGACTCTGTCTTTGCCGGTCCTGGTATCAATGACGATGGATCTGGTACCATCGGTACCCTCATGACTGGTCTTGCTCTGACCAAATTCAAGATCAAGAACGCTGTTCGTCTCGGCTTTTGGGGCGCAGAGGAGTTTGGAAAGCTTGGTTCCTTCTACTACATGAAGACAATCAACGGTACTTTCGGCGGTAACGCAACTGAGGTCAACAAGCTTCGTGCCTACCTCAACTTCGACATGATTGCTTCGCCCAACTACGTTCTCGGTATCTACGATGGCGATGGTAGCGCGTTCAACTTCTCCGGTGCCCCTGGATCCGACAAGATCGAGAAGGACTTCGAGGAGTTCTACGAGGAGCGCGGTCTTCCCCACGTCCCCGCTCTCTTCTCTCTTCGCTCCGACTACGCTGCTTTCCTCGAGAACGGTATTCCTTCCGGAGGTCTGTTCACAGGTGCCGAAGTGTTGAAGACAGAGGAGGAGGCACAGCTCTTCGGTGGTGAAGCTGGCCAACCACTCGACGCATGCTACCACCAAGCTTGCGACACTATTGACAACCTTGCTGAGGATGCTTTCTTGCTCAACACTCAGAGTATCGCGAACTCGGTTGCCAAGTACGCGCTCAGCTTCGAGGATATTCCAAGGGCTAACATGACGCTTCGCAAGCGTGGCGCCGAAAGGAGCAGGCTCATGTCGAGGTTTGATGATGGTGGCCATGCGCACCACGGCCAGACTTGCGGTGCTGGAAAGCATACTATCTAGACATTGTGTTATTATATGATCTATTGAGGAGTTGGATGATGATGATACCATGATGTGATGATGTTGTAGAAATAGAAAACTCGAATGTAATAAAACATTTCAATCCATGACCTTGTCTTACAATCCCCCGTTGCATATGTCTGAATAAACAGCCGCGTGGCCTTCACAAGTTTGACTAGATTCCACACCTCCTTATTATGTCGATTCATTGGGACAAATATCGTTCTCGTGCTTGGTTCACCACCGGGTCCCTCTATGCTCCAGATCTCCATGCGAATGCAAAGCTTATCACAGCCAGAAGGCATGCGTTTGTGAAGATAAATACCATGATTCCAATCGCTTTACCTTCTTCTCTTCTATGCCGCGCGACCTATCTTGTTCCATTTCTGCCTCTACTTACCTTCAAAAGTGCTACACTCACACTCACACCATCGCAGTGAAGACAAGCATACCAAGCTCCTGGCGTATGCAAAGATAATGAGCGAGTGACAGGAAGAGGATAGACCGAGAGCGGAACATGGAATTGGGGCGGAAGATCTGAGGTAAGAGCGGACAGCGCACACCATGATGGCGGACGACGGTGGACACTACAGCATTCCCTCCCTTTTGCGATATAGCATGAATTGAGTGAAAGTATCTGAGAGGGTGTACTGCGTATACGAGGTCGTCGATCGAAAAGAGACCGGGAGTCTTTCATTCTACATTTTACAAAGTTTGGTCACGTGCGACATCGGTTTGGTGGCTGACTGCGGCGCTACAGCCCTACACTACCAGCATACTCCGAGTGATGGGCAGAGGCGCTGCCACAAGCTTGATGCGTATCAACGATGTAGAACGTAGTGCGCCTGGTGACGTCGATGATCCGGCGGGAGCCAGGTATTTGAGATGGCGTACTACAGGTAGCCGCGTACCCGGCATGTACAAGGACTTCCCAAGTTGGGCGACGAGAGGTCGAACTGGGTTTTGGTGGCTGCGAACGATACTTACTCTGGATTGAGAGCATGTGTATTGCTGACGAGGAACCTCGTGTTCTCGGTTATTGAGATCGCACCGGAGGCGTCCATTGCCGGCGAAGTTTGCGGGGCGCGCTCCGTTTGGCCTGGGACGTTTATCGGCGACCCTGAATCGTTAGCTGATCTAGCCACGCTCATGATGAAGATCTTAGTCGATCTCGCGAAGCTGTATGCCATCACAGTATCGATACCTAAGTTCTTGGTTCTGTATACCTGGAACCCAAGGCAGCAAGTGCAAATCGGCCAGGACCATTCGACTCGAAACGCCGGGTTGCCCAGATGTCGATGATCGCCTGGACCCGCCTAACGCATGTCGTAAATCTTCCCGACTTCTCCAGGCGATCAGCGACAAGGCCTTCCGCGATTCTACTGCGGTCTTATTAGGGACATCATATCCACTCCACAGATCTTGTTGCACTGTGATGAGGGATTCTGAGTTTTCGCTCGGAAACAAAGGTCCGATCTTGGTAATCTTGTCTAGGCCACTCAGTGCGCGTTTCATTCGTAGCCCTGTTCCCTGCGATCGGAGCTTGCTAAAACTCCGACGTTCATCCAGAACCAGTGTACCCTGTTAGGAGGTGCCCGGACCTTTGCAAGCTGACGCCGCCTCGAGGTTGAACGGACTGGAAATCATTCGCGCAAAAGCGCCTTGGAAGGCACGAGGCACGTGGTATACGGTACGCCATACCACGCCAAACGGTACGGCCGCACCGACGCTAACAGAAAATCGCCGGGGGTTGGACCGAAAACATGGAAATTGAGGAGACAAGACGAGGAATTCCGGGCCCCCGGGAGCCGCATTGATCATGACAGTTGTAGCTTCAATGATGCAACGGAGCCCCACAACTGTGAAGGAAGTCAGAATCCAAAGTCTCAGTCGCATCATGTGTTGAAGCAGAAGGTGCGCCGGCTGCGACGTCTGGTTGCAGAAGAGCTGAGTAGTACGTTTCCTGGTCATAGTATTCATGCGACGCGGTCCAGTGCAACTTTACTTTGCAGCCATCCGTAGTCGACATCTGTAGGCAAATCACAGTACGCGGAAGGATCGCCACACCTACCGGTAAGCCCACCGTAGCTAGTAGCTCAACATCATCGTAGACACGGTAAAATCCTTGCGCGCCGCCAGGAATCTTGACAGGCGCTATAGCTTGGAAACAGCACCAGCTGCGCCGCCGCGCGTGTCAGAACAGACCTCTAGTTTCTACTCCGGAGTACATCCCTCACCGCTGCCAGCTGTGAAGGGATCTGCAAACTTAGAATCTGCCAATGCTATGTCGCAACCAAGACATCGCAGCCTGAGCGCTTCCCCGGCTGTCTACATGCTGATATGCATCTACCTGAAGCTTCTGCAGTAAGATTCGAACACCACCCCGCGAAAGGGATGCCCTTCCCTGCCAGGCGAGCATTAGTGTTCCAATAAGATAGATCCCGTCCCGTACGCAGGTCGGACCAGGCACCGCACTATCCCAGGGCAAGCGACAATGCTGTTACAGGCTTAGTAGCGCGATTCACGAAAGGATCGGTCGTTTGGCGTCCCAGATATCCACACAAGCCTGACGCCCAACGAATAGAAATAATCCTTCTCGAACATTGGGCCACTACGCCACTTTCTACTGAACCTTATTCCGACTCGAGAATCTGTCAACTCTTCGCTTCATCTCCTGAAGTCTCCTTAGCTGCCGTTATGGACCACTCAGTCTGGACAAAAGATGGCCAGGGTCTCGCTTGTGTCATTACGATTCATCCTCCACCGAGCCTATATCGCATACAACACCACGTTCGCTGAATTGTGAACGCTCGTTGTAAGGCCTCCCTCACACTGCACCACATTTCTACGCCGACCCAACATGAGCGGCGAATTCAGAGATGTACCATCCTTTCAACCATGGGGCCCTTTCATCTCAGATAGTTACGAGAACGAGCCTATCACCAAATCAGATATCATCATCGCCTCCGTGGTGTGGGCGCTGACACTGATCAATGTCATCGTAGCCCTATGGCTTATACAAAAACAAACACGAGGATCTCGATCACCACTGAGGAGTGTGTACATCTGGATGATATGGCTGGAACTTATCGTTTCGTTCGTGATGGGACTTGAGAGTTTCCTGCACTTGTTGAAGTACATCAGACCAAGTAAGTGGCTCCAACGTACGGTAATTTGTGGTTATACTGATCAAACTACAGGTTTCGCATTTTACTTCACGATCCTCTTCTGGTGGTGTATTCAGGTTCAGCTTCTGTTGCAGATTATCATCAACCGTATTCGTGTCATCGTACCTGACCGAAAGCGGTCGAGGTGGATCATGATCACCACTGCCGTCTTCGTCACCGCCATCAACATCAGCGTGTTCAACATCTGGATTCCAGCACGGTTACAGATTAACTCAACGTAAGTTGCATTTTCGCTAAGCGCGTTGTATGAATGGTTGAGATGAGAAAGATGTTTATCTGAACTCAATCGACATAGCAGTCGTGGCAACGACACTGTTGCAGAGAGCGCACTCAAGTATACCATACAGTGCACTAACAAAGCATCAGGTATCATCTTGTCAATGAGTACTGGGACCGAATCGAGAAAGGTCTTTACCTTCTTGTCGATGCAGCGTTGAACTGGTATTTCTTGAAGACTGTCAAGGAGAATCTCATCAACAACGGCCTCACCAAGTACAACAAGCTTGTTCGCTTCAACCAGCAGATTGTCATGGTATCACTTCTTATGGACGTCATGATCATTGCTGCGATGTCGATACCAAACTCTTTTGTGTACGTATTTATTCCATTGAGCGCCCACCTAGCTCGCTTTCCTAACCCATCGTTTTCTAGATACATTCAATTCCACCCACTTGCCTACCTGGTTAAACTCAACATCGAGATGACAATGGCCAACCTCATCAAGCGCATCGCAATCTCCACATCACGCAAAACCGGCATGGCATCTATTGCGCAAGAGTTCAAATCCTCGTCCAACCAATCCACATCCGGCCAGCGCACTGGCGGCACAGTTCCCCACAAATCGCGCGGCTCAGTCCACGAGCTCGCGAGCTTCGCTTCCTATACTGTCGATACGAAAGCGACAAGCGACCAAGACCAGCATCGTGTCGTCAGCTTTGCCCCCACAGGAAATCAAATCAAAGAGACAAGGGAAGTCATCGTGCATACTGAACCAAATCCACACTACGAGCGCAGAGGCTCTGAAGTGGAGATCTCAGGGGGTCATGGGAGGAGACAATCGCACGGCGTGGTGATTGAAGAAAGAGGACTGCCCAGGCAAAAGAGCCTGGAGAGCATAACCGAAGGCAATGAGAGTATGAGGAGTGGCTTGACGCCGAAGCGGCTAGTGGACGATAGTGATGACGAGGCGGCGCTCGTGCAGCAAAAGAGCTGGGGATGGCCGAGACGACCGAGCTGAACATGAAGGCCATTGATGTATAGAATCTTTGTTTGCTCGTTTAGCACGGCTCGGTTGAAATATATAATACCTATTGATTTCGCGATATAGACATGCGATGAAATGATAATTATAGATCGAATAATTACGATTAGACGGAATGTTTCTTTCCTCATGCTTGTGTCCTGTTAGCCACGCTGCGACCCTCGTAGAGCATAAATGCTTTTCTCGACAACGTTCTCCAGTCGATTAGAGCGCTCTCTTCCCCTCGGCGAATATCAACCACACTCATGTGCGTGGGCGCATGCTGGAACCCGGCTGAATTGGACAGGCATCTGATTCTAAACAGACCAGCACTGGGTATCAGGTGTTGAGTGATCACGCCGAGCAGAGTTTCGGAGACTATACGTCAGATACGCCGAGTTGATGGGCCGAGTGGTTCTGCCGAAAAGTAAGCAGACATGATGCCGTCGGTATTGTGAGATTCGATGTGAGGCCATGCCGATATGCAAGACTTGATACTTCCGGGAAAGCCGCTGCTGCCCTGATCGATAGGATGGCAACGTATGCGACGAAAACTCCATTTGAAAAATGAACTCACAAGACTTTCACTTACCTTATCATTGACATGGCAATGACAAGCCGGTGTAAATCACAGCTTCGCCTAGTCGTCTGTCTGAAACCACAAAGACACGCAGAGAGAGCGGATATTTTATCCATCAGGAAGACAAGAGGTTGTCGCGCTGTGCGCTTGACTATATTAGGTAATCTAAACATACACGTGACATTATTGCATTTTGATTCTCACTCTTCGATGCTCGAGCAGAAATGCATTGCGAGTACGGAGACTGTCCGCACATCGGAGATTGCTGCGAGGATGTTGCGGGTAGAAGGAATGCTCACCTTGCTTCCCCGGAGCAAAGCAACGATTCCCCCGCACTTGCCAACAAGGAAGGTTTGCCGACCATGCACAATAACCGTTCAGGAAAGATTGCTTGGCATGCTACACGCGTACACGGATTGAACAAAGCTGGTAAGCCGTGTACTCAGCTGATGGCACGTCCCGAGTCCTATGACCATGTTTAAAAGATGCTTCTTGTGCTGTAGTCATATAAACGTCTTCAACTTTGCCATCACATAGCCTGTATTCGCTCAGGTTTCGTCCCTACGTCACTACACAAGCCACGAACATGGGGGTAGGCGATATCTCGATCCGCTCCAGCGAGCGTCCTGAGACGGGCAGCGTCAACATACCAGTTGGTGTGTTCCCAGCGTCGTCAAAGAGCGATTCAGTCGATGCACACAGGGTTGCGAACGAGATAGTCACACGGTTCAACGATGCGCTTGCGAAGCGAGATCATGCAGCGATTGCAGACCTTTTCTGCAAAGACAATAGCTACTGGAGAGACCACTTGGCCATGACTTGGGATCTGAGAACTGCGAAGGGCAGCTGTAAGTGTCCCTGCGCGGACTGCATACGAGACATAAACTGACTTCGTACGCCCACATTCAGCCGAAATCAAGAAGTACTTGGACTCTAGCAAGGTCCGGCTGGAAAAAGTCGAAGTGAGCAAGAGCTCGGATTATCGGGCGCCAAAGTTTGGAGCAATCGATGTTTTGGGCGACGTCAACGGCATAAATCTTTTTGTGACCTTCGAAACAAGTGTTGGGCGTGGCGAGGGTGTCATGAATCTCACGGATGACAGCGGGCAATGGAAAGTGTTTACGCTCTACACCTTGCTAAAGGAGCTCAAGGGTCATGAAGAGCCGCTGGGGCACCGACGGACGAAGGGTGTTAAGCATGGCGGGGACCCAGCCAGAAAGACCTGGAAGGAGACCCGGGATGCGGAGAAAGAAGAGATTGACCCGAAGGTGTTGATTCTAGGTGCTGGACAGGGTGGTCTGACAGTTGCTGCACGCCTGAAGATGCTCAACATTCCTGCACTCATGGTGGATCAGAACGAAAGAGTTGGCGATAACTGGCGCAAGCGGTACCGGCAACTCGTACTGCACGACCCAGTGTGGTACGACCATATGCCCTATGTACCTTTCCCAGCACATTGGCCTATCTTTACCCCCAAGGACAAGCTCGCTGAGTTCTTCGAAGCTTACGTGAATCTGCTCGAACTTAACGTATGGACTTCTACGAGCCTCAAATCAACGTCGTGGGATGAGGGCAAGAAGCAGTGGACCATGACTGTCGAGCGTCGGAAAGCAGATGGATCCGTTCAAACGCGGACTTTGCACCCGAAACACATCGTGCAGGCAACTGGTCATTCAGGCGAGAAGAATTTCCCCCAGATCAAAGGCATGGAAAGCTTCAAAGGCGACCGGCTATGCCACAGCTCTGAGCATCCTGGCGCGAATCCAGAATCTAAAGGCAAGAAGGCTATTGTTGTAGGGTGCTGTAATTCCGGGCATGACATCGCGCAAGACTTCTTCGAGAAAGGGTACGACATTACTATTGTGCAGCGCAGTACAACATGCGTTGTCTCCTCCGAAGCCATCACCGACATCGGCAACAAGGGTTTGTACGATCAAGATGCGCCGCCCGTTGACGATGCCGACCTTACTTTCTGGGGCTTGCCAAGCGAGCTTCTGAAGGCACAGCAGATCAAAGTCACTAAGATCCAAGCTGATCATGACAAGAAGATCCACGACGGCCTTCGCGCAGCTGGCTTCGTTGTTGACAGTGGGCCAATGGATTCAGGTCTTCTTATCAAGTATTTCCAGCGCGGTGGCGGCTACTACATCGACGTCGGAGCATCTCAACTCATAATTGATGGGAAGATCAAGGTCAAGCAAGGCCAGGAAATTGCGCAAATTCTACCAGATGGAATCGAATTCGCGGATGGTGATAAGCTGGAGGCCGATGAGATCGTGTTCGCGACTGGGTACCAAAACATGCGCACGCAGGCACGTAAGATCTTTGGCGATGAAGTAGCGGACCGCGTCAGCGACGTGTGGGGATTCAACGACGAAGGTGAGTTCAGAACCATGTGGCAAAAGAGCGGTCATCCTGGGTTGTGGTTTATGGGTGGTAATCTGGCACTCTCAAGGTTCTACAGTCGGATACTAGCGTTGCAGATCAAGGCTGTAGAAGAAGGCATGATAGAAGATGCTGAAGGTGCGAAGGCAAGGCTGTAGTGATATGTGACTACCATAGAACCACAAAAAGGGCCGCGGAGGTTCAACGCACCTGGTTCAATCAGCTATCCGAAGCCTTTCTCTCAAGTTTTGCCATTTTCAGATCTAGCGCGGGGTATGTCCCCACTTCTGGGTGCCATCTTAAACGACACAAGCTCCAAATCTGCATCAACTAATCTGCGTGCATCATCCGTCATACGTGCATACTTACTCAAGTTCTTCCTCCAGACGTCATGGCATCGAAGCCCCAGGTCATCCTCGTCGTTGGCGGAACGTCCGGAATTGGATACGCCATCACGCAATGCATTCTTTCATCGCCTTACCTACCATTGAATGCCAAAGTAATCGCATTTGGGCTTATAGATTCAACCATCAAGCTCGAGTTTACGAAACAACAGAGAGAGCGCCTAAGGATAGTCGAAGGCGATGTCACAGTAGAGGAAGACCGAGAGTTAGCGGTCCAGACATGTTTTAACCATTTTGGAGGACTCGATACATTGGTGTACTGCGCGGGCGTTATCACACCGATACAAAGATTGGAGAAGTTGGACATGGAAGCTGTGAAGAGAAGTTTTGATATCAATGTTTTCGGGGCCATGAGTATGGTAAGTAACAACTTGACATCCTAGCACTCTGAGCACATCTCGTACTGCAAGGTATTGCTCAATTACTGTCCTCATGACTAACGTCTCTTAGGTTCAGCTCACCCTCCCACATCTCCGTGCGTCACGGACATCTCATCCTCTAAATGCTGGTCGTGGCAAAGTTATAATCTTATCTTCAGCATGCGATACTACAATATCCTACCATGGTTGGACCCCTTACAGCACCACCAAAGCCGCACTAACCCGGTTCATTTCCTGTCTCGCACATGAAGAGCCTCTACTAAGCGTGCAGGGCGTATACCCGAAGTTGACGCGGACGAAAATGATCGATGGATTAGTTGAAGGGAGGTATCAGGGGGTTATGGCGGACCATGAGATTGAGCGGTTCAGGATTTGGGACGAGATGGGCGACGAGATGGTGGAGCCACCTGAGCTCTGCGGAGACGCTATTGCGAAGTTGGCGCTTGGACTTTTCGAGGGTGGAAAGAGTGGAGAGACTCTATATTATTACGAGCACATTCCACGGAAGATCGCGGGGACATGATGCATATGCTGACCGCGATCTGTCTGATTGGTAAAGCACAATATTCATGCGTATGAAAACAGTAGTTTCGTATTGAATCTCTGCTCAAGATCTCAAGCTATCTTTTTTCCAACGAAGGCTTTTCATACCTTACGCTTCTCCTTCGCAGCCTCCTTAATGATATCCGCTGCCTTTTCCGCAGTTGCATAAACAGTGGTCATGATATGGGAAGCTGGCAAGATGGGCATTACACTCGCGTCCACAATCCTCAAGCCCTCCACGCCGTAAACCTTCAGGTTCTGGTCCACGACACCACCATCTTCTCTGGAACCCATCTTGCAGCTACCTGCGGGGTGGTAGAGTGTCGACGCAGTACTGCGGATAAAAGCGTCGATATCCGCGTCGGCGGTGACATTGCCTCCGGGCGAGACTTCGAAGGGGTTGAGCGAGAGAATGGACGGCGCAGCAGCGAGTCTTCGAGCAAAGTGTACACCTTCGCGCAACAGTGCAGTATCGACTTCGTTGCGTAGAAATCCCACATCGGCGACCGGAGCATCGAACATGCTGGGCGAACTTGCCTTTACACTTCCACGCGAGTATGGATGCTGGAGTCCGAGAACCATGACGCCGTCAGCCCAGATGACCTCCATCATTGCGGAGTCATTAGCCTGAAGCTTCTTGTTAAGAGAATCAAATTGCGCTCCATAGCCTCGTGCGACTTCAGCGGGCGTGTTGGGTGGGAGGGAGGCGGATGATCCACCAGCGACAGCCTGAGACAAAATGGATTGCGTGGCGTTAGAGTAGGTTTGCACTGGCAAGAAAAGAAGGAAATCGCCGGTCGGGGAGGTCAGTGGGCCGGATCTGTCATTGTCGTACTGCTCGCGAGCTTGCGCGGCGAAGGTAGTGTTCGTTGTCAGGGTGTTGGTCAGGATAGTGGTGTTTACTGTGCCGCTGTCAGTGGTTTCTCCAGCTGGAACATATAACATTATACTCACGTATGTTCACTACAGCAATAGAAAGATGGTCGTGCAGATTGTATCCAACGGCAGGAAGATCAACAACTGTCTCAACATTGATTGACTCGAGCAGAGAAGCTTCACCAATACCAGACACTTGCAGCAGTTGAGGCGTATGCAGCGTTCCAGCAGCAAGAATGACTTCCCGCTTGGCTTTGGTCTGTTGGCGGGTCGCATTTGCAGAGGCCGAGAACTCAACACCAGTTACCTTGACCGCTTCCGTATCGTTGCATTTTTCTGTGAGAATACGCGATACAAGGTTGCCGGTAAGAATGTGAAAGTTTGCGCGCGCTTCAGCGGATGCATAATAGGCTTCCTCCGCGGAGGATCGTGTTGCAGTCTTTGGGTCCAGGTTGTGTGGGCAAAAGTAACCACCGAATGCGTTTCCAGTTGCTTGGTCGTTGATAGAGATACCGAGTTCCTCGGTAGCTTGCACTATGTTCTCTAAACAAAGCGTCAGTATCTCATGTATGGCAAAATTTGTGTTGGACTCACTCGTCGTAGGCCAAAAGAAGGGAGAGTAAGTTGTTTGCATATATCCTTTGTCTCCGTGGTATTCGGGATTGACTTCGATGTTATATTCTGCCTCAATCTCTGGTGTCGGTGGCGTAAAGTTCTCGTTCTATAACCTGGTTAGATGCTTTGACGCTGTTGCTGAGCAAACGTACCTTTTTGAAATATGGCAGGAATGTTTCAAAGTTCCAACCCTCGTTTCCTAACGTCTCCCATCCGTCGTAATCAGATCGCGCTCCACGATCAAAGACCATGCGATTGAGTTTCGTCGATCCGCCCACAATTTTGCCTTGCGGGATGGAAACAACGCGACCGTCCAACCCTTCATCCGCGGCGTAGGAGATATTCCAGTCGTACTTTGTTCCAACAGCACCGCCTGCTAGGCCTGGAATGGTGACATAATCCTCATTTTGGTCGCTGACACACAGGTTAGTATCTTAGCGATGCATGTAGATCTCATATAACTCACAAATCGCCAGCCTCGATGACCAATACGCTTACATCTATTCAGGGTCATGTTAGCCGCCTGCATGCCACGCGACATGTGTAAAGCCTACCCTGATCCTCGGATAGTCGATTGGCAACCGTGAGACCCGACGCGCCGGCGCCTACAATCACATAATCGTATTCTGGGAGCACATCTTCTGCTCTTGAAACCAGTTGCGCATTGGAAAGTGGGTGTGCGAGAAGACTAGTCGCAGAAAGGGCGACAGTCACTCCGAGACTCAATAGTGAAGGCATGATCGCAGCGTACAACAACAATCGTTTGTGTCGTCCTGCCAAAAGTACTTAGGTATATGTACATGTACATGTCGAGCAACCGTAATGACACCGCCAGTCGGGCCGCCCGCATCTGCCGATGTTGAGCACCAAGAGCGGCCCAGCCGAGGCGGGTTCATCAGGCTCGTCGTCATATCGCCGCATGGCGCGTTGGCGAGTTTCCGATTTATAATAGTTCAGCGGCTTTTGTACTACGTATGCAATAGCTTTTGAGCACAAACAGATTAGCGGAGGCGGAGTTGGACCCCACCCGATCCTCCGACCTTATCCGGGGAGTGTGCCGTGGTGGCTTCATGCGCCGTTATTGTGGCTTAAAGGATCGGCTTAATGGACCCGTAATTGGTTTCCAGCATCAGTTCGGTTCCTTGACGGAAGCAGGCTGTGCTAAGTAGCCTAAAACAAATATGTGGTCCCTTGTACATCTGAGCCAGTCTATCGGTCCTGTTCCTTCCAGTCGCAATTGTTAGTGTTGCAGCACAGTCGAGTACACATCACGTGCCATCTGTGAGTCCTGTACCTCGGGTCGGGCGAGTTTCGCTGGCTGTCGTTGGCAAGCACGTAAGCTGGCAAGCAACCACCCATCAATCTCGAGCAGTGTAATCGACGGAAAGAGTTGAACAGCCGACGCGATCTAGAAGCTCGAGCGACGTAATAATTGTTCCGCGTTAAGATTTAGAGATGAAAGTCGGGTTGCAGAGACACCTTTTGGGTGTAGCGCTCCCAGAGATGCGGTGGATTACTTGCAGATGAACATGTCATCGTTGCTGATCGTCGCCCAAGAAGTACACCAGTGTTTGATGCGATCCATGTCCACCCAACCATTTGTCACATCCGGGCTGCGAGCATTGAAGCACATTGTGAATCCAGTAGATCGATTGAGATACACTGCAAGATCTGTCTACAGGGTCGAGAAGCACCGCTGAACGCTAAGAGCAGTAAACAACAAATGTGCATAAGGAATCCATCAACGGGCAAATCTTCCCACCTAGAGAGATCAATGCGACTACTCACGAAACCGCCCAGATACTACTTCCTTGCAATCTGCTACGCCTCCTCTCCTTCTCCGATCGCAACTCTTTCTCCCTACTATGTTGGTAGTTCTCAATTATGAGGCTATCACTGGTAGGTTCCGATATTGGTCATTCAGCAGCCTTCCTCGCTATTCCATCAACAGTGAAGATGACAAAGGTATCCTGTCTCTTCGGCGCCGACATTGCGGCCTCGACGGACGAGTGATTCTTTCTCTCACTGACCGTACGCTTCTCACAAACCGACTGATGCTCGCACCCCTAGTGTTTGCAGGCGATCTCCTCGTACATGCTGACGTGTGAATGGAATGTTTCCTTGGCGAACTTGGTGTCCCAATCAAGCCAAGAACCACAATCGTTACACTGTTTGAACCCCTGGACTGACTGCGGTGTTAGTTCTGATGCATAAGTAGGTGAGCGCAGCCAGACATGCTATCAAAGGAGGCATGATGCTGGTAAAATGAATTGCCAGCTGACGCAGTTTCATGTCATCCTTTGTTGTACGATAGCTAAGCTTAGCCGTTAACATCGGCGCAGAATCCCAAAATCGACGTCACTCAATAGTATGTCCAACTTCGCCTACGAACACCAGCTCATCCGCTTCGGGCGCCTGGTCTACAGGTTCCTGCACATCCGCCCCACCATCCATCATACCCAAGGCCTTTTTCCTCAGGTTCAGTACAGCCATCAGGTGGTTCGCATTTAGGGGTTCCTCTTTCTTCGCTGCGAGAATCTTTGCGGTTTTGATCGCGCTCTTTATTTGACGGCCATTGAATTCCAACTTTGCCAAGTTGATCAAATCTGGTTCCTCAATGTCGATCTTCTCGTTTTCCATGGTAGCCAGGAAGTTACGCCAGACCTGCTGGCGGTCAGCTTCTGTAAGTGAGCTGTAGCTCAGCGTGATATCGATTCGAGATTCGAAAGCCGTGTCGATGCTGCGCATCCGATTCGTGGTCAGAATCATGATGCCTTTGTAGTATTCGAGTAGGCGAAGGAAAACCGAAACAAGTTCGTTGCGTTGAAGGTTGTTTGATGTGCGCGCCTCCATGAATACGTCCGCCTCGTCGAGGAGGAGAACAGCACCGAAGTGGCCGCACAGCTTTAGTGCCTTCTCAAGGTTGTCCTCGACAATACGCGCTGTCGTTCCTAGGTCACCAGCACCAAGCTTATACAGGGGTCGACGCAGGTGTTCCGAGACAGCCTCCGCGGTAAGTGTTTTACCAACACCTGGGGGACCACAAAGAAGCATAATCATGCCCTGACCTTTGCCGCCGATGAAGCTAAACGTGGATGGATAAAGTCAGTATCTTCTCAAGGGCAGTTCATACGGGGACATTACTGACTCGTCGAATGGCTTCCCTTGCTTGAACTGATCACGGTCTACCAGAGCCAGTACCAAGTCCTTTTCATTCTGATCCAGTACTAGACTGTCGAAAGCACGCTTAGCCCATGGTATCTCATGGATCTTTGTGACATCCAACTTCAACCACTTCTTCTTTTCAATATCGAAACCTCTGACATAGTGAACAGCCAAAAGGCATTCTTTGTCGGTCATTGGCGAAAGGTCCACTTGGATTGGCGATCCCGCAGTGTTGGGTATGCTGGAAGAGTACCGATTCATCGATTGGGCCCAAGTAAGTTGTCCAATCTCGGATAGTTGAGCATAGTCCGGAAATGATGGAGCCTCGAATTTGTGGTATGCTCGCGCATCAATGACCATTCGTTCGTTTACGCGCTCTTCATACTCGTCGGTGAAGGCCTTGAAGAAATGGCCGCGAAGCTGTTCGAATCTCCGACCGCGAGTGATAAGTCGCTCACGAACCTTTTCTTCGTTTGGAAGTCCGTCGAGGGGCGAAACCTCCAGTGTAGTCAAAGCTCGCAGACCTAAAATTTGCGTGTATGAAGTCAGTGTATGGCTCACATGCATTTCATAAGGGGTCATCTCTCACCATAGTATTGGGGTACACGCTTTGCTTGAGCAAGAAGACCACATCGTCTTCCATCCCAGTCAACCACATCAACGCCGATCGACCAGCATACCGGGATGGGCGGAGGAGGATACATCAGTTGGCAACTACGTACCATGCCAGCCGAGTCGGTCTCATGTTCCAGAACTATCATTGCGGGTATATACACTAGATTCAGGTCTTCGAACGCCACATGGCCCGTCTTTTTCACATCTTCGATCTTTTCGAACGATTCCTTCAGCAGAGGCTCAAGAACTTCCTGGAGCAACTGCAGGTGGCGTTTGGTTTCAGAGTCCGGGTCCAGATGGTCTTTGTAGCTAAGCATCGCTTGCCATCGATGAATGAACGGGAGAAATGGTGGTGAGAACGACTTCATCTCATGTTGTGTCAGACCCGGGTAGCCTTCCAATATCTTCTCCAGGGCCGTATGGAGAAGCTCACTGTTTATGCGTAATTCGTGGATAATCCATTCGTCTGTTTTCTCATTGAAACGATGGTAAACATTCACTGCAAAGGCTTCTCGAGTTTTCTTCGTTCGTAGCTTATCGCCAGTAGCACCGTAATGAAGCGGTTTCTCATCCACCCAGTGAAACCTGTCTGGATCTTGATCTGTCGGGACATAGTATATGTCTCGGTGACTGCAGCGCTTGCCCTTCTCTACAGCCTCGGCTAGGTCATCTTCGGGAGGGAGCTGATTGCCGGGAGGTAATCCAGGTCCTGGAGGAGGAACAAACCCAGGCTGTGGACCCAGACTAGGGTCCCAGAACCCGGCGTAGTTCATCTGAATCCAGTTAGTAGCTTGCTGAGAGTCTAAGCTGTAGCGCTGGTGTCTGACCATCTCTTGATCTGAATTTGGCCTTACCCGGCGTCGTCGGGGCCGCGACCGTGGGCTACTGACCTCATATTGCAGCGGCATACCAGGCTGACTGCACATGTTTCTTTTTAGACGAGGTTGTACAGTAGTAAACGTGTGAGTTGTGCGTGATTCTGATAAGGTCAAGATACTGGCAGCACGATAATTCGAAAATAATAATAAGAGAAAGCGAAGACGCGGTGCACGATGATTCAACAAGACGAAGGAATACTTGAGAGACCATGGACACCTTTTTGAGTGTGTAGCAGACGTCTTAGATCGAGGTTCACCGGAAAGACACTCGTGCGTCAATGGATGCCTGATAAGACCGGTCAAAGCCTTGCTACACGAAAGCCTCACGAACCATTGGCTAGGGGCTTAAAATAAGACCCCCGCACCTCAACAACACCCGGAAGAGTAAGTCGGCGTGAAGAACATGCGTGACACCACACCCGTGAGCGAAAAGGAACAGAGCATCTAATCGCATCCTCCACCTCCATCACCTCCTCCATCTCCACCGGCTATGTCAAGACCATGTCCACCGCCGAAGCCAATAGTATCCATGCCCGCATGCCCAAAGGCTTCATGACCTCCGTGCGATGAGATATCGTGCTCACCACTCCCAAAATCATCCTTTGTGGAGCATGTAGAGCTTGGATGTACGCTATTCGTCGAATCATCGTTTCCACCACGCGTGCAGCCACGATCTCCAGCGCAGCCAGGGTCGTGGTGTATAACGTTCGGTCTTGCACCAAACCCAGAGCCATAATGTTGGTGATGATCGATCTGAGCGAAAGGACCAAAGAGCAAAGACCGGATCGCAGGGTCAGTCACATCCTGCACCCTGGGTATATCTGAGGCACGCGATCGGTATCTCGGCGGTAGAGGTATAGCTGCGTCTCTTGTCTGCACAGGCTTGGTGCTGGCGATCGGATTGAGTTTTATGAGACGTGCGGGCTGTCGCTTCGGAGTCGACGAAGCTGCGGTGGCTTGTCTGAGATCGCTATTTACTACTTGGTGTTCGGAAGGCTTATGACGACGTGTAGGAAACTAGTGATAGTCAGTAGAAGTCTACAATCTTTAGTGCTAATACCATACTATGCAACACATCGTGGCGGGTTCTCGTGACGCGTGAGGATAAGCTGGAAAGACCCTGGTGGTCAACGCAAGTTATGGACACGAAAAGACACAGGCTCAAAGCATGGAGCAGGACCGCAGTGGGAAAGGGTTGGCTGTTACGTTACGCACATATCGCCGTCCTTCGCAGCAACACCATAGCCCGGGTCCTGCCTTGTGGTACCCGAGGAGCCGTGGTGCAGCCTTCAAAAGTACCACGATTTGTACTGTCCAGGATAGAAGCGTAAAAGACTACACCTTTGATGAATCGCATACCTTGTCCTGACTAAGATAGCCCTGAACGGCTCGTTTCGCTGCATCGCGCAACGCGACTCTACTAATTAGCTGCAACAGCTCCTTGCTTGCATTGTCTCGCGGGAAGTTCATGAAGACCAGAAGTGGTTCGCAGATTACAGCGTATGGATTTCCGGGTATACTGACCAAGTGCATCGCGACAAACCTTGGGAATGCAGTCCCTCTCCCACGACGCGACAACAGTGCGTGTAAGGATGGACTTTTTGGACATGGCTCCCCACACATTTACGCGTTAGTGGTGACTGCAATGTCAAACAATGCTAACAATGAGACGACATGATAACGTTGACCGAGTTAGTTGATGGCAAAGTGAGGTGGCAGACACGATGAGCCAGAGTGATTGTGGCCAGCGCTCGCGCTAGGGCCGGCGCGACATTGATTCTGCTAAATCGCTGCCACAACACGGCCATAACATCTTCTGCTGTTGTTCATTATAGGGCCGAATCCTGCGATAACGATTCAGGATTTCCAATGAATTTACCACCCAGCCATGCCACCCATGAGCAGATCCTCGAGTTTATGACATCATCGCAGCCTGGCTGTCCACATCCGATACGAAACGCAAGGGCTATCGGAGGGCCAACCCAGAATGATTGTGGTGTGAACCCCTATACCAAACAGTATATCGCGCACACGCAAAAGTGCGTCAAACTTCACTGCTACGGTCGATTATCCGACACGTTGTAGATGAAGAACCGCTTACAATAGCTCAATGGGTCCCTAGATTGAACCGTCTTCCGGGCGCACGTAGCAACAGTCAGAGCTGACAATCTGAGACCCGAATCATCACGTTTTTCCATGGACTGCCACGTCGACGAAAACACGTGAGATCCTTGTGTAAATCACTTCACCGCTCCACCCAGGAATCAAGGCACCATGGCAGGATACGAGAGTTGATTGTTGACATATGACAAGTCATGGCTGATATGTCAATTCACTCATAGTATAGATGTCATGTGCAAGTTGATTCACTCAACACAACTTTCGTGTTCTTCAACTCAAGCCCCAGAACTTTTGCGCTGAACGACCCCACAAACCCTTGCGCACTTCATTCCACCGCACCACTTAAACTCAAGACCCCTACTACGTCATATTTGTGCGCCATAGTCAATCTCGGTCAACCAAGGAGTCGCAATGTGCTACCACAACTACTCACAGCACAATGGGTAAGTCGTTTCGTACCGCAGCGGGATCGCTGGATAGCGGTTCTTCTTGAAAACTACCTCTCTGACTGCTTTGATTTACAGGTGCGGTCATATTGGGGAGTCGCATACGCACCCATGGACGCTGTGCGACACAGCGATAGAGACGCTTAACCGAATTCGCGGGCCAAACTCCCCACCAGTCTCTCCGCCTGCAGTAAACTTCGCATCACCACCCAAGCGCAGCTCGTCTACACGACGTTTTTTCTCGCTGAGTGGCCAGCTTTCCCGATCATCTACAAATGCATCAATAAATTCGCGACGCGCTGTTTCTGGCCCTTCAGGCGCAACCACGCCCAGAACCTCAGACTCAAGCGCAGGGTCCTACAACTGTACCACGACTCTGGACTACAGCACCCTACCAGATCACCAGCTCGCGGCCGTGAGATGTGAAGTCCCAGTCAAGCGCACCCATGTCAGTAGGGAAATGGTCGTCTGCAAAGATTGCGCACGCGAGATCGGCCATATGCGCAACATGATCCGGACTTATGATAAAACCGGTAGCATACGTGGCACCATCGCGTTTGAAAAGTTCCTTAAGTGGGAAGGAGAGGGCGGAGGTGAAAGAGAGGGCGATCTGACGGTACCGTTGAATGATGGTGATGATGGAGGGGTGTTTGGGGCGAGGCAGGCCATCATTCTGGGTCATCCAGAAAGCTCGTTGAATGCCGAGGGGCCGCGTGGCCTGGGAACTTTGGAACGCGAAGGCGGTACTGGGTATTACTATTAAACAAGGGGATATGCCTCGAGGGATTCAGAAAGAAGGGTGAAGACGTCTTGAGTCTTGGTGGTGACTGCGGCTGCGCAACCCCCTACCATTCGTGTGGTCCGGCCCCTCCCTTAACTTACCAATAGTGTGTCATAGGTATGCAAGTATGAAATAATGTTCGAGATCCTTCTTCATCATGTGACAAGACGATCGCGATGCACGACCCGGAAGGCCCGCCCCGCAGAGTTGTCAAAGGTCGTATGAGAATTCGCATCATGGTATGGTCTCGCCACGGTCTTGGTATGCCGCGGAGCTTGTACCTGGATATGCACACACGACCCACACAAATCACTATTCCCGTCACCAGTCCACATGAGTCAGAATTCAAAATCATGCAAGGGAAGTGATCCTCAAGTCAGGATTGCCGCGGGGCACTGCTATTTGAATGTTCTGATCAGCTCAGTGGCAAACTCCTGTCGTCCACGTTTGGTGCATGTTCAAGAAGGCTACATTGTCATATCCCGTGGAATGTACGTTTCCATCTACTTCCCTGAATTGGAGTTTTGCGCATTTTCTGTATCCACGGCCACTTCTTTGACACTGTTCCCTGTTCGCACCACTCGTCCCTAACACCATGCATCAAAAGTCCCATATCCGGAAGCTGCTTTAGGCTGCGGGGCGGCAATCACGGTTGACGTGTAACCTTGAAGTGAATCCTACATCCCGGACATGCAGGATTGCAAGCTTATTAGCTGATTCATATGTCACCTCACGGCTTCCTGCAACCTTGCCATTCAAGGTCGCAAACAGAGAAATCTGTCTCTAGGATGCTTACAATCCTACTGTTCACCAAAGTAGGACTAATGACCATTGCCCTACAGATTTCAGGCCTCCAACATACCCAAAGGCACATCTCTATCATCCTGTCTCCCACATGCATTGTCTAGGTAGAAAGTGGACTCAATTTTCTGTTATACATCACGGTGCCAAAAACTGATTGCTGAAAATAATTTGCCTTTTCCGCCCACAATGTGTCCATCACCCATAGCGATTATATGCACGCCTCATGGCAAAGCAGTGATAATTACAAAGGCACCGAGTTTCATCGGTAAGTTCCGTTACTCGCATGGGTATCGGAGAAAGTCACCGGCGGCGAATAGACTGGCAGAAGTGACTGACGCTCCGCGGCGTCTGGTGAGCACTACACTAGGTGGGGAACAGCTTCCGTGCAGCTCCACATTTTATTTATAGTCCCAGTGGCCAGTGACCTCGATTAGAATTTCCAAGTCTGGAGATGATCGTGAACGCTGCCTTTCGTTCGTCGGTTTTGCTCTCCGCTGCAAACAACACTCATTCCTTCCTGCCTAAAACTTTCCACACTGAGTAGTTTGCTTTCGGCAACATCCACCGTAATCTCCTCTTGCCACTGACCTAATATCTCTACAAGGAAACTATCTGCCCGCGGTAATTGCTTCCGCGGTGCGTAGTCGCGAGCTTGAGATGAGACCAAGCTATTGGTTCGGCGTCAATTCTGCAGTCTTCAACAGACTTGTTGTCTACCTACCCAATGTAGATATATGGTCAAGTTTTTGGGTATGCCAAGCCATCTCATCTCCTGCTACGAGAGTGTATTGGTTCGGCGCAACGTCCGCAGCGTTCAACAGGCGTATTACCTATTTACTCGAAGAAGCTGCCATGTGGAGTTCTCTTCCTCCGCGGAAAGTCAACATATCATACGAACTGATATTGGATTAGTCGTATGTCGCCATCAATCAATAGAAAGATCTCCGAATTATCCAACAGAATTGTGTCACGGAACCATCGCATTGCATGGAGACTCAACTCAAGATGTGAAATAACATTGGCTTGGTGGTATATCCGCAGTTTTCAACATCCCCAAGATTTCCCAGAATAAGCAGGTAGTGGATCTTTTCACATTCGCGGTTAATGAGTCGGATATATCAAAACTATCAGTGACGTTTGGGTGTAGTCAAGATCAGGCTAGTGACGGCTATACAGGTTCTGAAGGCTGACCTGGACTTTCACTAAGACAAACAGAACAAGAAGAGGTGAGGAAGTACGAGCGAACTACTTCTAGCATGATCACGGTACCGCTGTACCCGGAAAAGAGAAGTTTACGAAGATACAGACACGCCACTGACTTGGTGTACAAACGAGACCATCGTAAAGCCAGCTTATGAGAGAAGTGAATGACATTAACTGTCATCAAAAAGTAGAGTCAGTATTGACGCGCTTTCCACAATGACCACTATGTACCATGTTCCTTTTCAAGGTTTCGTCCTGCAATCTTATCCATGCGGAGAAAACACTACTAGACTCCGTCACACGGGACGTACTCACTAGGTTGTAGGATGTCTAAGAGCACTAGTCCCTTTGCATTGATGACTTCTTTTCCTACCTAGGTAATCTCCATCGCACTACCTGTTCCCACCACCAATCACGCAGCCAACCGTCCTGCCACCGACATCATATCTGCGCAGTCGATCTTCGAGTAGCATCGCATCAACGCGTCTCCAAAGAATTTGCCATCATGTGCATTGAACTCCACACCCGTCACCGCCGCTGCACACACACGCGCCTCCTTCATTGGACTTACTGCCCCATCCTTACCCCTTCCCAACGCCAACCCAGCACTGGCCGCGCCTGCAGAAGATACAAAGTGCGCTACAAGGAGAGTAATGACAACGTCGGCTGTTTCGAATGCAAACTGTCGGAGATTGCTGGCTGGGGCGCAATGTCAAGATCCCCAACTTCCTCGAATCTTCCAGAGAGGTCGCCTACCATGGCTAGTTTCTTAGACTATGGGACTAGGTCACCTACTTTCCCGGGGTTTGTGGGGAGATCGCCAAAATTTCCGATACTAGAGAAGTCCCCGACGGTCTCTACCTTCGCCACTTCGGTTGGGTTGCTAAGTATTGGCACCAGAGACAGGGAAAGCAAAGATAGCGAGGCCAGTGTTGCTGCGAGCGATAAGCAGCTAAGTCCAGAACTAGGAGATTGGCGGACGAGTGGTGACAGTAAGGAGATTTCGGGAAAAGAGCTGGTGGAAGGGGCTAGAGGAGGTGGCGTGAAAGGATGGTTTAAGAAGAGATTTAAGGCTAGGGAAGGGTACGATGGTGCAGTTTTGGGATTTCAGACGATGGATGCGTAGGCTGCAAAAGTGGCCAGAATACAGTATGCTTTAAGACTACATGGGTAGGACCTGGTTACAATGTTGACAGGTAAAACATCGACTACCTTCGCGCTGTATTCAGGATATTCGCATGCCAATCGAACGCGCTCCATACGTACCAAAAATGCTACATGACAACGATGATTGTGTGCTCTCCGCTATTTGCACAAGCAAAAGCCTGTATACCCCCAGATATCTATACGCTCGCCTTTTCTTTGCAAAGATCATTAATGCTTTCGTCTTTTACCAAAGCTTTGTCTCAAACCTCTCCCTCAGCTTCTCATATTTCTTCACATCGCCCACACTAGGTCTAACAGTCTTGGCTGCCTCAACAAAGTCCAACTCCTCCACAATGTCACTGCGCCGTCTTAAGGCATGCTGTCCGGCTTTTCGTAGCATACTCTCAAGATCGGCGCCCGAGAAGTTATTGCAAACATCTTGGCGGCCTATCTCAGCAAGTTCGGGAGCAATGACGCCACGCTTGCGAATGTGCGCTCTCAGGATATCGACACGCTCTTCTGGCTTGGGAAGTTCGACGTAAAGTAGGGTCTCCAAGCGTCCAGGTCGGAGCATCGCTTCGTCGATCATCTCGGGCCGGTTGGTGGCTGCGATAAGGTAGATGCCTTCACGCATGGATAGGCCGTCGAGTTCGGTAAGTAGTGTGTTGACAACGCGTGCGGAGGCTTCGTGAAGCTCGGTAGAGCGTTTAGGAACGAGAGCATCGAGCTCATCGAAGAAGATAACGCATGGAACAGAGGATCGAGCGCGCATGAAAACCTGGCGTAGAGCTCTTTCAGACTCTCCTACGTACTGCAACCTGTTAGTATCGAACAAAGGTCATATCAGAATATGTAGCGTACCTTGTTCAGCAGTTCCGGCCCCTTGACACTGATAAAGTTCGCCTTGGACTCTGCCGCCACCGCCTTGGCCAGAAGCGTCTTACCGCAACCAGGTGGTCCCCATAAGAGTACACCGGTGGGTGCAGAGATACCAAATTTCGCAAACTTTGCAGGATCTTTGATAGGCTCGCAGATAGCCATCTCGAGCTCTTCGCGGACGCCTGCCAACGCGCCAACGTCTCGCCATGTAGTGTCTGGTACAGTGGCAAAGCCCTCTCGTTTCGACGATGGGGTGATAGTAGGCAGAACGGCTTCAAAGGCTTCCATTGTGATGACAGTATCTTCGAAACCTTCTGGTCGGGGAGCTTCCGTGTCTCTTACACGGGTGATTAGTCGCCTAATCGATTGATTCATGAGGCTATCGGCATTGAGAGAAATGCCACCGTCGATCTCCATCGTAGTCTCCGCGTTGGCTGCCTGCTTTTCGAGTGCTCTTCGAAACTGGTCCATGGACCATGTGCCCGCTTTGCTCACAAGATCTTTCAAATCAGCGCCAACAAATCCTGCTGTTCTCTTCGCTAGTACACTGAAATCGACATCATGGGATAGCTTTGGTTCGCGCGTAAGAGCCTGGAGTATAGACCGTCGCATAAGCTCATTCGGTACACCCATGTTAATCTCGGTATCGAATCGGCCTCCTCGACGCAGAGCTGGATCCAGACTGTCGGGACGGTTTGTGGCGGCCAGTACGATCACGGGCTTGCCATTATTACCCTCCATAGCAAGACTATCCATCGATATCAGAAGCTGGGCAACTATCCTCTTCTCCATCTGACTTTGTGCACTATCGCGCTTGGGCGCAATAACGTCGATTTCGTCGATGAAGATCAAGCATGGGGCAACCTCCTTGGCCTTCTCAAAATGTTCCCTTACTTGCTTCTCAGACTCTCCAGACATACCCGACACAACGGATGGACCCAAAATCTCAATAAACGGCACACCGAGCTCGGCAGCGAAGGCTCGACTTATGACAGTCTTACCACATCCTGGTGGACCATGGAGTAATATACCGCGTGGTATTGGGATTTTGCGGTTGGCGTATTCCTGAGGGCAGAGAAGAGGCAACACGAGATGCTCCTTGAGCTGTTCTTTGACTTTTTCCACGCCACCGAGATCTTCTAATGTAACACCTGTAGGAGCTGCTGTGTCGATCTTGCTCTCCTTCTCCTGTGCCCCTGCCTTCTTCTGTCTCTTAGCTTCCCTCTCCTCTTTTGTCTTCCCACTGTCTCGCTTTTTGCTCTTCTCGCTCTTCTCACTCTTCTCCCCGTTTGCAGCTGGCGGGATTGCCCATTGACTGACAATTTGCTTATTCATCCAATCGCTCGATCGGTCCTTTTTGTCTTTCGGTTCGTCCATGGTAAAGTCTCCTTCGAGTTCTGCCATTTCGTCTTCGGAATCGGGTTCTTCGTCTTCGCGGATAACGTCAATTACGCGGTCGATTGAATCTTCGATTTGCTTCTTCGGCCGTCTCTTCAGGCTCGAGTTGGAGCGTTGAATATAGTCGTAGACGGTCGACGGGCGCAGTTTCAGCGCCGACTCATTCTTCTCGTCGAGATATTTGCGCACCACCTGGTACACTTCCTTGTCCAGGCCTGCCTGGAGGGAGGGTCGGCCTTTTGATACCATGACAACTAGCGTGGTATCGCAGAAGTGTCAAACGTAGAGCGAGGACGGTATTTATGCGCCAGGAAGAGTGTAACGTAGAATAAGAAAGCCGGTTTGGTATGGCCAGTGTACCTTGGGCCAGAGGAGTCTATGATGGCTGCGTTGAGTGTCAGTTCCCGTGATCTGGAACTGCTAGCGCTAGTGAGCCTTAGCGCCTATTATCAGGAAACAGGTACGAATGCGGCACGAAATGGTCACGTCGGGCTTTGACTTGAGAACAATGCGACGGTGCTATTTCACTTTTGATGCGCATGCTCGCGTCTCCAAAAAAGTTCGCGACGACTTATCGATAAGACTAGCGTGGAGCTAGCCTCGGCCCTAGCTCGCATACGTCAATCAAGGCACAGGGACATGTCGCATGCGCAACCCTCATCACTCATGGAGATCGCAGCAATATGGGTAACTCGAGCAGCGCAAACAAGATCTCTGCCCAGGATAAGTGAGTCAAGCCCAGCAACGTGTTAACATGTCGCTGACATGCCAGGGCGATCCTGGATATGAAGAACCAGCGCGATAAGCTGCGACAGTACCAGAAGCGAATCACCGTCCTCACCGACCGCGAGAAGGAGATTGCGAAGGAATGTTTAGCCAAGGGCGATACAGGCAAGGCAAAGCTAGCGCTGAGGAGGAAGAAGTACCAGGAGGGTCTCTTATCCAAGACCGATGCCCAACTAGCGCAGCTAGAGATCCTCACCAGCGACGTCGAGTTCGCCCTGGTGCAGAAGGATGTCTTGTTTGGTCTGCAGCAGGGAACTGCAGTTCTCAAAGAGATTCACAAGGAAATGGGCGGCATCGAGAATGTAGAGAAGCTGCTGGGTGAGAACGAGGAGGCTCGTGCTTATCAGGAGGTGCGCCGCATAGCCAAGCCTTTGGTAGTATGTGTACTGATAGACATTCCAGGAAATCAGCGAGCTCCTTGCGAACAAGATGTCCAACCAAGACGAAGACGAAGTCGAAGACGAGCTCGATGCTCTCGAAGCAGAAGTCAACGGCACCGTTCCTGCGTTACCCGACGCGCCTGTCGCACAGCCACAATTCACACCCGAAGAGAAGGCGCAAATGGCCAAGGACAGAGCGGCGAGACGGGCGAGGGAAAGGGCTGCCGAGCAGGCATCGCAGCCCATGTTGGCGTGATGAGACATGGCACTGGCGTATAGATTGCATTAGAGCGTGGCGTTGGGGTGTTTTGCTGGCATGGCGTGGACGACGTGACACTTTGGGCATACTGCATGTTTGCTACATGTGCGCATATATACAAGAGTCTATATGGAGTTTATTCTACGGCTTGGTGCATGTGGTGATCACGTGTGCGAAACGTGGGCAATGATGCATCGTCCTAGATGTCTGCCCATTATGTCAGTCTCGCCTTCTCTTCACCCACCGAGCACGTCATACCGTAGCTCCTGTCCTACATCTACACCATCTTTCTTCCCATCCATCTACGACGCCAGGATCTGCCGACCCTGCATCAACAACCCTGACCCCGACTGCCATCCGCATCGAAGCTCGAAGCTACCCCGCCATCCACCCCACCACTTCCAGCCCTACCGCGCAAACACACCCAACATTGCCCACAAACATGTCGCACTCACACTGCCACGACGAGCATCACGACCACTCCCACGCTGACGGCCACGACCACAGCGACGACATCACCCCAGCCCTCCAGAACATCCTCTACGAACAACTCGACTTCCCCAAGCTCGTCACGCTCAACGAAGATGAATCCAACAGCGGTCGCGCAATCTGCCAGAAGACATGGGCCCAGCGCCTCGAACCCGAGCCCGAGCTGAAGAGCAGCGCCGATGAACAAATCCTTATGACGGTGCCTTTTACAGGCCAAGTCCGACTACATTCCATCATCCTACGAACGAGCCCTGGCCCCGACTGTCCCAAGACCCTCAAAGTCTTCGTCAACGAAGATTCGCTCGATTTTGAAACCGCGGCCGAAAAGGAACCCACACAGATACTGGAAATCAGTCAGACGAGCGAGGTGCAAGAGATACCCGTCAAGAGGGCCAAGTTCGGCACAACACGCAGTCTGAGCTTATTTTTCGAGGACAACTGGAGTAATGGCGAAGAGGACGAGACGAGAATAAGCTATCTGGCGTTCAAGGGCGACTTTATGAAGCTCAACAAGGAGGCTGTGTCTGTCATGTACGAGGCCGCTGCGAATCCCAATGATCATAAGAATATTGTAGGAATTGGACAGGGTGTAGGACGGAGTATACAGTAAGAAGACGAGCGCCTGGCTAAGGCGACATGGCCATGTTGAGGGAGCTTCACATTGGGAATGGCGCACGGTATGGTGTCAAATCAGGTTCATCAGGGTCATTATCAGTTAGCATGGATATGCTACAGTCTGTCGCTTCTTGAACGCCAATATATGTATATTAAAAGCATTTCAGTCTGAAGGGTCAGCAAAGGCGCATGGAACATTTATTAGAGATGACATACTCAGCGTATCATTGCGCTTTCGTGGGTATCGTGTCGTCCATGTATGCATGTATATCCTTTTCCCGTTCCGTGTCGCCTGTCGACTTGCGCTCTGAATGCATCCACTCTCAACGTCGCTTGTTTTGTGGTGTTGCTCCAATGCAGTATGCTGGGCACATAGTCCATCTCTCTGTGAGGCCGCGTAAAACCCTCTTCGCCAGCTTCCGAGTCCAACTCCTGGTATCCGTTCGTGGTTTCTTTCCTTGCTCAAGTATGTTTCGTTCCTCCCAGCACCTCTCCGTGAACCTTCCCCCAGTCGATCTTTCCGTCAATCTCTTCATCCACCCTACCCACCACCGCCACACTGTCACCCCGTATAATGTACAGTCCGAGTGGTACCTCTTCACTAGGCTCTTCGTCTTCTATCGGTCGGATGATGCGCTCGACGGCTTCTTGGAGGACGAGGTTCATACTACCGTCGCATGAGTGGAGAAGGCCGACCATCGTGCGGCCATCGAGGGTAAGAACTGATACACGCTCTAAGAAAAGTCAGCAGGGAAGATGATACCACAGCAGACGGGACTTACTGTTTAGGTAGGCGTTTAGTGCCATTGTGAGGGTTTGGTTGGGGTATGCGTTGGTTTGGGAACTCGGATATTATCTAAGGGCGGCTTCGTGAGACCAGCAGATATAAGATATGCAAGAGGTGTCCTTGAAGCGCTATTTGCACGCGCTCGAAGGATGCTCGCGCAAAATTCCGTGGTATAGTATCGCGTTGTGGAAAGGTTGCGACTTGCTCAAAACTTGGTTCGTCTAAGTTCTGAGGTTCGGATGGATATTCTCGGCGACAGAAGGTTTGCTAGAAGATGTCTCGGACGAGTGGACGAGGAACACGGCGAGTTGCTTGCGCTTGTCACGATTTGGTTGAAGCTGCACATGAAGCTCGCGATGCTTTGCCGGTGGAGCTTCAGATGGCACGTGCATTCGGCCAATCAGAGTCGCAGGGACATGTCTGCCTAGGTACCTAGGTAATGACTTCGTTCTGAATGTCACAATTATCTCATTCTCACAGCTCAGTGCGACACCTAGGAATATGTGTTCTACAAGAAAATCCATATCCAAGACATCGATAACGTCCTACCTAGGTATCATGTACTTGCGTGCTACCTAGACACGCCGAAAAGTCGGGAGCCAGCACTTCCTCTAGCTCTTATTCGCGATGACCACCTCCGGATGACTTACAAGGAATGGAAACTCTGTCTTGTAATAGAGTCTCCGGAAGGCTGTATGGTCAAGGTTTTGTATTCGTTCAAGTTTGGTTTGCACGGAGGTGGTATTGTCCCATGGATGGGTATAGTGGTACCACACCGCGATATTTCCAATTATTCTTAAAGAATCGCTGGCATTCACCCTTTTCTGATTTTTTGACAATACTTTTTTTAAAGCGAACAACATGGCGAATCTTCTCGACGCTGTCCAGCAGTACCCTTTCCTCGATGCACTTTGTTCGCATCTACGCATTGCCGACTTCAAAGCACTTTCAAGAACCAGCTCCGACTTTCGAATCTGTCTCACAGGAAGAAGCAAGCCCGCTCTACCCAAGCACAAGACTAAATATCCGTTTCAACCAGTCTCTAGACCCTGTACTTGTAGTAAGAATCATTTGGCAGACTGCCAGAAGCATGGTCCACCGGAACTGCGTAACCTGCTCGGGAAAATTGACCGAACTTGCGAAGATTCAGATCACGAGAAGAATGGAGCTTCATATCCTTCGATACCTGATGACTGGAAATCCGTTATCTGTGATGCCCTTGGTGGTCTAAGCAATGTCAACTCATGCTGCAAGTGCACCCGAACCATATGTTTCCAATGCTGGTGGTTACACATTACCAAGGGAAGTGCCAATACTCGGGGTAACGGTCGGGCACATCATGCATGCTCGACATGCTGGAATACGGATTTTGAAAAGCTTCGTAGCGACGATTCCTCACATGCATTTCCCGCGACACATGGTCATCGTAGATGGCGACAGGCGCAGCTTCAAGGCGACTTCTGCAAGTGTGGTCCAGCAATTCATTGCAGACCTTGCACTAACGAGGTCAGCCCACCTCCGAACTATACCCCAATCGAAGAAATATCGCGTCTAGACCAGTTCCTATCTCCGTACCCAGAGCCTTCCCACAGGAAGTGTATCGCTTGCCCCACATACATGTCGGAAGACGGAATAGAAAAGGTGAACCACTTCTGCCCTTCCTGCAATCTTCCTATACAAATGCGCAATGGCGATCATCCTGTCGAACGGCAGTCTCAGAAATTAGGCGTCTATCGCGATGATGAAAACGACATCGATCGTGAGGTTGAGACGGTAGGACCCGACTACGAGTCTGTTCAAGAGTTTTGGAAGCGGCAGTGGATAAGAACCAGCGGCCGGTTGAGTCCACCGACTAAATGGCAGCCTGTGCGATATGAATGGGAACGTATCAACCAAGGTTCGGTGCTCACCGCGGATGAACGTAGCCACTTGGATCGGTGCTCGTACTTCAAGCCCATACGTGCACCTGTGTGGGATTCTGAAAAGGTTCTATTCGAGCCGCCTCCAATCAGACTCCCTCACTACATGTGGCGTCGTATCATTGGGTATGTTCTACACTAGGTACTATATTTCCATGCAACAGGATTATACTAACAACTCTTCATCAGGAGAACCTGGGGCTTCTGGACCTGGATCGTGGCAGATATTTCAGGTCTATTTAGTCTAGAAGAGTTATTGGTCCAGGAATTTGGTTCTGTGTCCAAGTTCTTCACGTACGTGAGAAGATAGATTTGGAGGAAATGGCAAGGACATCAATACGTATATACGGTGAAAACAACGTGGGTATCATTTAGGAATGCGTGGCTTTGACACCTAAACCTAATTCACCTCATTCAAGACATTAAACATACGGCCTCCAATAGTTCTCTGTTCGTGGTTCGGACCTTTCAAGTGCGACGGTACTGGAAAACAACATGCATATCGCTTTCGAAGCGGTGAGCCCTCAAATTCGCTCTTGTGACCACCTGTGATGTCTATCAACCCGTGAAACAGGCAAACTGGGTATACACGATATCAGAATAACGTCTTGATCCACAAAACAAACATTTAGAAATTATGGCGGCCGTTATTCATAGTATTCGTGTATGGTGCTATACTCTCGAAATACATGTTTCTCGAGTGGCTGGGATTAAGGTTTGTGGGCAAAAAGTAGATAATCCGGAGTCGGCCCCTCTCGCGCGACGGACCCACGGTTGCGTTGATAAGAACAATCAAACTCGCGATTCGCAACCATAGTTTGGTTTAAGAGACAAATCCAATACTTCAATTGCCAGATCCTCCGACTCTATCCTAAATTCCTACATAAGCTTCAATTGCACTTCTCAAATCAACTTGACGATACCAAGATGATCACCGCCACAGTCCGCACCGCAGGGCTTCAAGTCCGAAGCTTTCACAAGACCGCTCTAAACTCAGTTTTAACCGAAACGGCAACTCGTGGGACCAACGAAAGTTATCTTCGCCATCACAGAAAGCACAATAAAGTCGAATATAGCCAGTCTCCCGTCACACCATACAACACCAATGTCAGAGCAGAGTGGCAGCGCCATCGTGCAACCGAGCATCATCAGATCTGGCCGTCTTCCCCTCAGAAGCACTCTTTTCATACCAAGTTATCCTCGCAGGATACACCAATTACCCAATCAACACATGCGATGACCTTCCGAAAGGACCGCGAGATGCACATCGCCGCACGCCAAACATCGCTCAAAGCACCAGAGGAACACGAGAACCCAGATCGCGAATTCATGAAGACGTGGCTCGGCGTCAAAAGGGAATTTGGCTACCTGCGCTCAGACTTGCTGGACGCTGTGTTGGCTGATGGTAAAAAGGCTCAAAACCAGAGCTTCATGGGACGGCTTTTTGACAGCGAATCTAAGACTCAACATTAGATAACTACGTGCGCATGCTTATTACCTGCGCTGTGTTTCATATTGCAGCATTGCTTCTACTTCACGAATGTATCTCGAGATTCCATTCCGTAGCGGTAGAAGAAGAGACGTGACGTGTTTGTGTATCACGACTGGTATGTCAATATATGGACACAGGAAGTATCGGTAGAATCTGTACACAAATGGGAACAACGGGTCCTCGCATTTTGCTCATGAGGATCTTTTGTACATACCTCCGCTTATCTGGTGTTGGTGTTGGTGTTTTGTGGTGACCTAAAAAAAGCCGGGTGAGCATTACCTAGGTAATTACCATACCATACCCAATCCAGCATGGTCATTCACGCGCACATCTTGATAAACTGTGTCTTCGGTCCATTTCCGCACAACTATCAAGCTTACACCGTTTTGACGATTGGCACCCAAAATTCCTTTCACTCTGCGCTGTCATCCAGCCCGTTCTTCTGAGATTAATATGCGTACATATCGCCCGACTTCCAGCAGGATCAGTATACGCACAAATGATGTCATTTTGGATGCCTCCCGAGGTCAACATGCACAGAGAATTTCGTACCAGCATCACCAGAGCATCATACCATAGAAACCATCATAGTGTCTGACTAGAAAAGCATACTTTGCCGCGGTCGCAACGGAATATGTATCTTTTTCTATGCCGCTTTGTTATGGGATTGACATCCTTATACTTTTAGTCGCATCTTCCTAAGTTTTGCGCGAACCTGAGTTTCCGATCCATCGGCGCATCTAAAAAAAAGTCATCGCCAGCATCCCGACTGCAAGAGATTTATTCCAGCACTATCGCAACTTCCACAAACCCGCTTGAAGTACGATCTTCTCCGTTGTTCAGATCCAACCCCGATGCCATGCCAGCAACAGGCGCAAAGGACCACGATGCCGAGAAGATTAATAGTAACGCATCGCAACTGCCACCATGGCGACGGAGGTTACGTCGCGTAAAGCTTCCAATGCTCCCAGTTCACAATCAAGAAGGCAGTAACGGGCTGACCCTCACCACAAGCAAGGGTCACGTCTATCTCCTCGACCAGTTTCGCCAGCGGGTACCGCTGCGGATCCGTAATCGTTCTGTCGCTATGATCTCTGAGTTTGTCGGCACCTTCCTGTTCATGCTCATCGGTTTAGGCGGTAACTCTGCTGTCATCAATGATTCAGCCGTTGCTACACAGACCGGCGGAGGAGATCCCTCAGCAGATCCAGCTAAGATCCTTTTCATCGCAACGTCATGGGGCGCAGCTGTGACAGTGAATGCGTGGAGCTTCTTCCGGATTAGCGGTGGGCTCTTTAATCCTGCTGTAACTATGGCTTTGATGCTAATCCGCGCTGTACCACCGCTTGATGGCCTTCTCGATATCATCAGTCAGCTTTTCGGTTCTATCCTAGCAAGTGCTATCGCATACGGACTATTGCCATCGGGTGCTCTAGCGGCTACTGAATTGGGTGATATGACCACCGTCACGCAGGGGTTATTCATCGAGATGTTCATTACAGCACAGGTCGTCGTGGCAGTCTTCATGTTGGCAACGGAGAAACACAAAGCTACGTTCATTGCGCCCGTTGGAATCGGATTGACGGTATTTGCGTGCATTCTTATGTATGTATTCTCTTATTCCCCTTTGTCACTATTCGCAGTTGCAATCGCGCAGTTCCTCTTTCATAACACGTAACTTATGCACCTAGGGCCTCAACATATACTGGCGCAGCAATGAACCCAGCTCGATCATTCGCTGTGTGCGTTATCCAAGGAAGTTTTCCACACTATCATTGGATTTATTGGGTTGGTCCGGGGTTGGGTGCCTTGCTTGCAACTGCCTTCTATCACTTGATCCGCAAGCTGGAGTACTGGACTGTAAATCCTAATGTCGACGACTACGAGACGAAGGTTGGAGAGACTATTCGAGATGTCGCAAGCAGGGTTGCCGACATGTCAAACGTTCCTGGGGCAAGTTCGAACGACGATTCATGAGTTTAGTGCAAGGGTCGAGACTGTCTCGCAATTGCACTGACAAAGCGCCAACACGCTCATCTACAAGCAGTTTTCTACAACATCGAGCTAGCTCAACCTGATCATTCCTCAACACGTCCGACGACATTCCTACTTGGACACCGCTCCACAGCCAGCACAGGTCACCACCGATCAGCTCGAAGAAGCGATGCATTTGATAAGAGCTGCGCAATACTCCCATGTCCATGCAAATGCTACCTCAGGATATTGCTCTCATCATGAAATTTATGGCTTGCGCTTCAATCATGGATGGTTTGGAAAGCCAACCAGTCAAGCATAGATCTTGAGGGATAGAGCTTGGAGAATTGACAGCGCAGTTGCATTTGTCTGCGAAACATGAAACATTGCGGGCTATAAAGCTGTAAGACTATATAGTAGACATGATGAAGGCTGAGAGCGCTGAACGCAAATATGTTTAATGCATTGAGCGCTCTAGGGCGGCATGAGCTCCTGACCAGCCTGTGCACAATCGGTATTGCTTGAACCATGTGTATCTACCCTCGTAGACCAGAACGACAGCCCAGCGATCAAGTCCAGCCAGGTTTCCAATGCGCAGAACAAAGGATGTTCGGGAGGCGATAACGCTGGTAGCGCACGGATCGCATCTTGTCGTACCTTGATGTGGACGGGATCCAGCAGAACCTAGCCACCACCAACACCAACCAGCTTGCCCAGCCATCTCAACTTCCTTCAAAGAACGTCCGCTCCTGTGCTCCTGTATTCACCTTCCTATTCGACAATACTGCGCCGCCTGCAATCATGTGGGTTACACGAGGCCTCCACTGCAGACCTTGTTTATCCGGGTTGCCGGTTGCTTGGTGCCTCTTGGCGGCGACGCAGCGTGCCTTGGGAGGCTTGACACCTGCTCAATGCGGCAACTAGAAGGCGCATATCAATTAGACTGATATGTACGATGGAAAGCAGATAAAAAGGACCGTTGCCTTGCTAGAGCACGACAAGTGCTTTGTTGCATTCGTCTCGTGTTCCTACCCGACGCGTCGTTTGGGTCACTGAGTGGGGAACGTTGATACCCTGCTGCCCGCAATGCGTTCTTTCGCAATCCTCGCTGCGGCATTGCCGTTGGTTCACGCAATTGAACCTCCGCGCATGCCACACCAGCCTCTCGGCAATGGCACCAAGCGTCTGAGCTACAACGAAACCACCGACAGCCCTGGATCTTTGACACCTTCAACACGATCCTTCACCTGGGTTGGCACTGGGGAAGATGGCGACTACATTTACACAGCTGCCTCTGGCGACTTCGTCTTTGAGAATGTCGCAACAGGCGAATCGTCCACTTTCATCTCCGCTGACCAGGTCCCGGAGGACTACTGGGATTACTTTATCTCGCCTGATGCCACCAAGGTCATGTGGGCCGTCAACTACACGAAGCAGTACCGTCACTCTTACTTCGCTGATTACCTGATCATGGACGTTGCGACTGGAGAGTCCGTGCCTCTTGATCCCGAGCAAGTTGGGGATATTCAGTATGCCGAATGGAGCCCTGCCTCGTCGTCTCAGGTCGCATTCGTCAAGGGCAACAACCTGTACATGTCCACCAACGGCACTATCACTCAGATCACCGAGGACGGAGGGCCCGACTACTTCAACGCTATTCCTGACTGGGTTTACGAAGAGGAGATCTTCGGCGATCGCTACACTCTATGGTTCTCGCCCGATGGCGCTAAGATTGCTTTCCTTAGCTTCAACGAGACTGGTGTTGGTACATTCAGAATCCCATACTACATCGACGATGATGCTGAATATGTTCCTGTTTACCCCAATGAGTTGGAGCTTCGCTACCCCAAGGTCGGCACAAAGAATCCGACTGTGGTCATGAACATGCTTGATGTAGAGTCTGGCGAATACACCAACATTCCCATTGATGCTTTCCCGGAGGACGACCTTGTCATTGGCGAGGTTGTCTGGCTTACCGAGGAGCACAGCAAGGTCCTTTACCGCGCCTACAACCGTGTCCAGGATATGGAGAAGCTCGTTGTTGTCGATGTAGAGGCTGGGTCGTCCAAGGTTACTCGTGAGCGTGACGGTACCGATGGATGGCTGGAGAACTTGATGCAAGTTCGATACATCGGAGCTGTTGAGACTGCGAACGCTTCTTACGGAAACGCTACTGAATACTACATGGATCTCTCTGATATGAGTGGCTGGGCGCATATCTACCTCTTCCCCGTCGATGGCGGAGAGCCTATCGCACTCACGTCCGGTGAGTGGGAAGTTATCAGCGTACCCAAGGTTGACTACTCCCGTGGCCTTGTCTACTACACCTCTACCGAGCACCACAGTGCTGAGTCCCATATCTACTCTGTCAGCTTCTCTGGCGAGAAGACTGCGCTCGTCGATGACAGCGTGACTGCTTTCTGGACTGGATCTTTCTCTTCCGGCGGCTCATACTATGTCCTCCGTTACGCTGGCCCCGACGTGCCATACCAGGAGCTGCACTCTATCAACTCCAGTGAGCCAATTCGCACAATCGTCAACAACACAGCACTTTACGAGAAGCTTCAAGGCTATGCTCTCCCCAACATTACCTACCTAGATATGGAACACCCAGACGGCTACACTTTGGACGCCATGCTCCGCCTGCCACCCAACTTTGACCCCTCCAAGAAGTACCCTCTCCTCCTCATTCCTTACGGTGGCCCCAACGCAAAAGAGGTTCACAAGGACTTCAACCCACTCAACTGGAAGGCTTACGTTGCCTCCGACCCTGAGCTCGAATACGTGACCCTTACCGTCGACGGCCGTGGTACTGGTCGTAAAGGTCGCGCTTTCCGTTCTCTCGTCACTTCTAACCTGGGTCAACTTGAGGCCGAAGACCAGATCTGGGCTGCCAAGGAGCTTGCAAAGAACGAGTGGATCGACAGCGAGCATATTGGTATCTGGGGCTGGTCTTACGGTGGCTACCTCTCCTCCAAGGTTGTTGAGGTCGGCGACCCAATCATCAGCTACGCCATGATCACAGCCCCTGTCAGCGACTGGCGCTTCTACGACTCCCTATACACTGAACGCTACATGAAGACACCCGACATTAACCCCGAGGGTTACAACCGTAGCCGTGTTCATGATGCCACAGGTTTCAAGAACATTGCTGGTGGTGTCGTCATTCAGCACGGTACTGGTGATGACAACGTGCACTTCCAGAACTCGGCTGCGTTGGTCGACCTGCTCATGGTCAACCAGGTCACTCCTGAGAAGATGCAGAACACTTTCTTCACCGACAGTGATCACAGCATCAACTTCCACAACAACGGAAAGTTCCTGTACAGACAGTTGAGCAAGAAGCTGTATGAGGAGAAGGCACGCGAGGGCGACAGCAAGGGTGGTCACCAGTGGAGCAAGAGGGGTCTGGGACGCAAATGGAAAGCTTGAACAGCTCTAAAATAGTTGTACATGATAATGCGACAATGTAATGCATAATTCAAAGTTTCACCTGATCTCAGTGCACAGTCACCAGCCACCCGGCCTCTCTCTCAAGCTAATGCTGATGCATAACGGACATCCTCCGATTCTCTCGGTCCTATTCACACAATCAGACCCCTTGTGTTTACTCTCATCCTTAGCGTTATTCTCTTCGTCGATAAGACTGTGATTTTTCTTTAGTGCGCCACCGAAACCTGCAGGACCGCTTGCGCTTCGCGCAGTTTTACAAAGTACAGAAGGAATCTTGGAAAAAACAAGCGCTCAATCCACTATGTAGTCGCCGCATGTTTTGTTAGATGGTTGAAGCAACGGCTATCGTCGAAGGATATGTATGACCCGGTGCAGCTGTCGACAGGGTATTGAAAGATCTAGAGTCGTATGCAGATTCACTCGAAATTACATTGGGGCAGGCTGAGCGGTGACAATACGCGTGAACGGCCACGGGCCCTGGCAAACAACTAGACGATTGTATGACTTAACATCCGTCTGCATTCTGGTACATTCACCTATGTACTCTTAATCCAACACGACATTTGAACGCCCAGCCACATCTATTCCAAGCTGAGATCCACCAAAACATACTTCAACATGGCGGCCGAGACCACCGGTACTACAACGCAGTGTGTAGATGCGCCCGACTACCACTCGCTCAAATTCGAACACATGAGCAGGATATCTAGTCTTGCGGAAGGACATGTTTACGCGCCCAGATACTTTCCCGGTGAGCTACAAGCTCTCTTGAACATCGCCTCGCTCAAATTTCACGAATGGGCTCCTGGTCACTTTGCTTCGATTTTGGGTTGTCCAAAAGAATCCAAACAAGGCTCGAAACCCCAATCGGCGCTATCGGAACACCTGGAAATCCAATGGGGAGAGGGTGATAGAACTGTTTTGTTGAACGATCGCTCTGCGCTATCCAATACAGGTATCCGACCGCAAACCATAATCTCTGATACCGATGAAGTATTGTCGAGACTGCAGCGTGGTTTTGAACTCGCCCCTCCGTTCTCTACTATCCTTACGGTGGTAGACCACGAGCACCTGACAATGCTAAGTGTCTTTTTCCGCTACTGTCTCTCGGTGCAAGGCCATGCTACAGCGACGGAGAATTTCCAGTACAACTTTTGGTTATGGTTCGAGAAACTCTGTCGCCATGTCGCCAGCCAAAGTACACCGGATAGCCCGCCAGAACACGTTGATGTCGCTGCATCGCCGAAGGCTGAGAAGAAGCCGGATAGTTTTTGCAGCCAAGTTGAATCGGATGATCGAGCACATGAAAACAAAACTACGGTTTTGGAGATTGAGGAGATAGAGGAAGTTGCAAGCAACCATAGTTTCCATGGAGAACTGGAAACAATGCGGAAGGAAGTTGAGAAATACAAGTTGGCTTATGAAGAGCAAAGCAAAAAGGTCGAAGAGGAGAAGTCGTGGTTGCACAAATTGCGTCTCGCGCATGTGAACTCCGAAGCCATGCTTAGAGAACGTCAGAAAGAGGCAGAGGAGTGAAGGTTAGGCAATAAGTGTTAGTGAAAGAGTCACCAAAAACCTATGATAGTATTCTATTCATTGCCGGTGTCACATGGTGGAAGACTGAGGGATATGAAGAGGACAGTTTTGTAGAATTAGAAGCCTAGGAACCGTGAGAGTTGAAAGTCTCTAGAAGCCAAGAGGATTGTTCAACCGTTCTAGTTCACTATTGACGTGAGGATGAAATTAGATCTTCTTTAGGTCCTGATTGTTGATTATGGAATAGTAAAGCTGAACTGGCAATAAAACTTGATCCAGAATCGCCCATGTATCGGATCATGAGAGCCGGCAGTACTTCTCTGCCTAAGTAAGAAGAATATCACAATATTTCGTTTACGTATTGCCTCCCGAGGCGAACAGAAAGAGATCCAGGTTAGAGAGGCTAGAAGATGAGCCTCATTGCATAGCAGTATAGCTGGATGAGGTCCTATGCAGCGCCGGAAAAGAACACTAGGGCAAACCCAGACCTGTCAAGTAGAATGACAGGGCATCTGGTTGCATTCGAAGGGTTGGAAGGGCTCTCTATCGTAGAGACATCGATATGTGTTACTTTTGTAGAATCTCGTCTAGGAGTTCAACGAACTTGACGGCCATTTTCTTTCCGCCCGATTCGTTTGGCTCAACTCTGGCTGTATAATCACTAACGTTCTTGCCATCAAGAACCTCATGTAGTGCGCAGGGTACTACCTCCGTACCATCGACTCGGATTTCTTTTGTCGCAATCTTGTACATCGCTCGAATGGCTGCTTGCAGTTGACCAGGGTATGAGTTGTATCCTCTATATGTGGGTGTACGATGTCAGTGCATGTCTCATGCATATTTCGCACAGAAATACATACAGTGCCTTAAGTTGCGCATCAGCCCAACTAGTTTGTCCCAAGCCAGACTCGAGTGGGAAGTATATCATACAGACGATTACAGCACGAGGTTTCGTTTTAGCGGTGAGACGGGTGACGTAGTTCTCGACCTTTGTACCGAACATATGCTTGAAATATGTCAATGCCCCTGCGGTACCGTTCTCCAAATTCTTGCGAGGGGTCAGCCAGGCGAGCTGCAGCATATGGCGGATCGTTGAGGAATTTGGCTTCAGGGCGACATCGTTGGCGCCAACACTGACAATTAACACGTCGTTGGACCGAATGTTGTCGCGAATGAACTCATCATGAGACACCAGCATTTCGTCTCGATCTCGAAGCATCGACTCTTCCACTGCAGTGTTGATGCATGTAGCACGATCCTCCAGCAGATTGTTCAGCCAAAACGCAACATCTGGCTTTGGGACAACAGGGCTCTTGAACGCCTGGGAATATATATCTGGTAGCTGAGAAGGGACTATGGGGCTTCTTTTGTCAACCCAGTACTTATTATCGAGAGATGAATCGCCAGCCAGGTATATGATTGGCTTCCCAGGCCGTTCTGTGAGTGTGATGGTACGAAAGGTAGCCAGGTCATCGATAGGGTGGCCTTTCCATTCGAAGTAAAAGCGCGAGCAATTCATCATCGGGATTGTAGGTGAGGATGAGGACGCCATATTCGATCACTCGAGATAGCTGTTTGACGGGGTGATGCGTCGCTGTACAACGACACGCAACGTTGACACGATCAAGTGATGTCGTACGCGTAACAAAAGAGAGTCCGGGACTTCAAAGGGACAGTCATCGGTGCTGTTGTACAAGGCGAAAAGACACATCGTTGCTGTGCGCTTACGAAGGATGATGTGCTAGGCAGCTGCGTTGGAGATGCGTAGTCACGCACGGACCTCTACAACAATGACATCACAATGAGAAGATGATCTAATCCCCAATGGCGAAGATGAGGTGTGAAATAAAATTGCCATGCTAATAATCCATGAGATCATTCCTAGGGGACGAAGCCAGAAAGACCTCGCTCATTCAGTCCGTCTCCCCCAATCGGCCAGAAGCTGCTCCTGCATAGCGAATTGCACGTTCTTGGCCTCGAGCTCATCAGCCATTATGCGATGCTCGGGATCTAAGCACTTCCTTTTATCTCGAATCTGTGCTTCTAGAACGTCTATATCTGCAAGGTACTGCTTGGAGACCATTTCCAACTGTACGACAAGTTTGCTCTTCTCGGCATGATCCGCCTCGACGTCGTGCATGCTAGCTACAAGTTGTTTAACAGATTCTTTAGGGCCGTGGATATCGAGAGACGATGTCGCAGAGATTGCACTTTGAACGCGTTGCAGCAACGAATAGTTGCGCTTATCGGTAGGTTGGATATTGATTGTCAGGGCGACATTGGGGAGGGGTGTAACCTGCAGCTCTGTGGAAGATTGGACCATTCCGTTGAAAGATGGTACAGTGCTGAGACTCATGATCGAATTACCGAGATCCTCAAGCCCAGCTAGCAAGGCAGGGTTGTTTAATGGGTTGGTCGTAGGGACAGGCGTACGCGGCGTTGTCGAGACGGTTTGCAAATCAGAAAATTTTAGCGAAGACCTGATTAATGAAGCTGCTTCAGGCTCCGATGCCAAGCAAAAGACCGTTGAGAGCCCGAGTGCAGCTGATGCTGGATACACCGGAGTACACGGCTCAGGCGGAACGTTGCGATCTGAACTGAGAACTTCGATTTCCAGCTCGGCGGCGCGCAAACGGTGTATGTATTCCGCAATCTCGACTTCGTTGTCTTCGGGAGCGACAGGAACAGTGTCAAGATATGTGATCGCGGAAAAGCCCAAAAGTTGGTTTAAGTAATGATTGGCGTCGGCATCTTTGATCATGCCAGAAGTGAAGTGCTCTTTGGCGAGCGGCTCTTTGGCATTTCCTTGAAGCTGCTCAACTTTAGCGCCGTAGCTGTCAGTCTGCTGTATCAATGCCTTGATACTTTCCACATTATTAACATTTTCCTCTATCAGGTCAGCATTGGCTTTTGCGAGGTGGCGAAGACCTTCTGTTTCTGCCTCAGCGGCAGCCTGCAGTCCTTTCGCATCTTCAAGTTGGTGAAAGATGAAATTCCTGTGCTCTTCACAGCCATCTTCATGGTGCATATTCCGGAGGCGAGCGTTCTCCTTCTGGAGGTACTTGATGGTGTCCTGGAAGTGGGAGACAGGGCTAGGTTGATAAGGGTTTGCATCATGAGTACTGGGCATACATGCAAGTGAGCTAGTAGGACAGTAGGCAGTAGCTCGTGTGGCCCCAATCTTTGCCTGCTCAACGTGAAGGTGACGTTTCTTGTCGGGAATGCAAGCTTGTAGATTCTTGATTACAGACTGCTTTGCGTCAAGTTCGGAGCGTAACTCTGTGATAGTCCTATCGGTGTCTTGCTGGATTCTGGCTCGCTTCTTCCTTTCCTGATCCAACTTTGACTCGATGTCGCAAATCTGGCGTTCAGTATCTTTCCGCAATGTGACCATGTCGTCATTGAGGGCGCCAAGGTTTCGGCTCTCTTTGCTCAACTTACCGGCAAAAGTACGCGCCTCTTGCTTCTCCTTGGCGAGGTCACTCTTACAAGTTTTCAGTTCTCGAGATGCCTCATCGCATTGCCATATTAGACTGGTTTCTGTCGCTTGAAGCTTTTCGATCTGTCTCCTCAACTCGGCAACCTCCAAGTCCTGTGCCGAATTAATGCTATCATGACGCGATATCGTGGCTATGTTCTGCTCAGAGTCTATGAGAGTGGAAGGAGAGACTGGCGGAGACGATACTTGGCGAGACATAGCTTTTCGCTACTCGTATCGCCGCGAAGAGATGCGTCAGTGTGTACTTGAGAACCTAAATGAGAATAGAGAGAGTATTGTACTCTTTTGTTTGATGCATCTCGCATTATGAAGATTGTCAAACACGTGCGTCGATTCATTGTCAGTCGTGTGTAGTGCAGTGTATTGTGAATGCTCAGATTCTAGGGACTTGACTGTGTAGTATACGGTGTGTGCGTGGTACTGCGCTGCGCTGCGCTGTACCTGCCGATACTCCGGCCTATCCTTGGCCGCGTCACGTCGCAGGCTGTAAAAATGAAACCGTGCACCGCCACATATGTTTGACGAAGCGGCCCAAACACCGGTTGAAGGACTTTGGTATTGAAACAAGGGCCCAACGCGTCCGAAAATAAAGCTGTCAAGTTACAGAATATTTTAGAGGGAAGATAGGCACAAATTGAATGAATCGTGGGGTGACAAGGCCAGGACAAAGACGAGAAGATGCGAGAAGGTTGTGCAACGCGTCGCATCACTACTGGCGCTAAGGGCTGGGATGACGGCGATTGACCAATGAGCAGCAGCACAGGTGGCATCCTGATCATGCGCCACTGGGCGGTGACGTCGGTTTCAGGGAAATCAAGAAGGGCGAGGGTCGTGGCAGCATCATCGCTCGCAGGCTGTGTGAAGGCATAAAGAACCAGGCTGCTGCCGTTTTGCAGCCTTCCCCAAGTCGCTCTACACAAACCTCCGCCTACAGCAACAGTCCAAAATTCGACTTTCGGTAGCGAAGACCATCTGCAGCCACATTCCATCGTACCCGCCCGTAGTCCCCTGCAGCCATCCATCGCGTAGCCGTAGCGCCTCCATCACATCAACATGGTCGCTCCCGCCCTTGTACTAGGCCTGCGTGGCGTACAGGTCGTCTTCAGCATCATCGTCCTGGGTCTTACAGCCTACAGTATGTTGCATGCAGACCATCGCTGAATATGTCATTGCTAACACATCTGCAGTTGTCGATGCCTACATTGACTGGGTCCCGGCGAGCGTCGCCTTCATGCTCTTCACCTCCATCTGGACCCTCCTTGCTGTTGCATACCTCGTCCTTGCGCCAGCTCGCTTCCCTGCTGCAGCTCACAAGTTTGCCATCGGAGGTGTCGAGTTCCTGACCATGATCTTCTGGTTCGCGGCTTTTGTTGCCGTAGCCTCTCGGTGGGGCAACGCGTGGTGGGTCGGCCGTCACGGCACCTTCTACAGCTGCGGTGTTGCTGCTATCGTTTTCTCAGCCTTCAACTGGTATGTATACTGAATTTCTTCTACCCCCGAGCAATGTACTGACATATGACAGGCTTGCCTTCGTAGCTACCACTGTTCTTGCCGCGCTGCACATCCGCAGCTCACCCAGGAATGACACCGCTCCTGCGCCCAACATGGCTGGCGTCTAAACAACCATCAACTGCTGCGCATGACGGCACAAACAAGGCATTGACCTTATACCCAATGATACCCAAATATTTCCTACTCTTATGCCTACGATCAGAATGTAATGTCCAGCGCGACGTTTGTGTTTTGCGCGGTGCGTCCAGCTCCTGACACCACTACTCATATGATTCGAGCTCTTAAAGCATTTCGCATAATGAAATTTGTTTTCTGATGACTTCGTTGCAGATTCCAACTGAAATTTTCGTGATTGTCGCGGTGACAGATCTAGGGCAGCTACGATAGACGTTCGCCATACTGTGGCTAGCGACACCGGCGACCAGCGTTTGGAATCATCGACTCTTGCTGTACTCTTTCCGCAGAAACCCATGCGTCTTTCGCTGCCTCTCCTCACTGACCCTCGGGGTACGGTACAGCGACGCACTACCCGATGCGAGTCATTGTGCCCTGCTGCGTGCCTCCATACGAATCACGAACAAAGCCAGCGCTTGATAGTAGTTGCCTTGGCCGACTTCACACTCACGACTGCCGTTTCATTGACTTCCAGAAGACTTCAACTCAGGTCTGCAAAACACTTCACAATGAACACGCTCTCGAAGGAACCGAGTATGCCTTGTTGAATTGCCAAATTCTGAGTACCGCTTAGCCGGGTTGCGATACGCCCGACACTTTCATAATGTTGGATCTTGATGAAGCGCCCACCACAACATCATGATTGCCCTGCATTGGGGGCTAACTTATCCCGGTAAGGTCTCGGTAGCCTGGTCACTCTATCTGCGTCGCTTACATTTTCGGAGCAATCCTACGCCTCCCGTTGACGGAATGTGTACACACGGACCTTTGTACCACAAGCTCTGAAGCTACGGGCTTGGTCTTGTTGGGTGTGGGTTTATACGATTTTGATTGCCATGCTGACGTTCCAACGCGCCTCCCAAACATGACGGTCTCGCATGAAACCCCACCTGTCGCTTCGGCACGTACATTACAAGTCTTTGCCGTTCTCAAGCTATCGTTTACCGCTACTCGCAGTCCCGCCTAGTGCGGGCACGTCTGGGTTATCATGCGCCGACACCTTTTCGTTCGCACCATGACACTGAATATAACCTTCACGTCCCGTCCTCGTAGTCGGCTCAGGGCGAAGTCTGACACACTGATTGTCTTACTATCCATCGATCCAGAGCCAGGCCCGATAATCGTTCGAGTATGGCGATATTGCCTCTCAATTCACCATTCGAGATCCACGGTGTCGGGTCAATGTATCCTGGCCGTGCCGACCAGCAGGTACGAGTAGACGCTGTCTAGCTCGACGTGCTACTGCGACTCCAAGGTGCAACATGAGGACAGGTCACGTACCAAGAAACAGGTTAAACACAGGCTCAAAGATGCGCTCGCGAGCAGCAAGGCGTTTGTTCGGGCTGTTCTGAGCCTTGTTCGGTAGGAATGCAACCCGGTAATTGGAGGGAGCAAGCCCTATTTAGCCGGCTGCCAAGATATGCAGCCAACACGCCGTGACGCTTACCCAATATAAGATGCAGGTTCGGTAATACGGTCGCCTTCTCCGCCTTAGCCTACCTAGGCTACGGAGTATCTGGGGTAAAGGGCCGGGGTAGTGGATAGTCCTTTGGCCATGCCGAATTATAAAGGGTATACCCCCAGCCTGCCCGGCCTCAAGCAGCTTTCAGCGCTTCAACACCGGCATCATGGGTCTCATCAAAGCTCAGGATGGTACTTCCGACCCCATCATCACCCGCATGGTGGAGCAGGACAAGGTGCGATGGTGGAAGAAACCGAATCTGCGCATCATGTACATCTGGCTCTTCTGCTGCTGCATGGGCGTCGAGATCACCTCCGGCTTTGATTCTCAGCTTATTGGCACGCTCCAGTTTTCGGTCCCTTTCAACACATGTAAGCTATGAACGTGGTGGCACCTAGCTCAATGGACCTGACAGTCGCAGATTTTGGAGATGGCTACAAGGACGCAGATGGCGAAGCCAGCATCGAACCCAAGATTATTGGTTTCATGTCATCATGTTACCAGCTCGGGTCCATTCTCGCTGTTCCGGTTGCACCATGGCTGAGCCAAAAGTACGGCAGACGTATGTCCATCTTCGTCGGTTCCGCCATCATGGTCGTTGGTGCTTTGCTGCAAGGATTTGCTCAACACAGTATGTCCACAATTCCGCTAGCTACTTCATGACGATTATGTTGACATATTTCAAGTTGGCATGTACATCATTGCGCGTATGCTACTTGGCTTTGGTATCCTCTTCGCGATCGTCTCTGGTTCTTCCTTGATCGGAGAGCTAGCCTACCCCAAGGAACGACCCTTTATGACCTCACTTTTTAACGCTTCTTACTTCATCGGATCCATCGTTGCCGCGGGTATCTCTATCAAAACAACAGAGATGGTTGGAAACTGGGGCTGGCGTGCACCATCTCTGCTGCAGATTTGCCCGTCCGTCCTGCAGATTTGCACGGTCTTGTATGTCTCTCAATAGAGATTTGGGAAATTGTTACTGACTTAGACAGCCTACTGCCTGAGAGCCCACGTTGGCTTGTCAGCCGTGACCGCGAGGATGAGGCTTTCGCCATCTTAACGAAATACCACGCCGAAGGTGACCCAACCTCCATCCTCGTACAAGCCGAGATGGCACAGATCCGATCTACCATTAAACTCGAGATGGAACACTCCAGTCGCTCGTGGAAAGACATGGTCCGCACGGCTGGTATGCGACGTCGTGTTCTCATTGCGTGCTTCCTCGGTCTCTTTACGCAGATGAGTGGTAACACTTTGCTCTCTTACTACCAAAATCTCCTGTTCAAGTTGATGGGATACACCACCAAATTCGCTAAAACACGCATCAACATCGCCAACCAATGCTGGAGTCTGATGAATGCTGTCGTCATCGCGCTAGTTGTCACTCGGTTCCGTCGTCGCTGGATGTTCATGCTTTCCGCTGCCTCTATGACCATGGTTTTTATGGCCATGACTATTTCCTTCCAGCGCCTCCAGCTTGCTGAGTCCCAGGGAACCAAGAACCAAGCCGCGCAAATTGCCTCGCTCGTATTCTTCTTCGCATACTCCCCTTGCTACAACATCGGCAACAACTCCCTTACATACACCTACCTGGTCGAACTCTTCCCGTACGCTCAGCGAACCATGGGTATCGGTATTGAACAGATGTTTGGAAAGCTTGCTGGATTCTTCTCTGTTTACGTCAACCCGATTGCGCTTGACGCTATCGAGTGGAAGTACTTTGCTATCTATTGTGGATGGATCACTTTCGAATTTTTGTTCGTGTATTTCATGTACCCTGAGACGTACAACCGCACACTCGAGGAACTTGCTTTCTGTAAGTACAGATTGAGGACATTATTTCCCGGGCTATTGCTAACTCCAATGCAGTGTTCGAAGACAAGGAGCTTGCAGATGAGGCGGTCAGAGCTGTTGAGAAGACGGTCAACCACGGTCACGTCGAGGGAACGACTACCGAGCACGGCAAGATGGAGACCACTACCATCGAGCGCACATCTTAAACTGAACCTCGCCACCATACTTCATGTAGCACGTGCGCCCAAATTCGCCGTTACTTGGCAAATATACAATGTCTTTGCGGTCCATGATCTACGAGGCACCTGCGTTGTGACATGCGCTCATAAAACTTGTTGAATCGAATGCCTAATGAACTGTCTTTTTACGCCAAATAATGATATGTGACTAAAATGGATGGTAGGGTAGTCACAACAAGCATTCATGGTTGTACCCAAGTTTAAACACCACACACCCGAGTCCGTGCCGTTACAACAACCCTGGTCCATCTTTTACTGTGGGCCACTAACCGCAATCACCTTGATGATCTTACCATATGAGCTTCCTGAATTTTCATCTTTGTCGTTGCTGTCAGCGCTTCTTCTTCTGTTGAAGCTTTGTCTACAATTAGATTGTTTGGTTGTTTGCGACGAGATCATAAACGTAGCGCAATTATTTGCGTTATCGCAGCAATCGAAATCATACTGATATGAATATTTCGATTACCTTCATATAAGCTACCCATCCCATGGTTCTTCACACTCCGAAGAAGCAGTCACTTCCTATGTGATGGCAGCGCAGCGCTTCAGTATACTTAATTAAATTTCGAGACGCGAATCGATTGTATAGTCTTACATTACGATCATCATCTTTAACATAGTTCCCCATATATACACTGTTCAAACCTCACCGCTACCACGATTGAAACATCACTGTAAAACGCAGGTATTCTTCTATGCTCCTCGATCCCTCCTCGATTTCTTCATGGCTGTGTACTCTTTTAGTGAGATCTTTTTCACTGGCGGAGAAGATGCAGATACCGCAGTAGCACCGGACAACACATCAACGACCTCATATGCCTGAGTAGCTACTGGAGTGGGTGTGGGTGGCGTGACCGAGCGAGTTGGTATCGAAACCGGTGTTGGGGTTACACTGATCGTCCGCTCACTATCAGTAATCGTTCGCTGGCTATCGCTCCAGGGGGATAGATCCGGCTCGTTCATGGCCAACAGTATACGTGCGGCCTCTTTATCTTCCTTGGAGTACACAACCAGCTTGTTCAGTATTAGCATAGTGGCTGCAGCCTCTCGCTCTTTCTCGGTATGGTTCCCAGGAATGGTGTCGAACGTGCTAGCCCGGGTGTCAGTTGTATTGAGGATGGAGTTGAAACTCGAGTGACCCTCGGCAGCAGCAGCAAGTTTCTGTAATGAGCTCATCATTATCGTCTTGCGAGTAATTGGTGGATGGTTCGATTTAATTAGGGCTTGATGATCGGTTGAAAAGTTGAAGGGTGGATCAGGAACTGGTGGAGTTGAAATTGAAAGTTTTCGTGGAGAAAAGGGGGAATAAGTGCAGTGTGGACCGGCTTAGGATCATCTGCACGTAATCACTTTTCTACAAAATATAAAGGAGGGTTCGTGGCGAGATTGATGGACCGATTATCATGGTGAATGGTCACTGAGCCCGCAGCGTGGAGACATAACAGGTAGGCACCAATATAGGAGAGAAAACATGGCTAGATGAAGGCTGATGGTAGACTATAGGTCTTGATTCCTATCTAAAAGAACCTACGTCAAGTGTTTTGTGAGCCAAAGCTCGTTCCAACGGCCATCTTCCGCCATCAATATGTCCACCTCTCCTTGCCTCTGCTTCATCCCTAGCTCTATCTGTTCAACCATCTGGTCAGCCGCGTCAGCCTTCGTTTTGTGTCTCAAAAATTTGTAGCTTCTAGCTATCGAAGTCTTCTCTATCGGTTGACATCATTTTTTCTTCTTGCGGTTTTGATCATTTCCCGCAAGATTGAAGTGGATAAATGTTCGGATTCTCGAGATAAGGGAACGGAGAGAATGACTAGGACATACTGGTACCATAAAGGTATTCTATAAAAGCACAGTGTCGAGGTCTGAGGCACTATAGTACATTGCCACGCTATTTAAAAATCTGGCTTTTACCTACATGGATGTCGCAGGTATATACCCATCTCACTGTATTAAGATCAGTTATTCTTTGCAGTCTTTGAACTATGCTTTGGTTACCGCGGTACAATCTCCCAACCTCATAAAGTTCGTACGTCTGATGATAGCTTTTCATAGATGGATTACGCACCTACTGCTACTTCGTCATACTAGCGACTCACTATATTGTCTATCCACCCAGATTAGGCCAACTCTCACTTGACTCTCACGACCAGTCCCGCTCGCGCCACGTACTAGGGTCACCTTTCATGGTCTTCTCTTTCTCAATGGCCCTTCCTGGGATCAATGCTGGCCAACCATCTTGTCGCCATTCATGTAATCTCCAAGACGCATGATAACCTAATGTATCATCGCTGGCCTCTATGCGAGGTTCTGCATATGTTGGATCGATGGGTAAGAGAAGGTTCTTCTGGAACACAAGGTGAGACGGAGCTGCGCTTCTTATCCCCAGTATTGTCTCAATCTTGGCTTCGGCCTCTGTCTCCACGTCGATATGATGTCCTTTTCCGTTTTTGATATTCTCAATAGCCTCGTCATACACAGCAAGGGCAGCTCTTCGGTCTCTCGGAGAGCAAAGATCGCTTCTGGGGTCAATTGGTACCTTCTTGATGAAACGCAGTCGGCTGTCGCTAAGGCGACTTGAGAGGCGCGGCGCACCGCCACCAACATCTGAGGGTGTACTGGCTGGTATGTCTAAAGGGCCACTGTGCAGGAATTCGCTCATAGACAGAACGGTGCGTCTCGTAGGTGCATCCGCTGGTGGAGTGTTGCGTTCACCTGGAACGTAAGTACTTTTGGGCGAGTAAGACATGAATGACGTAACGCGGTAGGTCAACTCCAAAGGACAAGCGGAAGACAGTAGTATGTCGAACCGGACATATAATTTATACAGGAAGATGTAAGAGCGCTAGAGAGATGACTGACAAGACAGCGTGGTCGCTTCCTGGTGAGTGTGACTGCATAACAAACGCGCTATTCCACATTTGGAAACCAAGCAGAACCGCACGCTTCTCAGTTCAGGCTACCGTATCAGTTGCGCTGAAGGTACGTCAACAAAGCAAGGGAAAGGCGATTTAGCCCATTGATGTAAGGCGTCACAGGCCCTCTACCAAGCCATTCCGTTTGAAGGCAACGTTACCAGTTCCTTTTCAGCACCAAACGACCTACTTGCCAGACCTCGGCCAAGCAGTTTTGCGATTTTTCTGCCGAGTTTTGCGTGCCCTCCTTGCATCTATAGTGAAAGTCTCAGTTTCAGCGTGTGTTGCAGAAAGAGACGTAGAGGTTGATGTAGAAGTACTTGTGGTGGGTGCTTCAAATAAAGACTGCTGTACCTACTCAAAATAAGCAAGTTTCATTACCTAGCAGCGATACGACATACTTGAGCCGCAAGCAAGCCTTCGGTACGCTCGTATAACGAAGGCATGGCAATGACATATTCGCGAACCCAACGCAACATCATCGGCCCTGGATAAGTGGGAGGATAGCCCTACAGTATGTAAGTCTCATGGTAGGTTAGCGGATGAGGTGACTGGCTCACCTCAACCCTAAGCGGCTTCCCGCTTGCAAGGGTCTCGATTCGTTCTTTCATAATGACGTTCAATCGGCCGTAGAAACAAGGTGCTATAGTCATAGCGTCCGCGCCTCTTGCTGTGATCTCAAGCAATTCTCGTTGTAACTTCATGATATCTTCGTGTAGACCAAGGAAGAGCAAGAAGAAGTCGTTGCAGTCTTGCTGGGTAGGCTCACCTGCGATACACTATCAGTATGATGGGGAAAAGGATGTATATTAAGGAAGGGCTGCGCACCGTACTCAGCTGCATAGATAGCGTCAATTTCGTGCTGAGACAGGATACTGAATCGACTATCGCGGACGCGGAGTTGCTGTTGAAGCTGAGGGAGCGGATCAGCTGTCTTGATTGCGCTGTTGTGGCGACAACTCGACATGGTGCTTGGTTGGCGCGCGGGAGATCTGGGATACACAAGATAAGTACGCGAGCCGCACGGAAGTTTAGAAGCTTTCAAGGTGAACCTGAGGTTGTATTCAGAATGTTGTGGGGCTGATGGTGTAGCGTACTTTACAAGACAGAGTTCACTCTCACCAAGTTCCCCCAGTAACCACCTATTCGCACCCCTCTCATCTCAAGCGTGTTCAGATATGGTGGTCAGCTTCACACAAGATATCGGAAGAAAGGAGATGAGACAGGTAACGCGACAGCACCTCTCAGGCAGCGTGCCTGCTGGTGACGCTAATCGTAGTTCATCCATCCTGGTGCATGCATCAGAACAGAGCAAAGTGCAGCAATTCGTCTCCTGCTCAACTATCCTTGAGTATACACTGACTTTACGACTCTCTGTTGAATCACCATCGGCGTCTTGTACAATGACTAGTTTCTGTAAAGATTGACCTATCACGAATACCTTCCACGCTGCCTGAGTCTTGGCATGGATAGTATGCAAACGAGCTTGTCAATTTAGAGATTGCGTCCCACGAGTACTTTGTCGATCTTGTGATGAAGAAGAGGCTAAAAAAGTTGCTGCCGCTACCCTCTCGGAAACATACGCTCTTCAAGTTGTTAGCTTACGGTTCAATCTAGCGAAAAGATGGTTTGGAAGTGATAGACATTTGGCTATCCTTCGGTAGACATCTCTGGTAAAGTGTGCACCTTCCAGCAACCACAGCACAGATCGAGGTCAGTGTGCAACTTATCGTACGGCACGCTTTGCATGTAGAAGCGGCAGTCTTTTCGGCTTTGAACATGATGATGTCGTACTGAAACATCGTTACCCATAGCAGGGCGTTCCGAATCCAAGCTTGTTTAGTATCTCTTTCTATTCGCAACAACAGCGCTTTGGATGCGATCGACCGAGCCATGCTGGGTCTGTGATGTGCGCGTCCGCTGCGGGTTTACCGGGTATAAGGGCTGGCCGATCGTTGTCTTTCAACGACCCCTCGGTCCTCTAGTCACAGGAATCACGAAAACCAACAGAATTGACGGCTCGCGGTTTGAAAGACTGGTAGAGAGTGAGGCATTGAAGGTAGTCGTTGCTCGAGCCTAACTGCCAGACGTCACCGTCGGAGATTGCCCGCTTTTCCTCCGATGCATCGCCAAGATGACAGGAACGCCTCATGGGGCGTCTGTCACAATTAGATTTCAAGTCCTGGAGGACTGATATCTTCTGACTATCATGTTTGTTGTATTGAATGGCATGCTGCTCTCGTATTCCCACGACGCGTGTCCCTCAGCGACCAGAAGGCTGCGCCACACCAGGAATGTCTACGCGCGTCTCGGTCGGGTCTAGGCTTGTCGCATCCCCTGAGTGCGGGCTGACGTTCGCAACGCGCTTTTTTTGACATCGGGCCATTGCGATGGGGTGAAACACGTTTTGGACATCTGTACATCTACGACATCGATCTTTGTCTGCTCCTCTAGCTACTAGACTGACAGATGCTACGCAACCGACGCTAGCGACCATGTCGTCTTCTTACCGGAAGCACATGCCGCGTCCGGCACGCCTCCTCTTCAGCGTCCTGCTCATATACGGCTTCTTCTGGATCAAGGGATGGCCTCGCACATACGACGACGAAGAACTCCCTCCGAGCAAGCGGCCGCAGCAAGAATCGAACCTCGGCCCATATCTAGTCGACCATGACCAGCTCGTCGTCGCCGTTACCACGACCGCGAACAACGTGTACAGCAAAGTCGCACCCCTCATCCTCAATACCGACGAGCGAGACCATGGCACGTTCCTGCTCTTCTCAGACCTACAAACGGAGATTGGGAGGTGGCCGGTATTTGACGTCATCTGGCGGTACGGATCCGAATTCATAAAGAAGACGGAGCAGCTGGAGAGATACCGTGCTCAGGTCGACTTCGCGCGGAGGAGCATACCCCTGACCAACTTGAAGAAGCCGGACCCGGAGGAAGAAAGGAGAGACATGGAAATACTGCACAAGTACAAGATCCTGGAGACTATGGCATCCGCGTGGGAGTACCGACCAGACCGCAGCTGGTACGTCTTCGCTGGCGACGAGACATACATCAACAGGCCAAACCTACTCGACTGGCTGAGCCAACACGACCCAGATGCAATGCATTTCTTCGGAAATCCGCCAGCGCCTGCAACGGCGCTTGTCCCCGACCCTTTCGCTGCCGGCGGCACATCCTTTATTCTCTCGCGGCAGGTCATGCTGGAGTTGTTCAAGAACCGCAAAGATTTCATCCAAATGCGGCGGGAGCACATCTCAGAACATTCAACAGCATTCGATCTCGTTTCCAGCGCTCTGCAGGCCGAACTCAAGCTTGAGTTTACTGTTGTTTGGCCAGGTATCTCTGGCTTCGATCCGAGCACCGTGCCATTCTCGCCTGCTATATGGTGCGAGCCCGTCTTGATGATGCACCACATCACCCCAGACCTCGGCATCGATCTGCTCAGACTTGAGAAGGACCGACCTTCCGACCAACCCACCCTACGCTTCGCTGACCTTTGGCACCGCTTCATGACCCCAGAGGACCTGAATTACACGCGTGATGACTGGGACAACCTATCCTCCGAGTCATCCAACGGACGATGGAACATCCTCTTTGAAGGCCAACACCCCGATGCCGACCGAGCTCAGAACGGGGAAGAGTCGCCAGAAGCATGCCAGGCGTCCTGCGAAAACAGCAAATACTGCGTCCAGTGGTCCTACTCGTCGATACTCCAGTATAACTGGAACGACAATCCACCGACCAAGTGCCATCTTAGCAGCAGTATACGCTTCGGAACGCACAAAGGTCCACAGAAGCTGAATATTGACGGGGAAATTAGCACGCTCACTTGGAAGAGTGGGTGGAAAAAGGACAAATTCAAGAAATGGGCGAAGCAGCAACGGTGTAAGGAGCAGCATCAGTAGTTCGAAAGTATTGTCATTTTCAGCGTTTCAGCGATATTCATATTCAAAAAAAAAAAAATGTCGACCAAACGTCGGGTTCCAGATTCTTCTTAGGCCACTGTTCTGTGCATCTTGGCCTCATTCTTCTTCTACACGCTATCTCATTAGTCCTTGTTTGATGTCGATTGCTAATTGCGTAGTTACATGTTTCCTAGGCTTCATCGTATGTCCAGCAAGTTTCAAGACAATTGCCTGCAAGCGATTCACTATATAACCCGGTATGACGCTCAAGCACTTGTACAGCCACGCCTGAAGTACAAACCTAACCTGCACCAATGTCAGACCCTGAAGACAGTGGCGACGCACGACCTCGACATGATGTGAAATGAAGCCTTCCACCAGGCAATACGATGGCTGCGAGGAAGTGAAAAGTGTACACTGCATGCAGTTTGCAATTATGAAGTCTTGAGCTCAACGCCTCAAATGTCTGCATCATCATTGTTGCTGCCGTGCCTTCGAACACAACTATATTCACCGCACATGGCACTGATATAAAACTATCCTGGAATTATATCATTCTTTCTACATATCTTCACACAAAGTCAACTCACCATGTCTCAACCGAACTCGAAAGACAATCGCGCCCGGCTTCCCGAAGCCGCCCACGAAGATACCCCTGGCATTGCTGGAGATCAGGCACGCGGCCAGGCTCCCCCTTACGCGTACGATCATGGCATCCTAACAAACTATAACCTTGCAGCGTCATATACAACTGTTTATGGTATGTTGAAAGATCGAGAAAGACGTTAAACAATGCACTGACAATGCATGTGCAGGCGACTCGGCTGACAGGGATTGGCAAGACGTTGCTCTACTGTTCGCCAGTACGCTTCTGAAGGTCAATGCGTTGAATGAGGCGCTCCATCACGCCTTTCAAGCCAGGGATGCACACGCTTTCGCTTTGTGCGATGACTTCGTCCGCAACTTCGATAAGTGCCTTCAGGATCGCATCTTAGCCCTCGCCCGTGGCGAAACACATGACGTTCCGGTATGTATACTTATCAAGTGTATCACCTTGATCGCTACTAATGCAGCCAGGGTCATGAGCGTCTGCCCGGAGCAAGCATGATGCGCTGGGCCTCGAAGAACGCTTCAAAGACTAAAGTGGACTCCTCCACTCAGACCGTAGAAGACGACGGCTCCGTAAGCTGCCATCACTCGTGTTATACCCTGCTATCACTGACCGATTCTAGTCACATTCGATTCCCGAGGTCACAGTAAATATTCCACACCCTGATGATGGGTCTCCTCGCAGGGAGCGTTCCCGTATCGTGCCTGTTGAGAGCACAGGCACTGAAACTGTCCCTTTCAACGATGACCAGTTCAACACCAAGCAGGGGATGTAGATCAGTATGGGCTGCTCTAGCAGGATGAAAACATTGAAAGTAGCCTCACTGATATAGCAGCGAAATCAAACTTTGCTATACCCAAAGATAAAAACACTACGTATTGGCGAAAGGGTTCCTGCGCTGGGTACATTGACCGAACGGAGATCGATGCTGATGTGACCGAGAATGAGCGAGTGCGGAGAAGCCATCGCGGTGGAAGTCAGGTCGTTTCCAGGGCATGTCGTTGACAGCGATAGGCGCGTTAAAAGCGTCGGGGAAGGTCTCTTCCGCTACGTCGATGGTCCAGTCCAAGTTGTGGGCGCCAGATGGCTTTGTTTCCACGCTTTGATCAATTGTATAGGATATGTCGTTGGCCCAAGTTGTGTTCAAACGGGAGGTTGACGATAAAAAAAAGTAAGAAAGCTCAAACAGCTCATTGGAGATGAGTGTGTGTTGCGTTTCAATTGCGATGTCATCGCCACGTTTGGTACAAATGGATCGTGAATGCGCGCCTATAGAAGCATAGTTGATCCAACAGGCAAAAGGAAAAAAGAGCAAAGAAAAGTGAAGCTTAGTGGTGAAGTCACAATTATGGATGACGAGGCGCCTGCATTGACCTGTCGTCTCTCCAACACAGGTACACTGATGCATAGAATCACCAGCCGTCATGCCTTTAATGCAACCATTTTTGGCGCGTGGAGGTTGTCGGGTACGCGTCTACGCCACGGCACGTGTTCTCGCTTGTGCAAGCCGGCCGCTTGGTCCTTCCCTGAAGGATTGACGCTTCTGGGACCTTCAGGGCTGCATCTTTTCAGCCTTGTTATCGATACTACCTCATCGCGGGATTCTGGGTCATCACGCAGACGAGCTCGCGCGAGGTTTAACGTTTCCTTGCATGCCTCATCACAGGCCGTGAGTGTGGGACTGGAGCGTCCAGCGGCGCGCGGCCAGACGCGCCGCGCGATTTGCAACAACAAAGGTCCGTGATCCCTAACAAACTGACCTGACAATGGCCGCACGGGAAATTCGTTTTGAAGGATCATCTTCGCAATCCTCCATCTCCACAAAACCCCGAAAGATGAACCTTCATGCTATTTCAATCCTGATGGCCAAATACGGCGCCGATACCTATCTCAATGCACTGCCATCAGCAGGTTCCATGACCTGGATAGAACCTTCAGTAGGAGAGGAACCTCCAATTCTGGTGATTGGCAGCATAGGCAACCGCAACGTGCTTGCTTATCTGTTGCCACGTGGGGATGGCACTAAGGATGTCCGCTATTGTCTGAAACATATTGGCGATGAGAGTCCGCCCTCGCCATCGGAGCAAATTACTTGTGAAGAAGTCTTGCAAAAGCCTCTTGTCGCACCGTTCAAGCATTTGGTTTGCGGGTCAAAGTTCAAGAGGCGGGTGCTTAGCATGGTGGTCCGGTATTACTTTCTGTCGCGAGGCTACCTAAGCAGCATTGATGCTTGGAATGACGACTTTGGCAAGCGATTCGCGACTATGTTGAGGAAGATGTCCTGGACTTCCAATGGAGGACCGCCCCTCCATAGGACCGTGGAGGAAAGTCCAGAGCCGGAAGATGGAGATAGTGCGTATGGCTTGCTATCAGATAGCGGAAATGGCGAGCCAAACAAATCCAGGAGCACTTTCGTGGAGCAGCAAAGCTCTGCGATGGGAATTCAAGATCGGTGGAACAATGAGGCAAACCCGGATCTACGTCGCCTGCGAGAATTCCTCGATGAACACGACTCGTTGTATCTTCTAGACAACATTCCTGATGCTGAAGATGTCAAGTTTGTGGATCAGACATATATTCTCGAAGCGCAGCCCAAGAAATTATTTATAGGAAGCCATACAAAGTCAGGAGACGACATATATGCGTACATGGTGCTGCTACAGCAGCGTGGCTTCCATGAGATCCGATTCTACGTGGAGAGTGCCCACGGACACAAGACGATAATGTCTGCCGAGATCACAGGCAGGCAGCGTATATTGCATCCTTTCAGTAAGACATACCCTAGGAACACGGGACCCTGCGAACAAGCTGATAGGGCTCGATTTACGCTTATGGTAAAGTGGTACTTTATCGCCGCCGGAATTGCAACGGATTGCGTCTTAGAAGAGACCAAGAGTTATCCTGGGCGTTTTCACGCAGCACTAGGATACATTGCTGATCGAATGGGGTCTGCTGCCGTCAAATCCTCGAAACCCGTTGCGAACAAGGATGCTATACCAGATGATGCTACACCAGATGATGCTAGTGAAAGTTCCTACGTTCCAGAAGAAATCGACGTCCAACCTACACCGCCCCGCGAACCACCACCCAAGGGACTTCGTCTCCCAGGCACTATTACTCGTAAATCGGCTCCCAGCAAGCCACCATCACAACCAACGCTCAGGAAGAGCTCGTTCACAAGGACGTCTACCTCCGAAGAAACTTTTACGCCCAAGACCCCGCCACGCGGCGCTAAGCGCTCAGCCGAAGACGAAACATTCGAAAGCCTCACTAGACTAGTCATGAAACAGCATAATCTTACCAAACACCTGAACGACGTCGACCACGATCTGGAAGTTATGGATGCCCGGTTTGAAGCCTTCAAAGAAAAGTGGAAACGAGAGCGTGCCGAGTTGGAAAAGAAAAGAGACAAGATCCAGGAAGAAAGGAGCGCTGTGAGGAACACGTTCAAAAAGCAGAAGTTACTAGATATCGAGGACTGATGAGCGTTTGGTGGATTTATCCTTTTTGCGAAAAGGTTGGCATATCAGGATAATGAGGACTTTGACTGACATGAACCCAAATTAGCCGGGTGTTTAAACTCAATATTAATACAGAAATCTTTACATGTTACATAGTATCGGGGGCTCACGGTCATTGGGCTTCTCTCACGGACCTTCATGTCTTAACTTGCTGCGTTCGCCGAACAAAGTTCATCAGCCGACAAGTACAGCGGACTATTAGCAGGTGTCGGGACAAAAGTCGAAAGAGAATTTCCCCGCACTACAACAACAAATAAACCTCAACAATACAACCTATTGCTGTACGACTACTTACTAAATATGCCTAGTAAGTATAGGAAAGATAGAAATATATGTATACTTACGTGTGAAACTCCAGAAGGCCGCCCAAGTATTAATTTAACCCCGTACCAACTAGAGCTTTGTGCGTTGCACTATAAGGGCCTAACCTTTAACGAGCTTGCAGCCTACTTGCTTAACTCGTACGGGGTTACTGTTAATCCTCGTACGTTGAAGAGAAGGTTTCAGAACTGGGGTGTAAGCAGAAGGCTGCCAACTTGTGTCGAGGAGAGACTCTAACAGTGGTATCAAGAGAAAATATGTCCGCAAAACTAGATCGTCGAGCTCTAAACCTAGGTCCGACTTTGGTTCTAATGCCAATTCCGACATTGTTGTCTTGACGAAGCCCTGCCCTGTCATGACAGCGCCCTCGATTCAGCCCGATCCCACAACCAAGATATTGCAGAGATTCCTAGAAATCTCGCCTCTGTCCGGAGACTACTCTCTCATCGACGAATACATCAACGTCCTCGATAAGCTAGCCGCTCAAGATGCTGCGAGTGGTGCACGCAAACGGTCGATAGACGAGCTCGCGAACGAAGAAGCCACTATTACGCTCGCTATTGAAGGCCTTCCCGCCGAAGAGAAGCAGCATCTTGCCACCATTGCTCAAGCTTGTGCTAAGGGTATTCAGGCTGACATGGCAACTTTGAGCATAGCTACTGATATGTCTGCCATTCAAGCGGCCATAGAGACACGCAACAAGGAAGCTGAGGTTTCGCGTCAAAGTGTGCTTGGCATGATGACGAAGAGAGCAGAAGAGCTACGTACGCGACGACTGGACGTGCGCCGCAGAAGAGAAGCCGCGTTGGAGGAGTGGAAAGTAAACTCTAACTTTGACACCCTATCGCTACAGGAGACAAAAGAGCGTTTGGAGAAAGAGGGTGGTATGGCCATGGCGGTTGAGCTTGGTAGAAGGATAGAAAGATCAGAAAGCGCTGAGGCAAAGAGGAATTGAAAGGCTTTGGCTAAAGTTCGGCCGTATATGTACAAGGATCCAGTGGAGATGAGGCCGTTCGGTCCTAGAGGCTTCTCAGCCCAAGCAAGGACTATCTATGAGATGACATGCCATGTATCTATCAATCAGCAACATCTAGTCACAACAAGTTATATATCATCCTTGAACACCTTCTTCTTGTGAGAAACTAGCATAACATCATAGTGAGTGGCCAATTAGATAGCATAGTCACGTTCAACAGATACTATGGCAACAAATAGACTTTAATATAGAAATTCCTGAGTATACGAACAGACTAATGATCCCACTGGGCATTCCTTTGAACTGTCATACTCTCTCATAGCCCCCTTATAGAACGCCTTGTAACAGATGCTAATGACTGCAAACAAAGGAAAAGAAAACGCGTCGCTCATCAGAGCACGCATACTACACATGGCTAAGCTAAACCTCTATCTCAGTCTCAGCCTCGGCCATGACCTGCTCTCCCTCATCCAACATATCCAAAACCCTCTTCAAACCACCAACCATGTTATTCGCCTGGCCCACCAACAACAACTTCTCCGCATTCGCCGGCAGACCCAGATAAGTAGGTGGCTCACGCTCAGGAAGGTCGTTGACCCAGCCCATGAATTCCTTCCAGCTGGTCGTGCTGGGTAGTTCAAGGCCGTCGCTATGCTCAGTATCCTTAACAATCTTGAAGTTGTCTTCGAATGCAGCGGGCGTCATGCAAGCGTCGACGAGAGAAGCGAGTATACGCCAGTCTTCTGCGTCGTCGATCTTGCCGCCGTACATCTCAGTGATGAGGATGCGGAGCATCTCCCATGGGATCTTGGTGGGGGCGATGTTGGATCGACCTTGCGCGATAGTGTCGATCCAGGTGTCGATGATGAAACTGCAGCATTCGTAGTCACTGTCATTGAACTCCCAGAAACCCTTCCATCCCAGTGTCGGTGCGTACCGGAGACGCTCTTGAATGACCGCATGGAGGAAGGATAAGAGAAGGTAGACACGCGCCTTCTCCACGGGTTGCTTGTTAGCCTTCTCGGCCAAAGAAGATAGCGAGTCCTTCATGTTGGCGCGAACTCCAGCAGGCTGCTCGTAAGAAAGAACACGAGAGGCGCGAAGAAGGTTGACTGGGATCTTTGGACTGGATTCCATGGACAGGAAGAGGCGGAAGTCAGGGTTGGGCTTGAGGGCTTCGAGACGCTTCTCGAGTGATTGCAACCACTGAGGAGCAAGATGGACGTTCTTGACAAGAACCCAGTTTCCAGTGGTGGCGGCGTTGGCGATAGCTTTGTCGGCTGACGCGGCACCTTCGTTGGAACCCATGGCAATGTTGGAGCAAATGACTTGTTCCCTCTCTACAAGATTGTCGACCTTGTAACTTGCGTCGAATCCAGGGCTGGAGCTGAGCGCCACCGGTGTGACCGCGTTGACTTGCTTGACGATATCGCCCAGATCACCACTTGCATCTAAGATACCCTTGCCAAACACTTCAGTAACGAAACGCTCAACAGCGGGCACGAAGCGGTCCACACGGAATAGCTTGACCAGGACAAGAGCTCGCAGGAGCTTGTCGAATTTGGCCAGATCTTCTGGCCAAGCCTGCGGTACGTGTCGTTCTCCCATCTCTTCGTTGAGGAAAGCATCCCACGCGCTATCTTCGATCTTCTCCAACTCCTCCTTGAACATTGGAATCTTGCTCGCACGCTCCATGGCCTCTTGTTTGCGTTCGGTCTCGGTTGATACGTCAATACCCTTGAGGTCGGGGTCGAGAATTTGGTCGATGTGTGTCTTGTCCATCTTGTAGGGCGCTGCTTGCACGAGAAGCATGGCAAATGTGACACGGTCCTTCTGTAGCAAGGAAAGCGATGTGCGACGGTATGCATCCACGAAGAGCTCGGTAACAATCTGCTCGATACGAGCAGCATGGCCCGTGATAGAACCGTTACGAACCTTGCGTAGCACAGTCTCGAAGATCTGAGTAAAGTATTGGAGCGAGAACTGGTAGAAGTGATTGAGATGATGCAGTTGCTCCAGCACAGCAAAGATAGCTGCGCAAGAACGAGCTACCACAGTGTACTCCTTGGTAATGTTCTCCACCTCGGTCATAACACCAGTGGTCTCGGAAACCTTGTCCGAAATGTCCTTGGCCTCCTTCTTGAGCGTCTCGAGCGTTTCGATGACGCGGTCGTCATCCAGAATGTTGCCGCGCGACTCGTTGAGGGCTTGGAGCAATCGCTTCTCGAGCTGACGAAGATGGACCGCAAACTCTCCTTGCATCTTGATGAGGTTAGATCGGCGCTCGTCGACATCGGGGCGCTCGGATTTGAGGACTTCATTGAGTGTCTGTGTTTGCAAACTGCTCTGCGTGACTGTGAAGTTGACAAATGTGGTACGACTGCAGATATCGGGAGCGAAATTGGCCGAGGGATCGCGTGTCGAGAGGTACAAACGGAAAGACGGCGAAAAGTCAATCTCCTGCTTGCCAAGTTGAATAAGCACACGACCTCCAGTCTTCTGGTACTCCTTGTTGAGGACGTGGTTGAGGATAGGGTCCAGATGTTCGGCATCCTGGATCAAGATCGGGTTACCGAAACGCAAAGAGCTCTCGAGCTGCTTCGTGAATGAGTCATCCAGGAAACTGGTCACTGTGAGACGGCGGTCCTTGCATTCATTCTGCAAGAACTCTGTGGTCCTACCAGAAGGATCGATGATCAGCGGGTAACGGTTGAACCTCTCGAGAATGATGGCGTTCTCCGTACACAGGTCATCCACTGGTAAACCATTGTGTTGCCAGTTCAGGCGGTCATCAGCAGTCGATAGATACTCCGTGAATGGGTTTGTTGGCTTGAAGCTGATTCCAGAGTGCTTGAGATGATCATACCAATCTTCTGTAAGAGCTTTCCTGTACTGCTGATCGTAGTAACCGGCATAGGCGATGAATGCAGCCGCAACTAAGACGTCGCCGACGATAGTATCGATCTGAGAGTCGAATGACTTGCTGCTCTCTTCCCATCGAACGCGTTCGGAGGACAAGCTGTCGAGAAGGCGTACACTGCGATCAACCTTGAATTGAACAGTCGACATCTCCGTCTTGATGGCCTGGGTCTCGCTGATCAGAGCGGCGTATTCGGTCTTGTACCGGCCGATACTCTCCTCGAGGTTCTGGATGAGGAGCTGGGTCTCCTTCGCACCCTCTTCTGTCTTCTGTAGCTCCACCTGAAGCTGATCGACTTCAGCACGTAGGGGTCCGACTCGGTCAAGAATATCTGAGTAAGTAACTTGAGCAGACACCCACTGTACGAGAGGACCACAGGCTTTGGAAGCGCGGTTGACCTTCTCGAAAGTAAAGTCCTCTTGAGAAAGGTATTCCTTCTGCATCTTCCTACGATGGGCTGCCGTCATCTGCCTCTCGTTGTCGAACTGCACGATACTGGCGATGAAGTCGTCACGCCTAACAATGGAAACAATGGTCTTCCAACTGTCGGGCTTATGTCCAAGAATCGTGCAGACAGCTTCCAGCGCAAGCTTGACACCAGCGGGAGGGTTCTGCATAGATCGAACTTCAGTCAGATGTTGTCGCTTGATGTTTTGCACACTCTTCTGTGCCTCCAAGACAGCCGGTTCGGCAGCTGCCAAGTCATGCTCTACCACCTCTTGTCGCTTCTGAATCTCTTCCTTGTCCTTGGCAAGTTGCGCTTGCATCTTGATCGACCCAGCCTTCTTCTGTTCCGCCTCGTTCTGATCCGCAATCATGCGCTGCAGCTTCTCATTTGCTTCAGCATCCTTCTTAGTAAGCTGTGTTTGTTTCTCGGCAAGGCTTGCTCGCAATTCCTTGACCTTGTCGAATGTCTCACGAAGCTTCTCCAGACCGACGTTGAGATGGCGCTGCTGTTCCTCAAGGTCCTCGCGCTTCTCGTTGTAGAGCTTGACATACTGTGCAACAAAGTCCAGGAAGTGACGCGGCGTGAGGTACATCTTCCTGTTTTGTGTCTTCTGCAACTTCGCGTTCTTGCTGCGTAATGAGTGGTGTACTGCGACCATGGCGTTGACCACGCTCTCGCGATGAGATGGTGGGAGGGTAAGTCCACGATAGGCGACTGGAATGCTATCTGGCGCAACGTAGTTTGCGCGGTCGAGATCGACAGACTGTGTAAGCTCGGAGCTGACTTGGTACAGAGCCTGATCAGACCAGTCTCCGAACCAGTTGAGCACGCAACGGTTGAAAAGAGCGGGACTGGTAGCTGCCTTTGATGACAGGCCTTCCTCGGGAGGGTTCATAGTGAACACCACGTGGAGGTTCTTGACAATCTGCTCCGTGAACCACTTGTACAACTCTTCCTGTGAGTCGAGAATGATACCTTGTCGCTGCGCACCCTCTTTGATAGCAGTAAGCAGAGAAGCATACTCATCACCCTCAAACAGACCAGGAACCTCCGCGTTTGCCAAGAGGGTGTTCATGCGTTCGAGGAAACCGGAATCAAGAACGTTAGCTTCGTCCATGATGAAGCAGATCTTTTCTCCCTTGCAACCGCATCGTCGAAGAACAGTACGCAAGTCTTCGTCGAAGTCTTCGCCAGAGTACTTTCCGTGAACCTTGATCTGGTAGACACTCAGACCGTTCATCCAGGCGACGAAGCGCGACAGTGTCGTCTTTCCGGAGCCGCTGACACCGATAAGAATAAGATGACCTTGTGGTTGACGGAAGACACGGTCGATGCGGAGAACATGCTCGAGCACGTCGTTGAACAGAATGAGTGGTACGTCCACCTCTTCCTCGCAGAAGGTTCGGAGACGAGCCTTGACAAACTCTCGGAGTTGCTCGCGCTCAACCGGCACGTAATTCTTGGATAGCCAGTTGGAGAAGAGGATGGGGCCACCGAGAGCTTTCTCCTCGTCGATAGTAGGGAAGTGTTCAGCCGCGATACGGTGGACGCATTCTTCGGTCCATTGTCTCTCTTCTTCTGCGATAAGTCGATCCTGGAATAAGCGTAGTGCTTCATGTGCCCAGATACGGACAAGGCCTTCAATTGGCAAGCTCTCAAGTGGTCGTAGAGCCTCATAGATACCACGTACCCATCGAGTAAGCTCACGGGGGGAGTAAACATAGTGTGGTTGAATGTCTGGCGTGAAGCGCTTTTGCGACTCTGCGTAGAGTTGTACCATGGCCCTGGTAAGAGCGTC